ATGACTAAAGTGGGTAAAATTCTGTTGGGTCTAGTAAGCTCAGCTAGTAATTGTCCAATAATAACACCAAAATCTATAGAAAATGATGCTCATAATAAGCCAAGTTTGGGATAGCACTAGTCTACTCAAACGTTTTTGGCAAAGACTGTGGTAATGCGAAAGATATTAGAGTTTATTTAAGTTTCAATGTCAGCTTTTTCTAAAATAATCAAATTGGGATCAGAGTCAGATAAATAAAATGTAACATTCAATTTTCAAACATGCTGCCTTGATAAATGATCATTGCTTAAATACTACATACATCAAAAGGAAATGAACCATTGATGTGCTACATACACTGCTCACTTGTCACTCCAACATCCGCCTTACTGTACATGTGCATAATACATATATATACATGTATATAACGACAGCTGCAATAACAGTGAAATCAATCCCTAATGTACAGGTGACATCATGAATCAGAGACAGATCAAGGTGCAGTGAGCGAGTCATTCAGATTGGACATTGACCTTATGAAACTCATCCTTTCTATATTCACATCTATAAGCCATCATTCCAAATTTATACCCACAACAATCTGCACTTGTGAAACTCACCCCTCTCCATGTTCACGTGTATAAATGGATACGACCGACACCATGCTGAACTAAGCCAAGAAAATGTAAAAATTGATTGAGGACTGTAATCTCAGTTACAACAACACCTGGCATCTTAGCAACTGTACAGTATTGTTCAGTATGGCTCAAATAGCAGTGTTATCTGGCAAAAACAGATTCAATATTACGTAACAAGAACCAGAACAAACCAAAGTTTGATAATTGGGATTAACTGCAAATTACTGTTTTTTCTCAATAAATCAGAATGAGATATGTACAGAATATAAAGGGAATCAGTCTGTTATCATGGATTTGATGAGATAATTTGAAAGTTACTTTATTCAGATATCGAAGTTTAAATTTCAAAAAGACAGTGTGGCTTTCATATGGTTTCATGGTATCCAAACTTCCAAACTATTGGCGTGATTTAATAACTGAATTTTTTTGTGTCACATTCCATGTTCACACTTATAAACCTATCGTTCCACACGAATAACTGAAAATAATTCACACATTTCCAAATTCAGACCCAAAACAATCACTCTACATAACAACAACAACAACAACATGTAGGCAGCCATTCACAAATCTTGTCAATAAACCAAGTAAAAATAATCTTGGCATGAAGATCCTGCAAGATCCACACAACATCCAGAACAGCAGACACTGCAGTGACCTTCATTGGTCTGCTTAGGATATTGACAAGGTGTTTATCTGTGTCAGATCCATGTTCGTGAAGATGGCCTTCTGTGAGTCTAATAAGTGTGGCTTACTTACAGTAAGTGTTAGAAATAGCTTATTTGTTATCCACATGGTTGAAAATAAGAGCATGAAAACATCCACATGAAACACACATGTATAAATGATTCCACACGCTCTTCAGCATTGGTATAATGCAAAGATCTCTGTCGCTGTCGTCATGGTAGTAGACAGTATTATCGACACATGATTGATGTAAAGTTAAATCACATCACATCATAATGATGTCATTGCATATGACTGCTGATGTCATGTTGACCTTGTTAACTCCAGTTTTCAACATAGAAGACACAACCTCTTCACTGTCGCTAATTATTAAGTATGGTTATTAAATACATAAACTTTATGAAAACTTGTCTTCTTTTGTATTAAATGACTTGACTGATACTAATAAAATACCTGACATGTGTTCAAACAAGTTCTAAACTTTAGCCTATTCGTAAAAATATACAAATCTGTTTGGTCAAAAAGGGTTCTCATAATACTTCATCCTTGTGTGACAACCCCTGTGGTGTAGTGAATAGAGCATCTGCCAAGAGAATATACAAATCTATTTGGCCAAAAAGGGTTCTCATAATACTTCATCCTTGTATGACAACCTCTGTGGTGTAGTGGATAGAGCATCTACCAAGAGGGCAGAAGGTAGGTATCAACAGACACGTCAAACCGAAAGACGTAAAAAGATGGTACTAGTTGTTACCCTGCCTGGCATTCGGTTTTAAGGGGGTAAAACAAGGACTGTTCGGCTTGGAGTCAGTACACTGTGCCTGAGTTGGGTGTCCATGTTAACGGGAGCATGGTATTTCAGTGGTGGCTCTATGAGACCGGACTCCAGACTATGACAATCAGCCACACACACATACACACACATACATGCATGTCGCCTAATAGTCCAATAATTTTGAACACACATTAAACCCCATTTCACCTCACCTTATCCTTTTACTTAGTCTGTCTTACAGACCCTGATACAAATATATATCAAATACAGCCCATGCAAGTCTATAATGTTTGGCAAGTCTAGATCACTGCAGTATCAGGATGAAGAGAGTCACTGGGCTCCTTTTTATTATATTTTTATTAAGATAACTAAACAACTGTTTTTTTATGTACGATATGTTCATTTCAGAGACTAGATTTTAGTCTACCTTTTACTAAACAGTTCAACAATTGAAAATCTTGACCTCATTTGGATCTACAACATGTCCACAGTTCATGAACTACAAGCCACCAAACCAACATCAAACTAACACAGCTGTTAACATCTCTGACCATGGCCAAATGAAGGGATAACTATATCAATGTCTGTGTGAGTATCATTCCTTCCAGTGTTTATGTACATTAACATAGCCATATCAACTTCATTCCATCTGCCACTTCACACTGACCCAAGGTCAAGAAGGTGAACCGACCTGTGGGCTGGCCACATCGCTGGCCAGAGGTAGCACACCAATGACAATGGGGGACTTCCCTGTCCATCTCTACAATTTATCACCCATCAAATACGACCTGTTGACAAGGACCCTGTTGAAAGTGACAAGCACCTATTTTACCTTGAGTAGACACCTACTGTGATAGATGCAAGAAGAAACAGCTAAGCTCTCTATGTCATTAAGTCAATGTTTAAATATGCAGAAAGGTGTGAAAGTTGTTACACTGATACAGTCCATTAATTATACTTTGCATGATAAAGAACATCTTTCAAATTTTCCTTATTGAGAAATGCACATAGTCTGTTGGGAGCTCCAGTCTAATTTTCTTTCATCTACTGGTAGTACATATTCCAACAATATATTACTCAAAAGAAGTTAAGGAGACCATGAAGTGATGGCATGGCAGATTAACTATAGTATCATGAAAGAATATGGTTAACCTTAACTTCTTTTGAGCAGTATATACACTTTAATCTTATGAAAGTCTGAAAATTATGCCAAGAGACTATTTGGGGCTCATGGTCTCAGGTTTTAGCACAGACTGTGCATAATATTTTTAAATAATACATTAACTGTAAACAAATATAACTTTATCACTTCCAATGCTCGTGTTGCCAGTAATACTTTTCATAAATTCATTGATCAATTTATATGTTGATAATTAAAAAAATATAACTTTTCATAATAAGGTAACAGTCTTTTGAAAAGTTCACACCCGAAATGCAAGCTCCATTTCAACACCTGGATTCCATCTTACTTTTTTAAATTAACACAGTTGCTCTTTTATCCCAGATCACAATATTCACCAGTCAAGTTACAAGTTCATCTGGGTTCAGATATTCTGTGAATTTATGAGGATATTATCCACGGCCATAAAACATACATTTGCAAATTACTCGGCAAAATGTCAATTTCAGTACAATTAGCAAGGAAAGAAAGTGTGAAATCAGTCTGACTGATTCTCTATGCCCATTGGCAGTCACACTTGAGTGGTTAAATACCTGACATCAATTATGGCATGCAGCTACGCACTGGTGCATATCGTTCACGACACTCCCCTTTCCATCCCGACACAGCTCAAACTTCAAAGTAGGCGGCCAGGAGTCATAGCAAATCAAAACAGCACCTGCATAATTCAGTGTTCTCAAAAAAACGTTTTCAATCAGCTGACATTCTGTTGGAATCAGTGTTATCATCTTACAGTTTTGTAGTCTTGACAGTTTTGAGTTTGGTTATCCGTTTATGTTCCAAATTCCTTTCGGCATATTTATGTTATTTTTGGAACATGATAATATGCAATAGTTTGGTGATAGATATACATAAACAGTTTATAAACTTCATTATCACATGATTATCACCACTTTTCTTTTAATTTCAGTCAAACAGGAAGCCTGTGAAACTGTTTGAAGCTATAAGATACATTCAGGACACTTATAAATGTGAAGAAGTCTTTATTGATAACTTTATCATTGTAATTCTTTAGAATATTGCAATAACCATGAGTTTTTTTAATAAAAATCATCATGTGGTATTACATGTAGACAACGATGATATAACGGTCTCATATCATAATTGGCAAATTGCTTACATCCTGATTCCAGCTGTGCAGAACTTTCGTCCGAACAGTACTTTGATTGTAATGCTTACATAGCACAATGGGTGCAGGCACATCTTGGATGAAGAAACAAGAAAGTTTAACTTCAGCAACTAACACCATTGGAATGTTCCCAAATTCCTTCAAAATACATTGAATAAATTATTATCATTAACTCTACTGATAAAATACGATTGTTTAACCGTATGATCGAGGCAGCTCCTTGCAGTGGTCATTCTGGAAGCAGATGTCCTCTTTGCACGGTAGTCGGTCAGAGGCAGTAGCCATCTGACTCCACGCGACACCAATGAACAGTTGTGAGCGTGACAGTGTCAGATTGTAAACAATCGCTGACAGTGCCTCAAAACAAAGGAAATCCACAAAGTCTAGACATACATATAAAAAGCATTCATCAAAGCAAGCTACCATAAGCCTAAACGCTGAAATATTGGTGATATACAAAATGAACCAGCACAGACTGAAATGCGATCCTCGTCACGGTGTTGTAAATTGCACTCAATATTCAACGCCTTCCGTCAGGTACATAAGAGTCGATCACAGTGCTGCTCTGCAGTTTGCATGCAATCTACTATCAATTTAAACACGCCTTCCTACCTGTATATCTACCAAAAGTTATCCGTGTATTCCAGAGTGTATTGCTTGAGAAATAACCCCAGACGCTAAACAGGTGACAACCACCTCCGATCTTCCTTGTCAAACAACTCCGCCATTACTCTCGAACCCAGCAAGTGCCCGTATTCGACGCCCAGAAGTTATTTCCCTTCAACTAGTTATTGTCATTATCACGGTCCTCTACCGGATGCATTCATGGCGCGTCAGTGAGGGGGTGTAGAATGATGGAGCATCTAGAAGATAGTCAAATGATTACATTAACAATCACATCAGCGTTGCATGGGAATTGTAAAAGAAACATATTACATGTTGTTAATAAAGACGAGTGATGCATATATCTGTTTTTCGTCGACTTAAGTCAACGTCTTAGATAAACATGACACCTAAATAACAAATGCAATTCTAGACTGAAGTGTTTTATCAGAGATTTATATCAACCCCTTAATAATCAGGTGTTCCGTTATTAATTCTTCCGATAATTATGTTGATATAGATATCAAACTATATTTGCTCAGCTTTCTCATTAGCATTGAAATTTGGGATTTGAAGCGGGAGAGTTTATTTAAAGCTTATATTATTTCCTCTTTGAACTGTAACAACAGCTGCAGTATTAATTCGGTTTGGCATATTCAGGATAAATTAAATCAGCAATGCCGATTCCTATCAGCAGCTGTACTATATTCTGGACAACTAGTACTTATAAATTCAATATGTAAGAACACTACTTTTATACACTACCATAATCTAATGAGATGTATATAAAAGGCACTGTAAGTGTGACACTTGTGCCTAATCCATTTATTTTCATTTATTTTCGCAATAAAATGTGTTTAAAGTAAAGTAATTAAGCATCGTATAGTACTAACATTCATTGCATGCATATAAAACCTTCACACCAGCAATATACGAAGACAACACTGGTTTGTAGGCGCTTCAATATAGCCATCGGGTATTCCACACCAACACAATGATTTAAGACACAGCTTAATAGCCGGTTTGTAGCAGGTGCTTGGTCGTATTTGGGAAAGTTGTGCATCCTGGTTGATACCCCTTTGAACCAGCTCCTAACATACACAGATTGTCATCCTTCAAAGCAGCGAGCGTGCGCCTTGAGGCGAGGCATGTAATCCGTCTCAGCATCTCAGCTCTTTTACAAAGCAATTGTATGAGATCCCAACCCATTGTAACATGTTAGCGCTTAATCCAGATTCTTTATGTAACAAATATAAAATTACCCTTTGTCAGCGTTATCAAGAATGTGTTATCAAAGTGATATCTTTGCCGTGACATGGACCCTTTCTCCAATTATTCTCCCCAGATGCCCTCCAGGAATCATTCACTCATCCTCTCTTATCCAGGGTATATTATATGACAGATCTCCACTCCATATGGATATTTATGATACAATGGACAATCGAGGATGAACTTCGTTACGTGTATGTCTAGGATTCAAACAATAAAGAGTGAGTCTGTGAGACTGTATGACAAGAGTGAGTGAGTAAATGTTGCTTTAAGCCGCATCAGCAATATTCCAGCTATTCGCGGCTAGTGTATGACAAGAGGGATGACTTCAATTTTCCAATGGTCACTTTCCCCTTTATGTTCCCAATACTCCAGGTGTCCCAGCCCTTGGTGTCTACATTTCACAACTTTTGAGGTACAATCGATCTTAACCTTTCTACCAAGATTTAAAAGAGCGTCATACGACTCTTGCTCAGAGGTTGTTTAATCGTGGTTACAACATTCAAGGCCTAAGTAAGTCTTTCAATTTTTTTATGGTAGACACGTGGAGGACGTTTCTAAATTTGATGCATCAGTGATTATTATGTCCGATGCAGTTCCCTTTTTTGACATGTACGATATGTTCCCGTGGGTTTTTTAGGTGAACAATTGACCTGCCTTTGCATGTGTTTGTGACGGTTGCCACTGGTGGGGAAGGATACGTTCACCTTTTCGTAAACACTTGGTATCATCACTATTTGATAGTGATTCATAAACACGTGTTCATGATAGAGTCGGAATCGTACAATCGATTCAGCTTTCGATCGATATTTCTTTATGAATATGAAAAGGGTTTTGTGTCGTATTTTTATTTAAGATTTCAAGCTCGTTTTTATCATGTTTTGCTATGTATAGTGATATCGTTTTATCGTTTCATTCTAGTTTTAAATCACTGTTATACTCTAGTTATTTTACAGTCCTTTGCTGAGATGACATTTAGGAAGTCTAAACGTATTTCGTATTCATGTCTAAATTGTTGTAGTTACGATATGGCTGAGATCCTGCCGATGTGACTATAAATCTTAACTCACTCAATCACGCTTTTATTTAAAAGTTGAAACGTAAGGTGAGTCAGGTGACATTTATACGTGTCAGGATCCAGTTGGTCGAGTCGAATTCTTCCTTGCTCTGTCAGCGCATTAGGGGCGAGATGGGGTAGCCTATTGGTTAAAGCTCGTGACGCCGAAGTCTGGGTTCGATTCCCCACATTTATGGTGTCCCCCGCCGTGATATTGCTTAAAGCGGCGTAAAATCACACTCACCCACTCTCAGCACAATACAGGTACATTCGTGGAGCTTATCCTAAGTTATAAACATCTTCAAATTGCGTCATATTATGTTTTCTTACATCAAGCTGACACGCCTTAATATAAAAAATATTGCCCAAAGCCGATTAAACCCCACTCACTCTCTCTATATATACACACCATACAACCTAAGTTTGTGCGAGGACACTAAGACGGGAGATTAAGCTAGAATTACTCCAGTATGTGTTCAAATCCCCTGAGCTGAATATTATATACAGGGCCTATACATTTCATCGTATACTGTTTCTTAAGTCCATATGGTTTCATTGTTTCAGTATTTGTCCGGGCTGTTTGATATCAGTCTTGTTGCCAAGCATTATGTATACTATAACTAGATCACCTACGGTGTCATCTGTCCTCCACGGTGTCTAGCACGTGCATAACAGTACCCATAGGGACAGACAATACAAACTGCCGGGCAAAAGAAACTATACACATGAAAACTGATTTTACAAAAAATATACTAACGTTATCACAACGCTACTAGGCTAAAACAGTTACCGAAACAAGGCAAAGTTAAGGTCCAAAACATTATGATACGGGTATCAAATACATAACCATCGAATAACCACACGCAAATTTGAGTGCCGTTGCAACCGGTAGGGCAGGATGTGCATACCCTTTTCGCGAACACCTGGTAATTTCAACCGCTATTTTGCATCTTCGCCCAATGGAATCTCGAGTTTTATTTTTCTCTGGTGTTGACATTGGGCCTAAACGGCAAACTAGTGACACAAATTATATGAGTTGGTCACTAATAAATCAGTAGATGACACCAGGCGTTCGCCTGGAAATATTCTAACGTCTCCACGGAACAAGACGGCAAAGTCTGTTTCATCAGCTGGCAAGGTGGTGGCTTCGGGTTTCTGGGATTCCAAATGAATCCTACTGGCTGACTACCTCCCGAAAAGCCAGACCATGAATAGCCAATATTTTGCTGATCTGCTCAGGAAAATGGGTGAGAATATCAAGGCTAAAGTCTGTTGTCGCCATGGCTGCAATTACTGACTGTGGATTTAGACTCAATTGAACATCTTCCATATTGACCAGAGTTGGCATCGTCAGATTTCCACCTCTTACCAGACTTGAAGAAAGAACTGTCTAGAAAGAAATACGCAAACGTTTTACACCTGGAGTAAGCCTTCTGTTGGTTGTTTTTGTTCTGTTCGTTATTTAACGCCGCACTCATATGACGGCGGTCTGTAATTCAGTGAGTGACATCATGAGCATCGACTTCCGCAATTGGGATAAGATGACATGCATCAACCAAGTCGCGAGCCTGACCACCCGAACCCGTTAGCCGCCTCTTACGATACGCATTGTCGCCTTTTACGGCAAGCATGGCTTCTACACCAGTGGGGTCCAGGCACCCCAGTAGGGATAATGTTGAAAAAAAATTAGCAACCAACTCCATCAGCGCAGTTCATTATAGTTAGGCTCGAATAGGAATTAGAATTGTATGCGAGCCTTAGGCGAGCAAAATAAATATTTTTAATACAGAATTTTCATTTGTAATATATGTTATTTATGATACGGAAACACGCGAGGGTAATACTCTCTTTATCACATTATGTCCTTCCTCACACGGAATTTCACGGGGTGATGTACAAGAGCCTCGTATCAAGGTGTATTTATGGTCTATGACGTAATAGAGCATGCATACCCAGTGATTAACCAGAACAGAATGTTCAAATGTATCATATAATTTAAGAAATTCAGACAATATTGAGATTCCATATACTAGATTAAAACACTCAACGTGTTCTTTTATTCCATCAACTGTAAGGTTATGGAACACTATTCCTGCAGCAGGCAGAAATTGTACATCTACATCCCAATTCAAGACATACATACAAAAAGAGCAAGTCATTCATCTCCATATTTTTCCTATGGTGTTAGAAAGTTGAATGTTTATCATACTCGATTAAGATACATGAAAAGACAGTTAAATTATGATTTATACAGAATAGAGATAAAATGTGATCCAATATGTCAATGTGGTAATCCATGTAAAAACGCACATCATTATTTATTCAAGTGTCCATTGTACGTCCACTAAAGAAAAACTATGTTAATAATAATTCGGGACATTTTACAGAACGCCGTGAACAAAAATGTTAAATTAGATTGAAGTTTGATGTTAAACGGAAATGAATGTTTGTCCATTATCGAAAATCAACATATCTTTAAAGCAGTGCAAATGTTTATAAGTCATACAAAGAGATTTGGGTAACACTATAATGTACATATATTAGTCTCTCTTTTGTACATGTCTTTTGTTATCTATACACTCATCTTCTTTTCTGTTTACCTTGTATATGATTTACTGTACAAGCTTTTGTAAATACCTTGGAGAAGGAGTCCTAAGTTGGATAACTTGTTCCCAATCCATTTCAATCTGAATAAAATATGTTTAAATCAAAACAGAATGTACGATACATTACCATGTATCATTTTTTCCTTTTAGTTTTATGCAATCATATATCACGTCACGTGGTGACACCTCAGGGTCACTTTCGTTGGTCTATATATATATCCTTCTGCGTACTCGACAAGGAATGTTTCGGTACTCATGGTATGAAAATGAAATATTAAAATAAAATGTACTTTACTTCCTTCCTTGTTTAAAATGTATGCCCACACGATAAATACATGCATATGATTATGATGATAACCACGTTATAAACAGAAATATTGGAATATTCGAAAACTAAACAAGCAGCCAATAATGTTATGACGTACATCTATTTTATTGAGGGGCACGGGTGGCCAAGTTGTCAAAGGCGGCGTGATTCGCTGTGCCGAGTTGCGTCCCTTGGCCACGCCAGAAACCTATGATTGTGGGTTCGAATCCCGGTTCGCCCCGATTATGTTTCTAGGTTTGTCAGCACCATACCCGTGCTCTTGGGTTTCACCGAAGTGGTAACCGTCTTAGACCTGCATCACTTCGGGCTTTCTTCCCACATTAAGCTGACACGCCGTGATATAACTGGAATACTGTTAAAAGTGGCGTTAAACCCAACTCCCTCACTCACTATCTGATTGTATCCTATATTAAAATATTAATGTACAAACTGATGTCCCCGCGATAACGACCTTGATCCGAAATTGTCGCGCTAAATTGTGCCACGACACTGGTGAATGCTTGATTTTGATTTGTCAAAATAAGATTAAGATCAGGTAATCCATTCGACACCTCAGATTAACATGTCTTTTCACAAACACAAAACAATGCGTATGAAAACACGATATATCGATAGCATATGCATCGATGCATAAAACAATGACTGCATGTAACCCGTTCGAGCTATTTAAGAGCTTTGTTAATCTTCAGTTCGACACCGCCATCACGAGTATATTAGAGGTACCTAATCTATAGTTAGACTACCTCAATAGACGGCGGTTGCAATGTTGACAACATGGTGACACCGCCATCACGGGTATATAAGAGGTACATATTCAACAGTTGGACACTGCCATCACGGGTATATAAGAGGTACATATTCAACAGTTGGACACTGCCATCACGGGTATATAAGCGGTACATATTCAACAGTTGGACACTGCCATCACGGGTATATAAGAGGTACATATTCAACAGTTGGACACTGCCATCACGGGTATATAAGAGGTACATATTCAACAGTTGGATACTGCCATCACGGGTATTTAAGAGGTACATATTCAACAGTTGGACACTGCCATCACGGGTATATAAGAGGTACATATTCAACAGTTGGACACTGCCATCACGGGTATATAAGAGGTACATATTCAACAGTTGGATACTGCCATCACGGGTATATAAGAGGTACATATTCAACAGTTGGACACTGCCATCACGGGTATATAAGAGGTACATATTCAACAGTTGGACACTGCCATCACGGGTATATAAGAGGTGCATATTTAACAGTTGGACACTGCCATCACGGGTATATAAGAGGTACATAATCTACATTTAGACACTGTTATAGACAGTGATAGTAATGCCTATCAAACAATTCAGTTATAGTGCTCCCCCCGGGACTAAACCTTGAAAAGCGGATCCTGTCGCTAATATAGGACGCAACTCTAAACGGAGAAATGCGGTGCTCTAGATGTCCTAAGGGACCATTTCAAAAGTTCGAAGTTGTGACTAAAAAACTCAATTCCTGAAGTTTTGAGACATGAACCCCCCAAACAACAACAAAAACAACAACAACAACAACAAACACAGAAAACAACAACAACAACAACAACAAAACAACGTAATTCTGAAAATGTTGAATTTAGTGGCCTCTTTTGTCGCGCATTCTTGTGGTTTGCCCTGTTTGTTCTCGGAACGTTTGTGGAATAAAGTATATCTACTAAGTGTTGACAATCATTTGCAGTTTTTTTTATAATCAAATCTGTCACCATATATTACACACTACATTAGATGGGCTATTGCCGGCGATGATACAACCCTACCTTTAGGAAAGACTGGATGTATTTAATGACAACAGCATTGAATGAAAATAGGATCGGTTTAGTTCGGTTACTATATCAAACATTAAGAAATCAGGTAAGTTGATTTTGTTCGCTCGAAAACAAAAAGGGCCATTAATCCGCCCAACCCTAAACTTAGGCATGTGTTTTATCCGACTTTTGAACTGGTCCCTAAGGAATCGCCAAAGAAGCAATATATTCGCCCGAGGTTTGTGTTTTCTAACGTTGGGGGTTGTGCGCGTGCGTGTGTTCAGAAACTGGTGTACAATATTTAAAGATGAATTAGCGTATGGTTTGTCAGTTATTCTGTACCCTACTTAGCAATATTCCATCTAATCAATATGACGGAGGCCTGATAACAATCGAGGATGCACAAGACAAACCCGTGATTGATAGTATGAGCAACGCCCCACGCCCCCAGGTTACCATGACATGCAATCAACCAGACCACCTAGCCACAACATTCGATCCATCTTGTCGCCTCTTACACGACAACCTAGACTAACATTTAGTCTCTGAAATCTTATATCACACAATATCCTTCTTGACTCTAAAAATAAAAAATAATTCCCTATGCTGTGGAACAGAGCTAGCTTGAGCTGGCTAGACTTGCTTTTGTATGCATTTCTAGATGATTTTTATTCATAAAATAAATATATTCCACGGTCATGGTGCAGGAATAACGACAACCGTGTCGCTCGAGAACTATTCTGATCCAAACCGGGGGATCAAATCGTTTAAAGCTCCGTGCATTTTTGAAAATGAAAGACCTTTTCCTGTCGCATCATTTAATATCGATTAGTAGTGGAAGCGTACGTAAAATACTCATTGCCCCAAACAGTAATGTTTATGCCCTACGAGCTGGGCGATTGAAGTGGCACAAATATATATTTTATTTTGTTACCGGGGATGAAAACTATTGACAACATGACAACATCACCTTTAGTTGAGCTAAAGCGAGTTGAGCCGAGTTGAATGGGGTTTAACGTCGCGTTCAAGATGAATACATTTTTACAGCGACGTGCTTGCAAGTGTGTGTGCACGTGCGCGTGGCTTCTTGTACTAGTCCAGGGCCCCGTTCCACAAAGCTATCTTAGCGCTAAGGTGATCGTAACTCCCATACTTTAACACTGGCTTACGATAGTCGTAGCGCTAAGATCACTTTGTGGAACCGTGCCCTGACCAATGCCGGTTTTATAGTGCTGGCCCACTGAGATGCCATGCCCCAGTTTAACTTGGACACCTCACTCACTCAGCATATACTGACTCCGGGCCGACCAGTCCTTGTTTTATCCCCTAAGGCGGTGAAAAAACAAGTACCATGTTTTAACGTATTTTGGTATGCCGCGCTGGATTGAACCACCGATCTTCAGCTCTCGAGGCAGACCTATTTAAGACGACATATTTACCTTGAAAGTTTAATAAAGGCTAGTATTAACGATCAAGTATTGCGTTCCACTTTTGTTTACAAATTATATTAAATTACATCCTCGATAAGCGAAATGTATCTCCTTAATTTCTACTACAATAAATATTTATGAGTTCAGACGGGAGATATGTTACACTAAATGATCAAGGATGCGCTGCGATAGCGACATGTGATCTCAAGATAAAGTCCGTTCATTTCACAACATAAATATTTGTATTTTGTTTGTTACCCCATTTCGGTTAGTGAGCGAATGTTTACGTCGCATCAGCTTTTCATTAAATCATGTCCTTGCGCAGTAACCCTGTCCTCGATTTCTCTTTCCTTTAGTATGAAATGCATTGTTGTATTCATGTATATAAATACCATAAATAGATATCCTACTTATTCTGATGAAAACGGAGAGGCGTGGACTGTTGACCCCCTAAAACAATAAATAAATAAATAAATAAATAAATAAATAAATAAATAAATAAATAAATAAATAAATAAATAAATAAATAAATAAATAAATAAATAAGTGTGTGCTTGACTAATTACTAGATTATAAAGTTTGTCTGGGAGCGAATAAAGTGTTGATAGCCAGACCTGATTCGGTAGTTATATTGTTGTTTTGGATTAAAATATACGTTATATAAATAACATAAAACAACACGTGCATATGAAGCCTACGTTGGCACTGGTAGTGAAACAAGTACTCGAGAGAGACTTCATGCTCCACGGTTCAAAACATAACAGTAATTAATTATATTTATTTTAAATGGTGCGTCAATTCGGTAAACTGACGTGTTAATATTACGTAAATGTTCATATTGTGGCAAGTCCAAAAGAAATACATTCTCACAAAAGATATGTTTTTGAGAAAACAGCATCCGGCAACCTCATTCTGACCTGACGCTACCACGTGCAGTGACATCTTTCACGCAGTCACGCTCGATACATGACAACATTAGCCTTGTCTCCCCTTGCCTACAGGAGACATTGATGCAGTCTGTGTCTGGTGGTCCTAGATTATTGTGGTCGTCTCTCCGTCGCGTAGCTGTCATTTTCAGAGAAGGTTTAGAACCAAACAGAAGATTGCATTTTCTGTATAGACAGACAAGATCAAAACGGCAGCATTTCCGGGTAGTCAAAACATCAACAGCGTTACATTTGCTACATACGTGTCGTCTTGCGACTTTCCATACTCCAAAACTTGTCAGATCCGTGTCGACACTTTTGGCTAGGAATTTCAGCACCATGCCGGAAAAACGCGAGTTCAAACGTCTTCCAACCGATGTTGTTCCATCGAATTACAACATTCGTTTGAAACCAGATCTAGACGCATTTGTATTTCAGGGTCAGGAAGAAATAGATGTTGAGGTAATGAAAAAATATGTTTCTCATTGAAATATAAAAGTGAAAATGAAAGTACAAATTGTGAAACTAAATGACTTAAAACTCATTTGTACATAGGCCTAATTGTAAATAAAACAATATCATGGATCTGTTATATTTACATGATTGAAGCCGATTGTACCAAGGTATTGTTATAAATGTCATGTAGGCCTTTTCAGTTTCTTATCCAGCTTTAATTGTACCACACCTCTTTATTTTTTGACCATTTTGCTTATACCTTATAGGCCTACCACTTGGATTTGTGGAAGCAGGGTAGAATTTGACTGGGTACACGACTGCAAACATATCGTCATATTGTTTAAATATTGTGGAGTGTAGAATTAAACAACCAAATACAAAGCAACATGCAAACCTTGAACTATGAGGATAAATTGCAATGTAGCATGGGTTCAAAACAATCATAGCCAGTTTAAAAATGACCTCATCATACCCATTAACACTCCCCAGGGGGCACGGGGGGTCCAATTGTTTGAGGCTCCGCAGTTCTCTGTGCACAGATGTGTCCCTTGGGTGCACCAAAACCTTTGATTGTGGGGTTCAAATCCTGTTTTTTGGTTTGTCAGAACAATGCCTATGATCGTTGGTTTCATCAAAGTGGTAAACTTATGAGACCTGCATCACTTTTGACCTCTATCTGAACCTATTTCTATGTTACACTTGCTTGCTTTGGACTTCTGACAAGGTCAAATACACTAATATGGCTAAGTGACTTTTGTCACTGGATCAGTGTGCACTTGATTTCCATTCTCAGCTCCCTGTGGAGTATACAACCTGAGTTGCCTTATCAGGTGCTAGAAGGTTAACAGTCAAATGTCATCTCATCCCACCGGGTACCCATTTTTACTGATTGGTGAACAGAAGCACATTACGAACAAAGTCACTTGCCTGTGGAACCACCACATGTGCTACATGCGCTTCTGTGTGGGTCCGGACAGGCTCATATCTTACCTTGTCCTTTAACTTGTTGAGGATGGCCCCAATTTGTTAGTTTTCTCAACGACCATCCATGCTTCCATGTCAGACCTTGACAAGGGATAATAATGCAAGAAGTGAATATTTTCCAGGTGAAGGCTTCGACAGACACAGTGACTGTCAATTCACTTGACATCACTATCAATGAAGTTACCTATGCAAGTGGAGGTGAGATATGAAAAGTCGCGTATTTGGTGAATTGAACCGTATGCATTCGTAATTGAATTTGTTATTCGTGGCCACTGGAATCGAATATTTATGAATATGTAATCATGTGCATTTACATATCCTGTACCTAAAACATCCATAAGAACATATGATATGCATAGATTTCTTCAAAAACAACGCTCTTATAATATTTAATTTGACAGAAATTTGGTCAATGGTCATTGTAGCATTTGAGCAGATACTAAGACTAAGTACCTGGACAAGTGCAGTATATAAATGTATTATATAGAAAATTAACAAACCATGTCAAATAATTTATGTTGTTAATGTTTCACTGAATATAACAAATAATACATCAACTACTGACTTATAATTTTATTCATGAATTAATTTTCGTGTTCATTACCATATATATTCGTGATACGAATCGTATTCGCCTCATAGTGTATTTGTTGCATAGTAACTATGATAGTATTCTCAGTTATCTTGTGAATTATCTCCATCCTGTTACGCTCCTGTCTTGCATACCTGCTACCATGGTTTCATTTGTTAAGTGTCATACCCTTCATCACTTAAATCAGTAATGTACAGAATTTCTAACATGGCATACAGATTAGGGCTGGCTTTCGATATTAATCTTAAGATTGATAATCAATTATATATCAATTGATTATAAATATATATCGGAGAAGAAACTTTGAGTAAATATGCAAAAAGCATATTGTTGTAAGAGATGACTTACGGGATCGGGTGGTCAGGCTCGCTGACTTAGTTGATGCATGTCATCGTATCCCAATTGTGTAGATTGATGTTCATGATGTCAATCACTGGATTGTTTTGCCCAGACTTGATATTTACAGACCACAGTCATATAGGTGGAATATTGCTGAGTGTTGCTTTAACCAAACAAAACAGCACTGTCAGAGTGCAGGTCGGTTTCACCACAGTGGTAGAAATCTAGGACCTGCGTCAGTTTTATCTTCCTTCTGCATTTAGCTGTCACACTGTGATTTAACTGAAATACTGTTCAAAACAGCATTAAATCCAACTCTCCTCTGGATTGCTTGTGGAGGCTTTGTTGACTGTCGGTACTGCATTCTTTGGATCTAAGTTTGAATCTGGTTTTGGGATTATTTTTCTGTGATGTTCATATAATGTTCATGATGTTGAAATTCCATGTGTCTACCCCTTCTCTCTCTCAGACACGTCCGTGGCGGCCGAGGTGTCGGTGGACAAGGAAGCGGAGACCGCCACTTTCAAGTTCCCCTCAGCCCTTCAGGTGAGTCTTCCTGTGTCTGTTGATAGTATTCATTCTCCTGCACAGTGTGGTGTAGTGGATAGAGCGTCGTCCAGGAGAGTGGAAAATGGGTGGTTCGATCCAATGGCCTTGTCAAACCAAAAGATGATAAAAGATAGTACTTGTTGTTACCCTGCTTGGTGCTCGTCATTGAGGGGATAAAACAAGAACTGGTCGGCTCGGAGTCAATATACTGTTTTCTGATCTGAGTGAGCTGAGGTATCCATGTTAAACTGCAGCATGGTATCTCAGTGGGCTTGCAGTATAAAACTGGCATAAGTCAGGACAGCTTTAGCAAATGAGTGAGTGAATATTATTTCTGGTTTGATCAACAGGCAATATGTTTTAAGACCTCTTCAATATAAATATGTTTAGGACCATTGTAAGTACAACACACTATGTGGTACGACCAAATATATGCACCTTTAAAACAAGTTCTAGTACATGAATATAAATGTTCATTAAATATACTAAAACGTTTTTTAAATGTAAAATGGTCATAGCCAGATCCAGTTATTCTCAAGTCCAGTGTGTCTTATAAATTTGAATAACTAAACAATACAGTATTGATTGGTGTATATATAATATGTTAGTTTGGCACTGAAGTGTGCACATTTTTAAATGAAATATATACTGTGTTAGACATGTGTCATGAAGCAAGATATATCAATTGCAAGCTATATAAAACAAAAAGTACATTTAGTTATCTAAACCTGTGTGTGTGTGGCGGTTCTATTTTAATTTAAAAAAAAATTAGAACATTATTTAGGGCCTTGCCGTTTTTTTTTAAGGGATGGGTGGGATGGAGTGATAAAAGTTTCATGGTTTTATTTTTTAAAATAAAATTGTTAATTTGAACAGTATTTAGGCTCATTTATTATGAAGAGAGGAGGGGTGGTGGTGGTGTATGAAGTAATAGATGACCAGTTCCTTAGACATTTAAATCGCCTCCGTGGTCTAGTGGTAGAGCGTCCGCCCAGAGAGCGGAAGGTCCGGGGTTCGATCCCCGGCCGCGTCATACCAAAAGACGTTAAAAGATGGTACTTGTTGTTACCCTGTCTGGCGCTCGGCATTAAGGGGCTAAAACAAGGACTGGTGTGCTCGGAGACAGTATACTGTGTCTGAGTGGGGTATTTATGTTAAGCTGTGGCATGGTATCTCAGTGGGCTAGCACTATAAATGGGCATCAGTCCGGACTAGTACAAGCGCACACACATGCATGCACGTCGCTATATAAGTGCAATAATCTTGGACGTGACATTAAACCCAATTTCACCTCACCTCACCTCCTTAGACATTTTTTAATTTCATGATTTACGTTGTATCATTGGCTATATTTATTTATGAGAAATGTTAAAGACTTAGAAAAGTAAAGACAACACTCAACAGAAGAAAATGAGAGAGAAAAGACAAGAAGATTGTGATCTTGGCAAGAGAATAGTTTCAGTCCAAGTCTGAATTTCTGTGGCTAATCACTGCTTCAAACAGCATGAACTGCACTTCTTGTTTGTATTTACAAATGCTGCCTGCAACTTTCAAGATTGACTAGGTATATAATGCCTTACCAGGCTTGTTGTTCTCAGACACCGAACATTTCAGTAAATCTTCTGAGTGTTGACAATTTAGCTCACCCGGCCAGAACTATTGAATGTCATGACATGCAATTACACTGTTTGCAGCCAGGTAAAGGCGTGCTGAAGGTGAGCTACACAGGGGAGCTTAATGACAAGATGAAAGGCTTCTACCGAAGCAAGTACACCATGCCTGATGGGCAGGAGAGGTTTGGAGCTGTCACACAGTTTGAGGTAATCATTGATAACTCTGTTATGATGCTCATTTTACTTTGTTGCAATACCTCTCTGCATGAAGATCTGACTCACATCCCATCATGTTAATAGGAGGTCATGTCAAAGGTACGCCAAGCAAAGTTTGACAACCCAATCTAATCGTAGGATATGTGGGTTCTTGAGCCAATTAGATGTCAGCTTTCTGAAATTCTTTAATTTCTTGCCACTTTGATTCTAAACTAAAGGAAACCCACAAACACTACAAAAACTCCCTTTTGGACTTCAATGTCATGTTGGTGTATAAAGTATCCAGAGCCTTATAACAGCTTGGTCTTTATTATTTGAATTTGGAACAGCCTGTTGAGTTCATTTTTAAGACACAGAAATCAGAAATGTTTCTCTGAATGCCTCACTCACTGGTTCTGAGAAATTAGAAATCTCTATGTTGATTGGCTGAATGGAAAGTTAACCTCACATGACCTATAAGGGGCCTCCTTATGTTAATAAGCTTGAGGTTCAAACATTATTCCATCTTCTATATTTTAATGCTGCACATTGAAAATACTCCTTCCAGTAATTGACTATGGTAGCACACGGTTTGGGCTTTCGTTCACATTGAGATGACATGCTGAATAATAACGGAAATATCAAATCAGCGTTGAACACAACTCACTCGCCTGTAGTGTGATGACAGTATGTTGAATACTGGCACATTGTACTGAGGCAGCGTCCTGTAGTCCTGGCCAAACTGCCCAATAGTTGAGGTATCATAAGGACAAGTAGAAATTTGCCATTTTAAGGGATTTGCTATATGTTATCATTATAAGGACTAGTGGACTGAAATTTAGTTTCTACCGCTGCTATGGTAGAGTGTATTTTTGCAGGTTAACCGTGTGTTGATTCGTGAAATGTGATGTGTGTGAACTATGTAATATTTGGCAACATTTATTCCAGGCCACAGATGCTCGGCGGGCTTTCCCTGGCTGGGATGAGCCAGCAGTCAAGGCTTCATTCGACGTCACGCTTGTTGTGCCCAAGGAGAAAGTAGCTCTCAGCAATATGGTAAGATGGGTTTTGAAGTTACCAACTATTGTATTTACACATTTCATCAAGCTACAATGCAAATGAACACATATCTTTTGACTAAGTAGCTGATATGTCATACTCTTTGAGCATACCTCTTTGAGGAAATGTTGCAGTATAAAATTATGGTTATTGTCCCCTGTAACGCGTTTTACTAGGGGTATTAAAATGGACACCGTCCTCCCATGCGTCCATCCTTGCAAGATGTCGCTTCCAGGGGCAGATCTTGAAGACAGTGCAATATTGGTGATATTCACCAAAGTTGGCACATAGATAGGTCAAGGGGTGAACTGGTACCTTTTGATAGTTGGGAATTTTTATAAATGTATTTTTCGAGTTTCCATAGCAACACATTCAATCTCATTAAAATCAGATCTTAGTTCTTGCTATCGCTAAACAAAGATCTGAGGACATCCCATTACGGGTCACGTCAGAACGACCTTTCATCCAACCAATCAAAGCGTCGCTTACCAGATCATGAAAGTGACAGTCGGAATGTGTTTTCTCATCATGCAACCTCGAAAACGTTAACAAGGGGTATTCCGAATGACAGTTACAGCCCCTACGACTGATTCCGCCAAAATTATCGTCTATCTCTCGCTTCCCTGGGACAAACATTTGAACAGAGAAGGCGTTGCACAGTACGTGGGAAGTACTGTCATACAATTTCAACCATATATTAGACATCCCGGAATGTTCGTTTGTTCAGTTTTCAAAATTTTAATCGAGAACTGTGCCAGCATATTTTTCACGAGTATTCTGAAATGGATGTCGCCAGGTTGAAACGAGTACTGTAAAGCTCGAGAAAGCTGCTTTCTAATTGGCTGATGTTTGTCATTTCAGTGGTTGGTCAAAGTACGCGAAAAGGTCGTTCTGACTTGACCCGTAATGGGATGTCCTCAGATCTTTGTTTAGCGGCAGCGAGAACCAAGATCTGATTTTAATGAGATTGCAACAAATTTGACTTAGACTGGAAATGATGGTAGTGCTCATTTCTGAAGCAGATCTTGAAAACCGTACAATATTTCTTCACCAAACTTGGCACATAGATAGGTTTTGTGGTAATCTGGTGCCTTTTGATGCCATTACATTTGACATGCAATCAATATTACAAGTTGATGTATTCATGACAAGTATTTACCACTGCAGGGGATATTGATGACTTTGTCCTCTTACTATTTTCCCCTAAAATTAAAAAAATCGAATCTTCTCTTGACATTTTCATTGAGCTCACATGATCTACAGAGATAGCTTAGTGACACAATGTATTTGCCCTGCAGCCTGTCAAGTCTGACACCCCAGACAAGGACCCCAACTGGCGTGTGGTGGAGTATGACAGAACGCCGGTCATGTCCACATACCTCCTGGCCTTCATCGTGGGGGACTACGACTACGTGGAGGGCAAGGATGCGGATGGCGTCGTTCTGAGAGTCTATACACCTGTGGGGAAGAAGGAGCAGGGCAACTTTGCTCTTGATGTAGGTGGACTAGTTGTAACATGGACAGTGAACTGAAACTACAGTACCAGCCAGTGTGCAAAATTTCGGTCAGGGTAAAGATTCTGAAATGTCCCTACTTGGCTTCTGAAATTAAATGAGTTTTTTTATGCACACCTTTGTTGATTAAAAATGTACTCCCCTTTCTGTAGATCAATACGACCCTAAAAAATAAAAGAATAATAAAATTTATGTCTGTAATGTTTTAATGTTGCAAGATTAGAGTTGACTGCTTTCATCTTGTTTGAGTGACTGTAGTGCTGTAGATAAATGTTTTTATTGGTTGTAATTTGTAGTTTATCCAATCATGTTCAATCACAAGCTGTGTTACTTAACTAACTTTGACTTCCCATTTCAAACATTGTGGGGACGAAAAATAAACATTTTCATTTTTAAGCTACTGAAATTTGAAACTGGGTAGTAAATTTGAAGGATAGCTATCCAACCTGGCCAGCAATATTTTGAGACTTTCACACACTGGTACTCTATACTAAGAATTAAAGATAGACAATGTCCAAATCTGTTTTTCAATTGTGTCTTGGTAAGGACCATAGACCAGAAACTGAAATGGCATGAATTGTGCCGAGATATTCATCCTTAAAGATTGTCTTCAGTGGTCTGTTTGGTCTAGGCGTAGCTGTTGTAATAAGTGTCATGTAAAATGGAAACGTCGTCTCTGTGTGATCATTGTTATGTAATTTAGTTCATTCATCAGGGATATGGCTTAGTCTAAACAATCTGAGGGCCTGACTGAGTTCCAAATACTTAAGTGGATAATATTTACGTGCCTTCAACACTTGATTTTTGTAAAAAATATGAAATATACATATACAAGGCTAAGTACATGCCACATATAAATGTTGCTTGCATATTTGTCCTGGAGTAAGTCAGGGGTCGCTTGATATGACAAATATGAAATGATAGCACAAGTGATGCGTAATAAACACAAGATGTGTTTCAGGTTGCTGTGAAAACGCTGCCGTTCTACAAAGATTACTTTGGCATTCCATACCCTTTACCAAAGATGGATCTCATAGCTATTGCAGATTTTGCTTCAGGTAAGTGAAATACTGACAACTCATTGGTTAGTTATTATGATGGCATCTTACAGAGGGCACCATTTTTGCTTTCAAAATCTGAAATTTCACGGAGTCTTCTCTGCATGGGAAAGTAGGTTTGCCAAGATACAGTGGAATGTTTTATTCCTAACAGGCTCTGTGAGCGATTGGTGTTTAGTCCTGCAGGCAGTAACATGATGGCGATATCGTGCCTTCCTGTATATGGCCAGTGGTTGATGACATAAAATGATTTTGTTTGTTTGTTGTTTAATGCCGCACTCTGCAATATTCAAGCTATGAGCCAGGGTAATTAGAAGTTGTAATTACCCAATTTCCATTCACGTTTCCCCTTCTGACAAACAGGGCAACCTTATATCGTTTTGGTCCTGGAAATCTGAGCTAGGCGACAAATCTGTGCCATTGACAAACTATACTACTCAAAAGAAGTTACAGAACTTTGATTTTGTTCATATGACTATAGGGGTGGTGGGGTAGCATAGTGGTTAAAGCGTTTGCTCGTCATGCTGAAGGCCTGGGTTCAATTCCCAACATGGGCACAATGTGTGAAGCCCATTTCTGTTGTGCCCCACCGTGATATTTCTGGAATATTGCTAAAAGCGGCGTAAAACCATGCTCTCACTCATATGACTATAGTTAATTTGTCATGACAGATTAACTTTAGTGTATAATTAAAAATTGGGTATTCTTTATCAATGAAAGTTTAATGATGTTTGTGACTTTGTACTTCATAAAGTGTTGTCCATCAGGTGCCATGGAGAACTGGGGTCTGGTGACTTACAGAGACATCCAACCAACACCCCGGCCAGGGTGAAGCAGTGGGTGGCCCTTGTTGTCCTCCATTGCTATATGTTTGTTGTGTCCTACAGGTGCCATGGAGAACTGGGGCCTGGTGACGTACAGAGAGACGGCGCTGCTGGTAGATCCCGCCAACACCTCGGCCAGGGTGAAGCAGTGGGTGGCTCTTGTTGTTGGACACGAACTGGCACATCAGTGGTTCGGCAACCTGGTCACAATGGTACGTGCAGCTGAAGGCTCATTGAAATGTCTTTGTTTGGAATACATCCAAATAGACTCTGAAAGGAGGCTCGGAAATATCCGCTGTATGGTCATTGAATGCTGTCAGACCAGTGCAACGCTATGTTTGTCTGAACAGTGAAAGAAATTCCTACCGGACCTGTTTTATTTGCAGATTTATCAATTAATGACTCTATCAAATACCATGTTTTAGTCTGTTTTCAGTCGTACAATTGGGTATCTCATACCTCTAGTCGCACGTTAAAAGGAAGCTAGAAGCTGGAATGTAAACAATAAACTTGTTTCCGTCCGGTTGCGCACGCACCTCCCGATGACATGCCACAAATCTCTCAGCGCGCCTCTGAGCTGGTCGCTCGAGAAGGACTTTCGCGATAGACTGCTAGTTTGTATTCTACTAGTCCGTATCGTGTGTCTACAGTTGTTGTTTTAATACAGTAATAATACTATGTCTTACCTGTAGACTCCTGGAATGTAATCATTGGTAATCCATTGTTTGGGTTCAACACGTGTTTCACTTGATTATACACGTGGCAACATGTCGGGCATTTGTGCCTCGTGTCAAGGACAACTGTCTAAAGTAGATCCTCACAAGTATTGTCCTTCCTGCATAAATAAGGACGGGCTTTCAACGTGTTCGTGGAATAAACGTTGTTAAGAATGTGAGCATTTGTCTTCTATCAACTTTAACTTGTATCTTCGTGCGTTGGCGAAGCGGGCTACTGACCAGCGCTACAGGCAGAGGAGGTCATCGGGTGGATCCTTGGACTCTGCACCCCCTACATCTGGCCCTGGGGGTGGCACGTCGGCCACACCCAAGAAATCAGTTGAAAAAGACTCGCCTCAGTCAACTTATGTTTTTTGACAAGACACAGGACCGTTCGCCTGCTGATGATACTACCCGCACGACTGATCTTCGTCAATCGGTTGATCGAGAGCGTCACTCAGCCACCCCCGTTACGACGGGACCGGGTGGTGACGAGGACCACGAGGGGACTACGGTCCCCAGTCGGTCCGTCTCTCGTCCTACCAACGACGATAGGAACGTTGTGCGGGTCGACAGTGAACACAGATCCCTCTCTAGAAGTCATTCCCGTTCACGGGACGACGGGTCGAGGGCCTCGTCGAGTGACAGTAAACGACACGAGGACGTTCGTCGCCTTCGAGGTCGTCGGGAGTTCGATTCGGACGATAACTACGATGGGGATCGTAGTACTTCTACAGTTAGAGATCGTAGCCCTCGCCCCCACGGGGACGTGCGACGCCTTCGAAGGGAGTTTTTGGGAGATCAGCGTCGTAGAGATAATGATCGATCGTGACCCTCGTCTCACTTTCATATCGACCCGGCTTTGATAGGCCAGATGACGGCGGCGGTACTCGCCTTGACGGCGTCGACCGAGAAGGGTTCGTCTACGTCGGAGGTCCATGGACCATCGTCCTGTACACCGGTTCCTTCATCTACGCCTACACAATCGACGTCGACGATGGATTGTGACGACAGCGTCGTAGAGATAATGACCGATCGACACCCTCGTCTCACTTTCATATCGCCCCAGCTTTGATAGCCCAGATCACGACGGCGGTACTCACCTCCAGGGCGTCGACCAAGAAGGATTCGACTACGTCAGAGGTCCATGGACCATCGACCAATACACCAGTACCTTCATCTACATCTACACAATCGACGTTGACGATGGATTGTGACGACAGCCTGGCTATGGCTTGGCTATCTCACTTTTCTGCCTGAGTTATCAAAAGATGATGACAAACCGACGTGTGCTGGCTTAAAGGTTGGAGATACGCCGCAGTCTCTTCAGTCTTCTCCTCCCAATGTCTTCAGAGCCATGGTTCACGATATGGACCAGAACTTGCCTCTGCTCTGCCGGGGCAGAGTTTCAGCAAACCACCTGTTCGATCGCGTTACCCGATCTATGGCATGCCGTTTTCGTCACCCATGAGTAAGGACTTGGATTGGGGGCTACTCTTCAAGAAACCAGCGCCCTCCAAGATTCTTGTAGTAGACAGGCATTGGGGTTCCATGGACACTGCTGTTCGTCTCCAGCTACAACCGCTTGCTATGCTGTCGACAGCGAGCCGGCGGGGGAGGTAATGAGGTCCCTTTTCCCCGCCGTCACCGTCGTCGGAGCCTACTACCTTTAGACGAGCTACCGGTAGGGGGAAGACTTCATCACACGGATCATGAAGACGGTCGTAGAATGGCTCCGTCGGCAGGCGATCAGGGTCGCCTTCTACCTAGACGAGCCGTCTCCTACGGGCGACAGGCTCACTAAATTACCGGAATTGCAGAAAATTCTACGTGCCTTCATGGTTGAAGATGAGTCACATTAATTCCGCCTGCCGGCCTGGGACCTCGATATCGTTCTGCGCTACCTGTCTAGTTAGACTTACGAGCCTCTCGATCAGGTCGCCTTTGACATTGTCTCCGACTAGAAGTACTGCTCGTATTTTTTAGTTACCTTGTATACTGCGAGTTGCTCTGTAACTACATTATGCGCCGACCACACTTCGATCGCATTTCATCTGTCGTGTGCAGTTGTCATGTCGCATCGATAATTTGTTGTGTGTCGAAGAGCATTAACCATGCTATTTTTCGTTACCTTGGATACGACGAGTCGTTCTGAACCACTTTATATACCGTCCACACTTCGATCGCAATTCAACTGTCGTGTGCAGTTGTCCTGTCGCTTCGATAGTTACTTGTGGGTCGAAGAGCATTAAACATGCTGTTTTAGTTACCTTGTATACTGCGAGTTGCTCTGTAACTAAATTATGCGCCGACCACACTTCGATCGCAATTCATCTGACGTGTGCAGTTGTCATGTCGCATCGATAATTTGTTGTGTGTCGAAGAGCCTTAACCATGCTATTTTTCGTTACCTTGGATACGACGAGTCGTTCTGAACCACTTTATATACCGTCCACACTTCGATCGCTATTCAACTGTCGTGTGCAGTTGTCCTGTCGCTTCGATAGTTACTTGTGGGTCGAAGAGCATTAAAGATGCTGTTTTAGTTACCTTGTATACTGCGAGTTGCTCTGTAACTAAACTATACGTCGACCGCTTCGATCGCAGTTCAACTGACGCGTGCAGTTGTCCTGTCGCATCGATAATTAGTAGTGTGTCGAAGAGCATTAAACATGCTGTTTTAGTTACCTTGCCTACGACGAGTCGTTCTGTAACTACATTATAAGCCGACCACGTTTCGATCGCACCTCAACTGACGTGTGCAGTTGTCCTGTCGCATCGATACTTACTTGTGGGTCGAAGAGCATTAAACATGCAGTTTTAGTTACCTTGGATACGACGAGTCGTTCTGAAACTAAATTATATGCCGTCCACACTTCGATTGCAATTCAACTGTCGTGTGCAGTTGCCTTGTCGCATCGATACTTACTTGTGGGTCGAAGAGCATTAAAGATGCTGTTTAGTTACCTTGTATACTGCGAGTTGCTCTGTAACTAAACTATACGTCGACCACTTCGATCGCCGTTCAACTGACGCGTGCAGTTGTCCTGTCGCATCGATAATTAGTAGTGTGTCGAAGAGCATTAAACATGCTGTTTTAGTTACCTTGCCTACGACGAGTCGTTCTGTAACTACATTATAAGCCGACCACGTTTCGATCGCACCTCAACTGACGTGTGCAGTTGTCCTGTCGCATCGATAATTAGTTGTGTGTCGATGAGCATTAACCATGTTGTGCGTTCGTGATAAACAATTTGTCTCGTCCGTGCATCTGGTCGAATGTTCTATTGTCACTACGGGGGTGAGGAACTTGGTACATTCGACGTGCAAGAGGTCACTTCCGGATTACTTTCCAGACCCTCCTTCCAGTGTTCCGTCGAATTCTACCCAATTGTACGACTGAAAACAGACTAAAACATGGGTTTTTCAGATTAAAAACGATGTTTTATTGGTCTGTTTTCAGTCGTACGTTCCCACCCAGCCATCCCCACTGGGAAGTAATCCAGTCCAGTCCTGCTTGATGGCTTATTCTTCGAGATTTGTGGCATGTCATCGGGAGGTGCGTGCGCAACCGGACGGAAACAAGTTTATTGTTTACATTCCAGCTTCTAGCTTCCTTTTAACGTGCGACTAGAGGTATGAGATACCCAATTGTACGACTGAAAACAGACCAATAAAACATCGTTTTTAATCTGAAAAACCCATTTTTATCCTTTAGCTTTATACTGCCTAGAAAGCTACCCATATGTTGATACTAGCTTGTGTTTGAATATCGTTTTGATGTATGTAGGAATGGTGGACCAACTTGTGGCTGAATGAGGGTTTTGCGTCATGGATCGAGTATCTGTGTGTGGACGAGTGTTTCCCTGAGTATGACATCTGGACACAGTTTGTCAACATGGATCTGGGCCGGGCCCTGGAGCTGGACGCCCTTCACACCAGTCACCCTATTGAGGTACGGGATAATAATGATAATAAGAACAACAAGTTCATTTCGATAGTGCCACACATGTTAAGTTCTGGGTTAGAATTGGTCTTCAGCAACCCATGCTTGCCATAAAAGGAGATTTTGCTTGTCGCAAGAGGCAACTAACGGGATCAGGTGGTCAGGCTTGCTGACTTGGCTGATGCATGTTATTGTATCCCAGTCACTGGATTGTCTGGTCCAGACTCGATTATGTACAGACCGCCATTATATAGCTGGAATATTGCTCAATGATACAACAAATGATTCTGCACCTGATGGTATGCATATAGCATTACTTTTCAATATTATTCCCCTGGTTTGTGGATCAGTGTGCACCAGAAGGATGGATGAAACTTGGTCTACAGATCAGTCTAGTAGTGACCTGGTGCCTTTTGATTATTTGGGACTTTGAAAAATACTCAACAGCATTATTTTTTTCTTCACTGAACTGAAGGTATCCAATGGCATTGAACCTAAAGTGGTGTATAAGTTACTTAAGTAGCTCTTGTTAATGTTGTAACTCAAGGTCCCAGTGGGCCACCCAGCAGAGGTGGACGAGATCTTTGATGCCATCTCCTACAGCAAGGGAGCCTCTGTCATCAGGATGCTGCACGACTACCTGGGGAACGAGGTCAGTTGAAGTCAGATTCAGAGAAGTGAACAGAAATGGTGTTGACAGATGAAGATGAAACTTGCATTACAGTATTAAATGCTGCCACGTTGATGTTGTTCCTCCATCAGGAGTGATTAAAGTGTTTGCTTGTCACAACAAAGTCCCGGATTCGATTCCTCGCATTGGTACAATGTGTGAAGCCATTTCTGGTGTCCCCTGCTGTGATATTGCTGGAATATTGTTAAAATCTCATCCTCATCCTAAAATCCTTCATCTCTGGGGAGATTAAGGGTCCAAAATGGATTGGGTGGTCATTCTCAGTGACTTGATTGATTGTGTGTCATTGTACCTCGACGGCATGGATCGTTGCTCACAATATCAATCACATAGATTGTCTGGTCCAGACTTGAATATTTACAGACTGTCATCATTTAACTGGAATATTGCTGAGTGCGGCATAAGATAACAAACACTCACTCACTGTCCCCGTGACTTCCACAAGGGCATGATAAGTAGCTTGATAGGTATTTCGAAACTGCATTCAAAATGGGGATCAGTGGTTACAGCAGGGGTCCGGAAACCGTCATATGCGCCGGACATGTCCGATTGGGAATCTCAAATGTCCGTTTTAAAATATTGCTTACCGGACATTTTAAAAAGTATTGTCCGGACATTCTTAAATTTTGACCGGACATGATCAACAGTTAGGACTGAGCAGTTTCTGTCTGCAGTTGCAACACAATGAAGATTAACTACACTGACAAGCTTTGTTTGTTTTGATTGCTGTAAATACATCGTACCTACATGATAGTCCAATCAGTCAATCACTGTAATAGGCAATAAACTGAGTTGACACTGATTAATCGAGGATTAATTACTGAGAACATCTTGTTAATTTGAGTGAAAGGTGTTTACAACTGTACATTAATACCTTGCATCATCGATGTACCTCATTATCCTCACAATGCTACGATACGTAACCTCAGACAAGCGTGACGACAGCCAGTCGACCGATGCAGATCAGTCGAGCGGATCTGCCAAACCCTCAAAGTCTGGACGATCATTTTGTAAGTCGTGGCTAACGGCTTTCACTTGGTTGACAAACAATGAGGATTTGCAGATTTTATTTTTTTCAGTAGCTAGTCGTATATTGAATCTTGATTGACCGCCATTTTGCTTTCTCGGACGATCGATATCCAATTTTTTTATGGTCAATAATTAAGTACAGATGAAAAAAGTATTCAAATAACTATTGCTATCAACGATATTTTAGTATTTGTGATTAAATTATCTGTCTTGTTTTTAAAAAAATCTTTAGTTTAAAAAAAACTTTTCCCGTGAGGTCATGTGATAACCAAATATGGGATAATAGTCTCGATCCAAATGTTACAACGCGTACACTTGAGCAGACTCATGAATATAACTCATGAATATTAATTAGACCGTTCACTACGTTAATAGATCGTTATTATAACAGAAACAAACGTATGTTTTCCATGTAAATCTAAAATTATATTATTTGTTATTAATTGTCCGGTGAATTAAACAATTTAAATTGAAACAATTAATAATTCATCATGTTATGAATACGTAAACTTGTAATGTGTGTGAAAAGTCGTACTAAAATACGCTATTTGAAGGGGGCGTGGCCTAAATGCAAATGTCCGATTGGGATTTTAAATTTTCCGGACCCCTGGGTTACAGTGTTAAGAATGTGGATCAGGTCGTTACAATGTCTTAGAAGTGGGGATCAGGTAGTTACAGTGTTTGCATTTGGAATAGGGTTTTTATAGTGTGTTAAAAATGAGATGGTTAGAACATGTGATAACAAACAAACACTCACTGCCCTCAGGACTTCCGCAAGGGCATGAACAAGTACCTGACCCAGCACCAGTACAAGAACACTGTCACTGAGGACCTGTGGGTGTCCCTGGGTGAAGCCAGCGGCAAACCGGTGGCCAAGATGATGGACACCTGGACCAAGCAGATGGGCTTCCCTGTCATCAAGGTGAGCTGAGGAGATTAGACAGACAGATAGACAGGTTTGTGTTGCTTCAATGTCGGCTTGTCAACTTTTCATAGGGATCCTGTGGTTTCAGATTGTGGTTTATTTCAATGAAATCAAATGTGAAAGAATTAAATTCTAATTGTCTGACAGCATTCCAAACGATCATTAAAAGTATCCATGTTAGATCAGGTGGTTACAGTGTTTAAAATGGGAATCAGGTGGTTACAGTGTTTGAAATGGGGATCAGGTGGTTACAGTGTTTGAAATGGGGATCCGGTGGTTACAGTGTTTGAAATGGGGATCGGGTTGTTACAGTGTTTGAAATTGGGATCGGGTGGTTACAGTGTTTGAAATGGGGATCGGGTGGTTACAGTGTTTGAAATGGGGATTGGGTGGTTACAGTGTTTGAAATGGGGATCAGGTGGTTACAGTGTTTGAAATGGAGATCGGGTGGTTACAGTGTTTGAAATGGAGACCGGATGGTTACAGTGTTTGGAATGGAGATCGGGTGCTTACAGTGTTTGAAATGGAGATCGGGTGGTTACAGTGTTTGAAATTGGGATGGGTGGTTACAGTGTTTGAAATGGGGATCGGGTTGTTACAGTGTTTGAAATGGAGATGGGGTGGTTACAGTGTTTGAAATGGAGATGGGGTGGTTACAGTGTTTGAAATGGAGATGGGGTGGTTACAGTGTTTGAAATGGGGATCGGGTGGTTACAGTGTTTGAAATGGGGATCAGGTGGTTACAGTGTTTGACATGGGGATCGGGTGGTTACAGTGTTTAAAATGGGGATTAGGTGGTTACAGTGTTTCAAATGGGGATCAGGTGGTTACAGTGTTTGAAATGGAGATCGGGTGGTTACAGTGTTTGAAATGGGGATCGGGTGGTTACAGTGTTTGAAATGGGGATCGGGTGGTTACAGTGTTTGAAATGGGGATCGGGTGGTTACAGTGTTTGAAATGGAGATCGGGTGGTTACAGTGTTTGAAATTGGGATCGGGTGGTTACAGTGTTTGAAATGGGGATCAGGTGGTTACAGTGTTTGAAATGGGGATCCGGTGGTTACAGTGTTTGAAATGGGGATCCGGTGGTTACAAGATCTTTCAAATGGGGATTGGGTTGTTTCAAGATCTTTCAAATGGTGATTGGGTGGTTACAATATGTGTCACTGTGGAATCCTGCTCACTTTATTCTTTGTTTTGGTGGGGATTTAGTTTGTTCGTAATAATTATCATTGAGTTGTCATCTCCAGGTGAGTGAGAGACAGGATGGAGACAAGCGGATTCTCACCATCAGCCAGGAGAAGTTCTGTGCTGACGGTAAATTACCTGCAGGTATGGTTGACTTTACACTTGATGTGATGAACGATTTACATGCATGACCAAACGACCAAACAACAAAAAATTGTTCAACCTCATTTGGATCATTCACCGATACAATACCTCTCGGCGGAAGATCTGACAACTTTTCGATAGAAGGCCTGGTGAACTTAATAATGTAAACAAGTGTTCGAAATTAAGCATGAAAGTCATGGGGTCCTTGTCATAGCCCTTGGTTTCAACTGAGTAGGTCCCCAGATTCAAATACTTCAGGAGCAAACCTAAATTTCAAGTACTGTTTTTGGTACGATTGAACAAGGCATATTTGATTTCTGTATCAAGAAAAGAAACTAGAATGATTTGTTTCAAATGTAGATGAATGAAATTGTAAAAGTGTACAAAGGAGGTTGTAAAGAAAGGAAGCTGAATAGTTTTAGTAATCTTAAATCTGTTTGGCTAAAGAACCCATGTGTCCTTCACTTACATTGGGTGGTCAAAGTGTGCACAGGTTTCATGTGACACGACCTATTGAAATGTCGTCAGACCTTCATGCAGAGGGGTATCCTGAAAAGATCTGATGTTGATGAGGTTGAATAATTCTTCAGATGATGGTGATCTGATGCACAGAATAGGATGACCCAACACCTAAAGGAGGGGATGATAGAAGTGGAAACTATTTACTTTTTAATGTTCTATTTTTGTTTCAACCAATGCTCGCATATTTGTTTGTGACAAATCTGTAAACAATAACAACATAATACAGTAGTTTACTTGCCTTATTGAAAGTCAATGCCAGAGAAACCAAATGAAATTTAAGACAAAGAAAAACTAGAGGGGACCCAGGTTACTGTACTGCTGGTCGGGCTGATGTTGTGGAGATAATGTCAGCCAGTGGTGTCTAGAATGTTTGTTTTTCCTGTCAGTCGTTGCCCTTGTGTATTGGGTGTGTATATTATTGTGAGTGGACCTCCATGTTGACAGGTGACAAGTCCAGCTGGTTGGTGCCCATCAGCTTCTCCACCGCCGGCAGCCCCACCACCCCTGTCAAGACCATCATGCTGGAGGGACAGAGTTCAGAGGTCACACTGGACAATGTCAAGGCTGGAGAGTGGGTCAAGGTCAGCATGCCTTTTAAGCCAAAAAATAATGTATATTAAGTTCAGTGAATTTGTGAACTATGTCGCAATCTCATTTTAATCAGATCTTAGTTTTCGCTACCGCTAAACAAAGATCTGAGGACATCCCGTTACGGGTCACGTCAGACCGACCTTGCGCGAACTTTGACCGATCAATGGAATAACCAATCAGAAGGCAGCTTTCTCGTGCTTTACGGCTCTAATTTCAAATTGGCGACTACGTTTTGAAACATATTTTGAAAAATTCACGATTACAAATTTGAAACCTGCACAAAAGAACATTCTGGAATAGTGAATAAATGGTCTAGATTGTATGGATTCAGTCGTTAAACCCGTTACTATCGTTTGGAATAAAGTTTTCGAGGCTGCATTAGAAATCGCATTCCGACGGTCACTTTCATAATCTGGTAAGCGATGCTCTGATTGGCCGGATGAAAGGTCATTCTGACGTGACCCCTAATGGGATGTCCTCAGATCTTTGTTCAGCGGTAGCGAGAACTGAGGTCTGATTTTAATGAGATTGTGTTTGTCGTGAGTTGATAGACGGTACTATGGTGCTACTTTGGAGATACATCAGTAGTACACAGTGGGTGTGTACAAGGAACACAGGTGGGACCGAATAGTACATCAGTGGTATCAAGATAATACATGGATGGTATATGGGTGGTACATTGATGCTACGAATGGTACAGAGGTGATACATAGATATATGTAGGTGGTATCTCCTTGTGATTGGAGAACACCACTACAGTGAATGTGTAAAGAGTAAAGTTCACCGATGGCAAATATGTTGTTCATTGAACATACATGGGTTGTTCATGGATGATACAGACCCGTTTAGATCCGGGTAGGAAACAGGTCTGCAGCAACCCAGGCTATGCTTGTCGTAAGAGGCAGCTAACGAGATTGGGTGGTCAGGCTCCCTGACTTGGTTCATGCCTGTCATCACAGAAGGTACATAGGTGGTACATAGATGTTATGCAAATGGTACATGGGTGGTACATAGATACACAGATGATACACATATGGTACATGGGTGGTACACAGATGATACACATATGGTACTTCGGTGGTACACAGATGATACACATATGGTACATGGGTGGTACACAGATGATAACACATATGGTACATGGGTGGTACACAGATGATACACATATGGTACATGGGTGGTACACAGAGGGTACATGGGTGGAACACAGATGATACACATGGTACATGGGTGGTACACAGATGGTACATAGATGGTACATAGATGGTAAACAGATGGTACACAGATGGTATACAGATGGTATATGGGTGGTATCTGCTTGTGACAGGTCAACACCAACACAGTGGGTGTCTACAGAGTCCAGTACACCACAGAGATGCTGGCAGCGTTGATCCCGGCCGTCAAGGACCGATCCCTCCCTCCCAGAGACAGACTCGGACTACAGAATGACTTATTTGCACTGGTCAGTATAAATACAATCCTGGAGAAGGCTTGGTTCTCTACCAATAATACAAGAAGCTTTCATGCACAACAAAGAAAACATGTTATTCTTCAATCCGTGTCTTAAACAGCTATACGACTTTAAACACTTCAATGCTACAAGTAGATATTATCTGAAATGATGAGGAGAGGGCCTTAATGATAACTGCATTGGTACAAGTAGATTCAGGTATGTCTTCATTATTGGTGTTCATTCTATCAGGCCCGAGCTGGTATGGCGGCATCAGAGGACGTGTTGAAGGTGGCCGAAGCATTCATTAACGAGGACAACTACACCGTGTGGAATGACCTTGCCCTTAACCTGTCCAGCATGGCCGTCCTCCTCCAGTACACGGACTGCTACGACCTCTACAAGGCCTTCGCCCGCGACCTCTTCTCCCAGGTGGCAAAGACAGTGGGCTGGGACAAGAAGGAGGGGGAAAGTATGTGATGCCAGTGATTGAAATCTTCTTAAAACACCATCTTCTGGTTTCATTGTGAATTAGTTATTGTTTTATTACAGCACCCTGTGAAGATACGGGTTAGAAATGATCTTCAGCAACTCATGCTTGTCGTGAGAGACGACTAGCAGGATTGGGCGGTCAGGCTCGCTGACTTGGTTAATGCATGTAATCATATCCCAATTGGGTAGATCGATGCTCATGTCATTCCCTGGATTGTCTGGTCCAGACATGATTATTTACAGACTGCCATATACCATTGGTAATATCATTCCTTGATTCCTATCTCAGGCCAGCTGACAGCCATGTTGCGAGATCTGATCCTGACCAAGATGGGTCGCTATGGTGATGAACCGACTGTAGCAGAGGCCAGGAAGAGGTTTGAGAGTCACTACAAGGGAGATAATGTCATCTCACCTGATCTCAGGGCTCCGGTGAGTGTTTTGGGAGGAATAGTTTTTTTGGGTTTGTTTGAAAAAAATGTTAAAATGTCAACAAGATCATAATTTGGAGGGATAATTGCAGCATTTATTCTCTGGATATGCAATGTTGGGACATTGAACTGTAACATATTGCTTAGGGAATGGGAATTGTGGTTGGAGACTGTTTGATTGGTTCACATCATTTATAAACATTGTTACGATTGGCTTGGGTAAAGGTCTCTTTCTGCATGTGAGAAAATCAAGAACGTAGCTGAAGTGTCAAACAATTTCAGGGTCCATGAAATTGGAGATCAGCATGCTGAACAGGAAGTGAATGAGTATCGATGACAACTCTTCTGTCACAATGGGCTATACATTGTTTCCAAGAGAACTTCAGCTACCGTATATGACCGCGGATAAGCCGACCCCGTAGATAAGCCGAGGTGTTAATTTGACCATTGAAATACGAAAGAAAATGATATGACCCGCAGATAAGCCGAATCAGGAATTGAAAGACAAAAAACACTGCGAAGTCGGACTGCAAGACATGTGCCGGTACTCGCAGATATTCAAAAATATAAGATGAAAAACGTTGTAATTATATTGAAAAAGTCATTATTATTTCTAATAAAGATTTAACAAACCAGTCATCCACTTTCATAATGTGGGAAGCTGTTTCTCGTGGGTTTTTTTAATCTCATAATGATCGTTATAGTTGCCATCAACAACCAAGCGCCATTTTGTGAATCGGTGTATATAGAATTCTGAACCCGTGAGAAAATATATTAGCTGGAGCGAAAACTCGCAGTTTGAATTCAGCATCGTAAGCATGGCGTTTTCGTTTAAAACTCATGATGAAAATGTCAGTCAGTAAAAATATACCAACTTTTATAACCCCCTTTACACCACTATTGTATGTTAATCCAATTGAATTAAATAAACTATCATACTATGAACACATTGAATGACCATCACTTACTCACAGGCTTTTCCAGTTTATTAAACTAATCTCTCGAAAACAAAGGAATTAAGCCCCTACTCCCAACACGATCGCTAAGCACCCACAACTTGAAAATGTTTGTGTAAACAACATGACAATAGCAATCGGCCCGTTATTTTCAATGCTGATTTCCTTGTGTACCGTGTTGCTTTAAACAACAGGAAGCAATCACAGTGGTCACCGTTTGTGACGTCACAGGAAACAGCTGATCACATGTTTTTGCAAATGGCGAACGGAATAACTCGCCGATACAGTTGTTTATTTGCCCCTTTCAATAAAGGTAGACACTTGTTCACTATCAATTTATGAACTTTGCAAAACGTACGTAATAGCTATTGGCGATTTTATCTGGGGATTATATATTATAGCTGTGAATCACGTATATTGTTACATGTAAAGATTGTGGAGTTGACGAAGAACGATAAACTTTGAACATTCAATTGAAAACTTATTATCGGAAGTAGTAACATGCATAACATTTTTTTAATAATGACAACATTGGTGTATAATAATAACTTTATTGATAATTTATAACAATAATGGCTCTAGTTGTGGCAACTTCCAAACTTTCGGGAAGTTGTAATCTATCGGACCGTCATTCAGGCGATGTTTCTGGCAGATCACGATCTGAAAAATACTATCATGAAAGTGTATCCCGTGGATAAGCCGACCCCTTTCTACAGAATCTTTTTTCTGGTCCTCAAAATTCGGCTTATACGCGGTCATATACGGTACTTTTTGACCAAAGTAGAAAATTGTGATTAAAGTTCAATGTCAGCTAGAGTGAACAGTGCAGAGGTATAATGGGGAAAAATGGAAAGCTTGGATGGGTATCAGGTTTTATGCTACTATTCCAGTCAACTAGACGTGCAGATACTTTTAACACTAGACTAGACCTGTGGATTCTGAGATAACACATAAACGAGTTGTGAAGGTGTTTGGTGGAGTGGTCCCTGTATTTTATCCAACTTCCAAGTCCCCAATAGTGGATGCATGTTGTAAGAGTCCACTAAATGTGTAGGTGACAAGGGACCTGGATCATTGTTCTTGCTTCCAACTTCAGCCTCGTCAGCTCCTGGGCCCTGTTTGACAAAGTGACGATTGTAGCTCCTCTGCTTTAACATAGAATTGTGACAATCGATTCGCTAAGATTAAAGATCAGGATGATAAAGCTGTAATATCACTGACTGATTTGAAAAACCATGTTCACTCACCTGTTCAAATAATATAGATATGTTATATTTCTTGCTCTTCAGGTGTTCATCACAGTCTTGTCTCAAGGCAAAAGTGAAGACTTCGACAAGATGTTGGAGGTAAGCTACTCCAATACATTCGGCATCATTAGCGTTAGCTGTCCGTTGTTGGTTAATGAATGAATGGATGGTAAGAAGAGACATTTACAGTAGCTTATTTGTCCAAGAGGGCTGAGGGCTAAAAGAATGTAAGGCTTTTTGGAAGATTTCTTAAGTTTGGGGGCTAAACTCTCTTCCCCCCCCCCTCCCCCCCCGGTGATTAACATGCATATCTATGGCTGTCTGTGTCTGATGTGTGTTGACTCTGTCTGTGTCTGATGTGTGTTGACTCTGTCTGTGTCTGATGTGTGTTGACTCTGTCTGTGTCTGATGTGTGTTGACTCTGTCTGTGTCTGATGTGTGTTGACTCTGTCTGTGTCTGATGTGTTTTGACTCTGTCTGTGTCTGATGTGTGTTGACTGTCTGTGTCTGATGTGTGTTGACTGTCTGTGTCTGATGTGTGTTGACTCTGTCTGTGTCTGATGTGTGTTGACACAGTCTGTGTCTGATGTGTGTTGACACTGTCTTTGTCTGATGTGTGTTGACACTGTGTCTGATGTGTGTTGACTCTGTCTGTGTGTGATGTGTGTTGACTCTGTCTGTGTCTGATGTGTTTTGACACAGTCTGTGTCTGATGTGTGTTGACACTGTCTGTGTCTGATGTGTGTTGACACTGTGTCTGATGTGTGTTGACTCTGTCTGTGTGTGATGTGTGTTGAATCTGTCTGTGTCTGATGTGTGTTGACACAGTCTGTGTCTGATGTGTGTTGACACTGTGTGTCTGATGTGTGTTGACCCTGTGTCTGATGTGTGTTGACACTGTCTGTGTCTGATGTGTGTTGACACTGTGTGTGATGTGTGTTGACTCTGTCTGTGTGTGATGTGTGTTGACTCTGTCTCTGTCTGATGTGTGTTGACACTGTCTGTGTCTGATGTGTGTTGACACTGTGTCTGATGTGTGTTGACCCTGTGTCTGATATGTGTTGACACTGTCTGTGTCTGATGTGTGTTGACTGTCTGTGTCTGATGTGTGTTGACTCTGTCTGTGTCTGATGTGTGTTGACACAGTCTGTGTCTGATGTGTGTTGACACTGTCTGTGTCTGATGTGTGTTGACACTGTGTCTGATGTGTGTTGACTCTGTCTTTGTGTGATGTGTGTTGACTCTGTCTGTGTCTGATGTGTGTTGACTCTGTCTGTGTCTGATGTGTGTTGACACAGTCTGTGTCTGATGTGTGTTGACACTGTCTGTGTCTGATGTGTGTTGACACTGTGTCTGATGTGTGTTGACTCTGTCTGTCTGATGTGTGTTGACACAGTCTGTGTCTGATGTGTGTTGACACTGTGTGTCTGATGTGTGTTGACCCTGTGTCTGATATGTGTTGACACTGTCTGTGTGTGATGTGTGTTGACACAGTCTGTGTCTGATGTGTGTTGACACTATGTGTGTTGACTCTGTCTGTGTGTGATGTGTGTTGACTCTGTCTGTGTCTGATGTGTGTTGACACTGTCTGTGTCTGATGTGTGTTGACCCTGTGTCTGATATGTGTTGACACTGTCTGTGTGTGATGTGTGTTGACACAGTCTGTGTCTGATGTGTGTTGACACTGTGTGTCTGATGTGTGTTGACCCTGTGTCTGATATGGGTTGACACTGTCTGTGTCTGATGTGTGTTGACACAGTCTGTGTCTGATGTGTGTTGACACTGTGTCTGATGTGTGTTGACTCTGTGTGTGATGTGTGTTGACACAGTCTGTGTCTGATGTGTGTTGACACAGTCTGTGTCTGATGTGTGTTGACACAGTCTGTGTCTGATGTGTGTTGACACTGTGTGTCTGATGTGTGTTGACCCTGTGTCTGATATGTGTTGACACTGTGTGTCTGATGTGTTATTTGTGTTTCTGTTCAGCTCTACGACAAGGCCGACATGCAGGAGGAGAAGAGTCGTATTGGGCGAGCTCTTGGTGCAGTGAAAGACGAGGAGTTGATAAAGCGAGTCCACGAGTTTGCTATGACTGTGAGTAGATCTCTATGTAGGGAAGCTATGAATAAGTGTTAAGATCATATTTATATTTCAGGGAATCATATTTATATATTCATGACTAAAGTGTAAACAATATTAATAGCAATGAGCCTGCATTCATGGATGAAAACAGTGATTCCTCCATATACTGCTGCCATTGGGGCCAAGATCCTGACCCTGCATTCTTGGAAAAAGCGCTGTACAGATAATGTATTCGACGTAATAAGCACCCTGCTCTAATAAGCGCCCACGGCAACATTTGCTAAGATATTGACTAGTGAACAATCCCTATTAGCACCCCTTCCGATTAATCAGTGTACACAAGACTTATTTATTTGCGTATAATACGCACTCGTGTGTTATATGCAACCTTAATTATGGGCAATTAAAATCTGGAAAAATATACATCGTACATAAACATATCAGGCTGTCAGCATAAACCACGAAATTGATCTATTAACTCACCAAACAATATTCTAATAAGAGCCCCCTATTTCTAATAGCGCCCTGTGCGCTTATTATGTTGAATACGGTATTCATTATGATGGTAGTGAATGGAATGTAATTATTTCACAGTGGCATGTGACATGAATCTATGTAACCTTGACCTCTTTATGGTCCTTGGGTCCATGGATATCTCGGGACAGTTTCTGTGCTTGCATTTTCACAATCTCCCAATGCATGAACCACGTCTAGTGTAGAGTCAGTTGCACCTTTATTTTCCGTTTCTTCTGCAGTCCCCCGCTTTCCTGCGTCTAAAATGCACGGTCTTGAAGGTTTTTTTTCTTCTTTAAGCCATCCACGTAAGGTCCCTTCCGAAATTCCAGTTGATTGGCTAACACTAGCTTGTGGTTCACCATCTTCCTGAGGCAAGGGCGTTAACTGACTACAAAAGTCAAGTTTCTACCCTTGCCGAACTAGGCTGGAATTTCCAGGCTCGATCGTAGTGCCACCAGTGGTTAGTACGTCCCTTCCCTCCTACTGACCAATCAGATTCCACCTCTCATATCACTTGCAATTGCTTCAGTCAAAATGTCAGTGCCCAGTCAAGATGATCTGATCGATGATCAAGACCTATATTGTAATAAAATGGACCTTATCTCACGAAGTGCATCAGATCATTTGAGCACCTTAATTAAAAACATGAAAAACTTTTTAAAATATCCTTCGACGCGCTGTTGGCAGTATACATGCTTTGCAAATCCTTCAGTCCACCGAAATCTGCATGTAAAAATCCATGTTGTTTTCGAAGCAGATATCTAGTTTGTTTCGCGATTTTGATTGAACTAAGGTGGACTAGTTCGGCAAGGGTGGAAACTGGACTTTTATCGTCAGTTAACTCCCTTGCCTCGGGAAGATGGCGTTTCACCTTCTCTCACCCGCTTCACAAACTCCAACTGGTCTTTAATACTGTACGTTTGTCGCTTAGAATTACTCTGTGGTTCCTATGATTCAAATGGTAAAGACTAACAAACTAAGATTATTTTGTACCCTTCCTAATTCCGCTATTTAATCAATGAAGTTTCAATGGGTTTTGAGATCTCTGGTTACTCAAGTCCGGATTATATACCGAATTAAATACTCAAAGCCATTGTTTTTGTTGTTGTATAACACGTGGTCGAATTAAATCTCATCAGTTTATTGGTCACATTCTTTGTATTAACACACTTTTTTAGGGAAATCTCCATGGATTTTGGGGAGCCAAGGGCTACCCTGCACTGCATCCAGGCTAGTGGTACATTGAGGAGCGTTATGTCGAGGAATCACTGTATTAGAGGTGTAATGATACGAAGGGGTTGTAATGTGATACGTATCCTGATACAGTACTTCTGTTTCACATGTTAATATTCTTTCTTTTTGAAGGTGAATCTGAATCATTTGTTATTAATTTTCACAGATCAAAGATGGGATATTGTTATATTGGAGAGGGCACTGTGAATGTTATGCTATATATAGCCAACTGGAAAATACAAGAGAATCTGTGTCAGATGGTTGTTGAACAATTTCTGTTATTATTCACATGTCCTCCACAGTGATATTGCTTGAATATTGCTAAAAGCAGTGTAAAACCATACTCACTCACTATATTCATTCATGTTTTCAGGACAAAGTCCGTGCTCAGGACACAGTGTTTGTGCTAGCTGGGGCCACTGGCTCAGCCAAGGGGAGAGAACTCACTTGGAGCTTTGTGAAAGAGAATTGGAAAGAAATGCATGAGAGATATCACAGCTTCCTGTTGGCCAGGCTTGTGAAGGTGAGTGAGATTTGAAGCAATGGGACCATATGTCTGCATCATACATGATACTCATCAACATCCCCTCACATTGGATGTCCATGCGTATGGATTCCGGGTTAGAATATAGGTCCCCAGCAACCTATGCTAGATGATTCAATGGATCCGTATCCCAGACTCGGTGATGTGGTTGACTGCATGTCATTGTATCGCAGTTGTTCATGATGTCAATCACTGTATTGCCTGGTCCAGAATTGATTATTTACAGAAAACCATCCTATAGCTGGAATATTGCTGAGCACGGCGTTTACAACAAACAAAACAACCCAGTGGGTTCCTGAGGCAGAAGAGGTCCATATTAGGAATTTATGGTTACAGCTTGTGTGAGCCTAACTGACTGTGTGTCATTGTACCCTGATCGTGTGGATCGATGTTCATGCTTTCAGTCACTTGTTTTCCTGACTCAGTTTTGGTTTTGTTTTGTTTGTTTGTTGTTGTCCATTGAGCAACTGTACAAAGTCTTCCTTTGTTTATTGTTAAAGCCATGTATCTTAGACAATCATTGTTAAATACATAAATGTGATCCTCGAACTTCCGCTGTACACTTACCGTTTGTATCAAGGGCCTATGGCCTACAATACACTTGAATAAAGACTACTACACACATTTTGTTAAACACCTCACTCCGCAATATTCCTGCTATATGATGGCAGTCTGTAATTAATCAAGTCTGCCCAGACAATCCAGTGATTGACATCATGATCATCGATCCCCGCAATGGGGATACAATGACATGCATCAAACAAGTCAGCGAGCCTAATCCTGTTAGTCACCTTTTATGCGAGCATAATCGCCTTTTACGGCAACCATGGGTTGCTGAAGACCTATTCTAACCTGGATCTTCACGGATTGACTCTTGATTATGATGAGATGGTAATGTGACTGTTAACCTCCTAGCGCCTCGCAGGAAGCTCTCCATGAATTTGCACAAGTGGAATTCTCCTTCACCTTCTGAAATTCTGAAGTGGGATAATCATTATTGCCTGATCATTTTGTTTTCCACTTAAGTAATTTTTCTATGAATCTTTCCTACTACGACATAGCTGTGCTGTTGCTGTTCACAGAAGGCTTTTAGCGAAACTGACAATCTATCTGTTTCAGTCATCCACAGAAAACTTTGCTACAGAGGAAATGGCCCAGGCAGTTGAGGTAGGTACACAAACTGAGTGAGTGAGTGAGGTTTTATGCCGCTTTTAGCAATATTCCAGCAATATCACAGTGGGACACCACAAATGGGCTTCACACATTGTACCCATGTCGGGAATCGAACCCTGGTCTTCGTCGTGACCAGCAAACGCTTTAACCACTAGGCTACCTGACAGGCCCCACAAACTGAATGAATTACTTACATCACGTATAAAGTGTAGATGGCACACCTTGCAGTCAGTGTTCACTTGTCACACCAAAGGTCTGGGTTTGACTACACACAAGGGTACAATGTGTGACGCCCATTTTTCTATGATGAATGCTTAATATGATGTGATCTATTAAAAGATGGAATTTCGTATCTAAATTACGAAAAAACAATCTCTTCCTCAATCCATGCAAATGATATGCCAGTTGAAGAAAAAGAATCACAAGGACTATATTTTTATCAACACTGGTAAGGGGGGTCATTATTTAGCCTTACAGTGTCTGCTACTAATGTGAGCCTGGTATAAATTTGTTTATAGTGTTCCTACTCCATTAGTATTATCAGATGTTGCTCTAGTTGAAATAGACACTGAGAGATAAACTGATTTTTGGAATGGCATGGCTGTATTGTAATGTAGACGCAAATACAGATTGTAATTTGGTTTGGCAGCTAATGTTTCATGTGCTATTCTTGCAGGAATTCTTCAAGGCCAACCCCGCCCCAGCTGCAGAAAGGACTGTGCAGCAGTCCGTGGAGAACATCCGACTCAATGCAAGATGGATGAAAGAATCGGCAGACAAAGTTTGCCAGTTTTTAAAAAGCAGAAAATAAAATCTTGTCATGTTTCCAGATTGTGATAAATAATTGTTCCTATTTTATGGAAAACAGCAAAACAATTTTTACTTTATGTATGAATTTGTGGTAAGTTAAAGATATTTTTTTACATATTTTTCATGTATTTTGTTTTTGCAATTTAGCAACTAGTCTCAGGCCTTAAGTTTGCTGACTTCAACTTTGACTCTAGATAGCTAATTTATTGTTGGGGCCAGACCACCAGCGATCAGCTTTATTCGACTATTGTACAATTCCATCCAGTCATTCATATTGCAAATACCTCTACAGGTACATGCTGAAATATATATGTGACAATCCATGAGAATCAAGATTTTGTAACAACTTCAGGTACATACAGTTAACCACAAGAAGTGATGATGAAATACACCAATGCATATATTGTGGAAAGAATTTTTCTTACAATGGACTAATTGTCCTTGATTATGTTTGATAGCTGGACATTGGAAATTAAAACTGAAAAAACATTTAATTATGAAATCCATTCAGATAAAATTGATTTTGCATGATTGTATTTCTACTTGTATTGATGAATTATTTGTACAGCATTACTTGTACAGCGTTATTACATGATGGAGAGAGCAAAATGCATGGGTTATCTAAACTTACATTTGTGTATTTAGCGTGCATTGTCTTTAAAGGTCAAAGTAATCTTGAGAGTTAGAATCGTAGCTGTCATTCTGTGAATGAAATTATTTCCTTATTGTTTTGGGCGGTCACGGGTGGTCTAGTCCTCTTAGTGGCGTGATTCGCTGTGCAGAGTTGCGTCCCTTGGGCACACCAGAAACCTATGATTGTGGGTTCGAATCCCAGTTCGCCCCGATTACGTTTCTTGGTTTGTCAGCACCATACCCGTGCTCGTGGGTTTCACTGAAGTGTTAAATGTCTCAGACCTGCATCACATCAGGTTATCCACCCATGTTAAGCTGATACACCGTGATATAAGTGGAATACTTTTAAAAGCTACGTTAAATCCAACTCACTCAATCCTTACTGTTTTGAGAATAAATTCCCTGTAAAAGTTACATTAAAGTTTTACTAATTATTACAGCAGCGACAGCAGATTGTCTCTCCCTGAGTTCTGTTTATTGCCCACAATTTGATTTTGACCAAGAATAAGTAAACATGGTTTATTTGTCCACTTAGATTTGAAGTAGGGTTCTGCTTTGTGATAATAATGGCCTGGAGATTGTGAAATTTCAAATACTTGACCTTCGAATGGCAAAATGAATTTTGAAGCTAAGTAAAATGAATACAATGTTCAAACAATTATGCACAGAGAAGCTCATTGCAATACACTGTAATGTGACATTTTGGTGATTGTCATGGTAACTATTACTATAACCTTGATATATTAACAACACTAAGCAGTATCGGATAGCAAGATGGTAATATTTACTATATTCTACTATTTTGCATTGTTTCGGGCGTGACTGACAGAGGCACAAACTCCATTGAAGTACATTATTTACAGTTCCGATTGTGTTGTACAAACTGTATTACACTGTTGTAGAGTGAAACATTGCTAATAGAAACACAACTGTGCCAAGTGGAATTTCTTTGAACACATTCTGGATCATCAAGTCATGGGGAAGAAAAAATAATTGTTAATTTGGAGTCTACACGATATGCAGCTTTTGGAAGAGAGGCGGCCACATGACGGCGAAACTGACGTTCATGAGCTTATGAACGACCCAAGCTCCGATGTTCATACAGTTTAGCCCTCACTCTATGAAGGTTCCTACTCCAATGAACTCACACAAAGTGAAGGTCAATTCTTAAATGTCTTTATGTATGACCTTCCCCAAAATTGGTTTGGAATGCTGGCTTTCAGGAGTAAAAGTGTTTAGACTAACAAGGGTTCACTGTATGCAGTGTTATGGTGTACAGTCTTCTATCATTGTGGGGACACAGTAAAAGGGAAGACAGTACTGATTATCAATGGCCACTGTTGATCTCACTGTCGGAGTCCCATGAAGTCAAGAGTGGTATGTAGGAAGGTGTTGTCTATCTGTCACTTGCTTTCCGTCTATTCAAGTTTGTAAATTTGGATATTTTTGTGTGTTTAAAACGGCTATAGCCCTTGTTAATCATAATGTGACTTTACACTATGCCATATCCTTAATCAAAATGCCAATCTCATATCACAATAGTTGAGTCCACAGACCTGGTTCTGCACGAATTCTTTCCAGATGTTTGAGTGTGTAGTTGCTATCAATAGATGAGACCCAACAGGAGACAACGGACCTTACGGGACGTAAACTCACTTCCGTAAAAATTGCCATGTGTGCGGACTGTAAAAAGATGTCATATTTTTCTCTCGATATTTCGTAATGTGATGTAAACAATATTTCAAAGCATTTCAGCGTACATGTCTACTTTCAATTGAAATTAGATTTGTTTTGTTTGTTTGTTGTTTAACGCCGCTCTCAGCAATATTCCAGCAATATTCCAGCTATATGACGGCGGTCTGTAAAATAATCGAGTCTGGACCAGACAATCCAGTGATTGACATCGTGAGCATCGACCCACGCAATTGGGATCGATGGCATGTATCAACCAAGTCAGCGAGTCTGACCTCCCGATCCCGTTAGTCGCCTTTTACGACAAGCATAGTCGCCTTTTATGGCAAGTATGGGTTGCTGAAGACCTATTCTACCCCGGAATCTTCACGGGTCAATTGAAATTAGACATTATATCTAAACACTGCAACTATTACATAAACAGTCATTAGTCTGAAAATGGAACTTTGCAGAAAATCAGTCCAAATGTTTGATGCCTTAAATATGAATTATAGCTTATCAATTGTATTTTTGTCATCCTAAGATACTGTAGGTTTAAAATATAAGTGAAAATGTAATCTTTCACTGTATGGTCCCTCATCCCATGGTCCTATTTCTGTTCTGACATTTTCCAGATGAGTTCAGTGTTTCAGTCAGATCAGCCGACACCTGTTATTTTGTGCATGTTTTGGGTTCAAATGTTACGTAAAGTTCAACCATGTAGATGGTATTCCATACCACATTTTTTTCTAAGGTTACATTCCTGTTGATAGAAGCATTGTTTTAGGCGCTATAACGCATGGAATCATTATGGCAGGCACACAAGTTTCATGTTTTATAAGAAAAGTTAACTTTTTGTTTATTGCATATAGTGACGTTCCGATGTAGATTCTTACACCGTTATCTGCCCTTTCTGTTCATGTTGAAGCTAATTTGATGCTAACAAATCAGGAGTCATGCATTCATCATGGTTATAAAGAACAAATGAAGTTCCTTATCAATAATTTGATGTTTTGTTAGTATTGGTTATAAATAACTGATGTTATAACTGTTGCAATTTTTTATAATGGCTTTTTGTCTGTATGAGTATGGAAATATGCTTTAATTATGTGTTATAGAAATATCTGGTACTTTACATGTATTTTTGTGATTGCTAAAAGGGCTTTGAGAGATTATTTTTCAAATGCTTTTGTTTTTTCTTTATCTCTATGCAATTTTTATTTGTTTGGCTTCATGAAGCCCAGTTAATTTTTCAGCAGTGTTTTTATTTGAAATTGTCAGTGCTAAATTTCTATTTTGTTGAATTTTTCATGTGCAAATAATTGTTGTATGTGTATCATATATTAGTGATCAATGTAGGAAATGTTTTTAATAAATGCTTTACAGATTCTGACAATGCTATGATAATGAAAAGGGGAAAAAGATAAATGTCAAAAGTGCTGGGTTGTTTTTTTTCATCTGAGTGCAAAGTTATGTATTTGCCATGAAAACATTGTGTGCACAATAGGTTAAGCTGCAAGAAAGACAAGGGAAGCTTTGATATCACTGTCCATATTGCTTAAAACACTCTGCATTGTTTTATTAACCTACAGACAAGGATTTTTCACACGCCCAAAATCCATCAAACCAATCAAAAAGTCTAACCTCAGGGATTTATCGAGACCTGCATGGAGGCTGATATCTGGCCCTTTTCTACAGAACAACTCAGGAAAAGAACAATTCATTTTGATGTAATTCTAAATAATGTGATGGCTTCATCAAGATGACTTGTATTTCACTGATAACAAGACTAACTCAGAGTAAGAGCCTTGAATGCTTAATTTGAAATTGCTGGAAGAAATGCAATATTACAACAATGCTATGATGCCTCTGAAATTCAAACGTTTGCCAAAATCCCAATTTCAAACAAAATGACAATAGTTTCAGTTACGAATCTTTCACAAATCCATGAACCCAATAGAAGAAACTAAACATATTTCTTCATGTTTGAAACTTAATATAGATGCTATGGTTTCCCTGCTGGATAAGTCAAGGGTCTTTTGGCTTAGACAAATTGCATGGAGTATTATGGACATATGGAGTCATCTCTGTACTGGTGATGAAGCTGGGTTGGGGGTACTGTATTGCCATCATTGGATTACTGTTTGGAAGAAATCTGAGCTCATAATATATGCTTACATTATGTTATTGTTTAGATTTGGACATAGGTATTTATACATCAGTCTTCTGTTGAGCCACAAAGTTCCTTGAGTCATACAGGTGAATTAATTAAATTGCTGAAATTATGATGGTACAGCTGTACTATATATAGCCTTGCTCATTACACTGTTATAGATCTTTCATCTTTTGTGGGGGCGGAGGAGTATACTTATCACAATTTGATCTGTGATTCATGTAAAAGGTTTGCTCGTTGTGCTTTTTCTATTCTTGTCAGGCAGTGGATGTGGAGTTGTTACAAATATGTTTTGAGGGATGCCACCTTCCTCACAGCGCCAGGACCAGGGATTCATATATACAGGGATGTGTATATTACCTATACCAATAAAGAAGTCAACCGTCACCTGTGTTATGTGTCCTTACTGTGGATGGCGAGGTAGCCCCATGGTTCAAGTGCTTGCTTAGCCAGTTGCAGGTTCAAGTCCATTAGGGGTATGGTGGCCCAGTCGGGCTGTTTGCTGTGCCTTGTTGTTTCTAGAAACTTATGGATCTTTACTTGTCGAGCAGGGCACAGATGACATCCTTGTCTTGTCAGGTTGTCAGGGTTAACCTCTTTGGTCATGTGGACAAGGCGTCCGACTACGGATCAGAAGGTCAGTGGTTCGAATCCTATCAGAGACTTTGAAATTTTATGGCTGCTACATTGGTGCACAACATGGGGCTGAACATATTCATATTAGATTTGAACCAAATAAGTCTCAGTACCTACTATGTGGCCTGAGACGTGCCTTCTGTTGACCGGGGAATTGTTGCAGCCACAGGCTACAGGTTGTGAGTTTTATATCTGTTTATTCCATAGTTGTGGAAGAAGACAACCTGTAATTACAATAATTACAGGATACACATAACATAAAGTCACACCTGGTGAACATGTTGTCATAATGACCAAAGTACATAAATGTGCCTGTCTCTGATCTTATAAAGGTATCACACAATAATACAGGGGCAGTTGGGTAGCCTAGTGGTTAAAGCGTTGGCTCGTCACGCCAAAGACCCGGGTTCGAATCCCGACGTGGGTACAATGTGTGAAGCCCATTTCTGGTGTCCCCCGCTGTGATATTGCTGGAATATTGCTAAAAGCGGCGTAAAACCATACATCATCACTAATTCACAATAATACAACAGTATACAGGCGACTATGATCATATGTTTACACGTGATGAACAAAATATATGTTGACATAAGGACTATTTAATAACACATGGCATAATAATGAAACAGACTATAGACACTACAAAGAAACTTACCCTGTGGGTGACACTGGAGTGTCCATGCACCCAGCAGCCGGACAGCAAACGCGGGGAAGACTCCCGCCAGTATCGGTGATGAGACATCAATCTTGCATCATACAGAAAACAGTTACGAAACAAGAATTACTACCAGCATATTGACCAGATTAAACAGAAAAACAAACAATACGCACATGCATACAAGTTTATCGCAGATTGTGTGCATACTTACATTAGGTTTATCATGAACAAATTTATACCTATTTTATGCAATGATTTATATAAGACTTTATTTTACATAGTATATAACCACTAAAATGTATCATAACTAATCACGCAGTCCTCACGCAGTGTGAAGCAGCTATACTCAACAACAAAATATCCTGTGACCAATATTTTAGTGTATTTTTCAAACAAGTAAAGTCTGGTTTTCAATATTTAGTACATGTATGGAATCAAGTCACAAGAACGCAACTGCTACAGAAAAGCATGCATTCCTCGCAAAAGTTGACTTGTATGCAAGCCCCATGCATTTCACTACCCAAGAATAGGTATAAAAACGTGCGTTAACGGGATTCCATATGCATTGTTTAGCATCGTGCTGACAACAACCACTGAGAAAAACAATACGAAATGCCACGCCTGTCCGAAAATGAGCGTCTGCGAGCCATTGGTATGCTTGAAGCAGGATCGAGTCAACGTGATGTTGCAAGACAATTTAACGTCCACAGAAACACAATTTGGTGTTTGTGGCAACGTTGGCAACAGACGAATGCAGTCAGAGACCATCCTCGGAGTGGCTGGCCACGCGTAACCAATAATCGACAAGACAACTGGATTCGAACAACACACCTACGGAATTGATTCCAGCCAGCAACAGTGACTGCAAGAAGCATCCCTGGCCTTCGACGAATATCTTCACAAACCGTACGTCGTCGCCTCAGATGTGCAGGGATTGTCGCTAGAAGACCCGCCAGATGTCCCATTTTGACAGGAAACCACTGTCAAGCATGTCTACAGTGGTGCAGACAGCGTCTACGCTGGACGGCCATGCATTGGGGACAAGTTCTATTCACTGACGAGTCTCGTTTTCACCTCAGCCACAGCGATGGACGGATTCGAGTGTACCGACGTCGAGGTGAACGTTACGTCAATTATTGTGTCATGGAAGAAGATCGGTTCGGGGGCGGCAGCATTATGGTATGGGGTGGGATTACAGCAAGACAGAGGACCCGTTTGATAGTGGTAGAGGGAAATCTCAATGGACAGCGCTACCGCGACGAGATGAATTGACAAGTAGTGAATGACTTGTCAACTCTTAATAGCTTACAGAGCTCGATCATCAGATTTCCAACAAAGTTAGCACCTTGTCGCAGTGGATCCTCTTTGGGTACCCGTAGTGACTGATAAAGTTGTTTAAGAATAGATCTGCCATGGTTTTGGCCGATGTGTTTTTGCAGGGATAAGCTTGGTAGTATCAAGTAAAGAGATCTGTGATTAGTAGCACGTATTGATGTCCTCCCTTGAGGTGAGAAGACCCATGCACACCATTTCTAGTGGTTGGGTTGTTTACTAACGGGGCTCCGTCTGTAGTCGCTTTCCTCTTGACACACCGTTCACGTGTCTATATAGGGGCGGTCGGGTAGCCTAGTGGTTAAAGCGTTGGCTCGTCACGCCGAAGACCCGGGTTCGATTCCCGACATGGGTACAATGTGTTAAGCCCATTTCTGGTGTCCCCCGCCGTGATGTTGCTGGAATATTGCTAAAAGCGGCGTAAAACCATACTCACTCACTCACTCACGTGTCTATAGATGCATGTCAACATCACGTGCCATGCCTGGCCAGAAAAAAAGTTCATTCAGCAGGGAAAATGTCCTGTCTCTCCCAGGCTGTCCGATATTGTCATGCAAGCTACGAATTGAAGGACCGCTAACCTACATTCAGAAGGTCAAACTAGCTGTTTGTGCTTAGTGTCTCCGGGACAGGTGATTCTGTATAAAACTCCAGGCTTGATCCTAAAATGATGGTAGCTCGTTGCGAGGTCATTTCCTTGTCCCCAATGTAAAGTGTCCTGTCAGGTTTCTGTCCAACTTCAAGACTGTCCATAATTGTGGCCATAGCTGGGCCCCACGCCCAATGTAGCGGCCATAAAATGTCCGAGTCCCGTGATAGGATTCGAAACACGTTACTTTTGATCCGAGGTCGGACGCCTTGTCCACATGATCAAAGAGGTTAACCCCGTCAGCCAGCTAACAAGAGAAGGATGTCATCTGTGGGATGACTCCACGCCCGGCTACACTTGCCTAGGCTTTCATTTAAATATATATATATATATATATATAATAATTCCACAGTCATGGCGCAGGACTAAATGACAACGCGTAATCAATTCGAAATCAGAAAATATGTGTTTTTGTGCTCAAGGCCATCTCCAAATACGGTACATTGTTGTGTGTAAATACCTATTGCCTAAATACAGGGCGGTCGGGTAGCCTAGTGGTTAAAGCGTTCGCTCGTCACGACGAAGACCCGGGTTCGATTCCCGACATGGGTACAATGTGTGAAGCCCTTTTCTGGTGTCCCCCTCCGATATTGCCGGAATATTGCTAAAAGCGGCCTAAAATCAAACTTACTCACTCACTAAATATACAGAGCAACCGAATTTGATATTTGTGGCCATATTGCCACTCATTGCAAAAAGTCGAATGCATGTTTTCAGTGTTTTAGTATATATACAACACCCGATTCTTTCATGCTACTATAGTTAATCTGGCATGTTATATTATTTATAGTAAATATGTTGCTGTTATTGCTACGATAGTGTTGAAGATTGTGTTAAACTTCAGTCGATGTATCGTGTTATACGATGCTGTCTTAAGGCCCTGTTACATGCATGTAAGGATTAATATAAGTAATCCGTTTGTCTCGAGATGGATAACTCAATCAGAGTATGTTTATTCCACCCAGGACTTCACGTAAACGAGATTTCACCGTATAGCCTTGTAGAGTCCACGTAATCTCATATTTTTTCTCATGCTGTTTTTATGTGAAATATAACAAGCTGGATATGTCATTTTTGTCATCTGGACAAGTTTTCATTTAAATTAAATGCACACATTCTGTAGTCATGGTGCAGGATTGCCAGTTTGTCTGTGGGGATATTTACCTTAACCCTGCCCCCAAATCCCCACGGGGGACGAAAGGGCCCAGTCGTCGATGGGGCCGCAGGTCGCCGCGCAGAGCTGCGTCCCTAAGGTGTGCCAGAAACCTATGGTCGTTGGTACGAATGTGGGATTCACCCTGATTATGTTTCTAGGTTTGTCTGCACCATACCCGTGCTTATGGGTTTCACCGAAGTGGTAAACGTCTGAGACCTGCATCAATTCAGGCTTTTCCCCCACATTAAGCTGACACACCGTGATATAACTGGAATACTGTTCAAAGCGACGTTAAACCAAACTCACTCACTCACACTCACACTCACACCATAAGAGGTGAGGTGAAATGGGGTTTAACGTCGCGTCCAAGATTATTGCACTTATATAGCGACGTGCATGCACGTGTGTGCGTGCGTGCGTGTGTGTGTGTGTGTGTGTGTGTGTGTGTGTGTGTGTGTGTGTGTATGTGTGTGTGTACCTGCTTGTACTAGTCCGGACTGTTGCCGATTTATAGTGCTAGCACACTGAGATACCATGCCGCAGTTTAACATGAATACCCCACTCAGACACCGTATACTGACTCCGAGCCGACCAGTCCTTGTTTTAGCTCCTTAATGCCGAGCGCCAGACAGGGTAACAACAAGAACCATCTTTTAACGTCTTTTGGTATGACGCGGCCGCGGATCGAACCCCGGACCTTCCGCTCTCCGGGCGGACGCTCTACCACTAGACGACGGCAGCGGTCCACACTATAAGAAATACCTATCATACCAGTGACAGAAACAAGGCATTGAAACACCCATGTCAGCGTGTTTCTAGGCCTTTGATAAGACGTTGCCCATCGTTGTGCAATGAACATGCTTTTATCACCGAGGCAGCCAACTTGAAGATATAAACGTGAAACCACGTACGCCCGCTGCCCCACATACCGGCTGATAAAGTCGGTGCTTTCATTTGAAGCTACGCCAAGCGATACAGACGGAAGTTCACGACCGGCTTCATAAAGGTAGGACGCTGTAAAACTTTGTTTTGCGTATTCTACTACTACCATTTGGCTACACGACACATGTGTGGACAAGACTTGTGAGCTGAGTGACGAATAACCCGGAGCTCCTGCGTCGACGATACGTTTCATTGCTATTGTTTAACTCCGCACTCAATAATATTCCAGCTACATGACATGGTTCGGCGATACGTGTATGTTCTGCTGGGTGCATTAGGTCATACTGGTACATAAGGTCATACTAGAGTCATAATTTCGCCCACCTTGTATCAAACGGGGATGCAGCCTAGGGAAAAGGAAGGTGCAATTCGCGACCCGAATACAATTTGAGTTGGTAGTCGTGTTATTTTTGTTGAAAACATCCCCAATATTTTAAAAAGAAATTTGTTTACATTCAGCGTTCCTGGTCACCTAAGAACCGTATGAAACCTGGATCCACGTCTGTTATGTAAACAAAAGCAACTGTCATGAAAAGTTGACACAATTATAGGCGTGGGGTTGTGTGTGGGTGCGGGTGTAGGGGAGGGTGAGGGGGGGGGGGGGGGGGGGGGGGGGGTGTAGGGAAGAAATGACAGTTCTGTTTATTCAAATTCATTAATTTATAAATTTGTACATTATTTAGGGACTGGTCAATTATTAAAGGGGGGGGGGGGGGGGGGGGGGTTACATGAAAAAATGTTTTTTATGTATTTCGGGAGGGGCACGAACGAGATAATGTAACAACGATTCGTCTGGTTCAAATCGTATGCTGAAACGATGACACCACACAGTATATCATGGATGTTGGTATTTAGACCCCGTGAAGCAGCGTCGACTGTATATGTTGTCGAACTCATCAACTTACGTGAAAATCTGCATAAAATGTTCAAGCCAGCGTGTTTTAAATTGGACTGCAGGCCGTGTTGTGGAACATGATCCAAGCCAGTCAAGGGCCCGTATGTGTATTTTGACAGGTGAGGAGTTAAGGTCAGCCATCAGCCATGGGGTCAGCTTACTCCAGCAAGGCGGGTTGTGGATATGGCGCTCACAGGAACAAAGCAGGCATACTCTTGTTTCCATACAGCTCGAGGCCTCTCCTCCCTGTACAGTGGGTCGTGTATACAGTGAAAGGTGTGATGGTTCTAACAGTACTTCTCAGGAACGTGGGTTTCGGAAATAGATAGAAACACTCTTTCGTTTCTGGTACCCATCGGTTTTCACTTTATCATATTTGCGTTCTCGCCAAGAAGACTTAAAACACTTTTTAGAAAAATAAAATCACCTAACTCGAACCCATATCTAAAAAGTTTGCTACCTTATATCTATGGGCATGTTCTGTATGGCCTTATTGCTCAGTATGGCCTTATTGCTCAGTATGGCCCATTGTAGACTCGAGTATCTCCGTCGTTCAAGCATCACCTAGAACCATAAAAAGTGACTGTGTACACAATATCTATCTGTTTATCCATCCATCCATCCATCCATCCATGCATCCATCCATCTATCTATGTGTATATGTGTTTCTGAAGATGTGCATGTTTAGGTATATGTTCATTTCAACAATGAGCCATGCAAGGGCCTGAGGTCACACGAGTGAGTGAGTTTGGTTTTACGCCGATTTCAGCAATGTTCTAGCAATATCACGGCGGGGCACGCCAGAAATGGGCTTCACACATTGTACACGTGTGGGGAATCCAACCCGGGTCTTCGGCGTGACGAGCGAACGCTTTAACCACTAGTCTACCCGACCACCCCTCGAGGGCACTCGATCGACATATCTCTCCTAAAACTGTAAGAAAAGGTGGTCTTGTAATGCTTACAGTGAACACAACAGAAACCCACACCCCTCTGGATCCGCGCATGAATATCAACTGCTAATTTGGTGTTTAAATACTCATATAAAAAAGATTGCAAATATGAATGACAGAAAAAGAATATGCTCTAGTGGGGCAGTTGAGGCAGAACAAAGTATACGCATGTAGTTGCTGGTTATTTTTAGCCACAGGCAAAGCACTTGGATACCAAGAAGCCTCGTATTGATAGACGAGATAGCCATCAGATTCCATCTGTTCCTCGGCCAGCAAGTGCCGAATGTTGTAACGCCCTATTTACAAGTCCTGTCAGAAATGTCTCTGAAATTATAAACAAAACGTTTTAAGATTAAAAAACCAAAAAAAACAACACCTTTTGGTATATAATGGAATGGAGCCAAGAAAATCTCTCCATTTCCAGAAACTGCTGAATCTGGACATACTTATTACAGACGTACTTTGGAGTTGCGGATATGTTTGTTTCAGGGTCTGTATGACAGGCTATATAAGTCCGTACATCTTTGAGTGAGTGAGTTGGGTTGAACGCTGCTTTGAACAGTATTCCAGTTATATGCGGCGTGTCAACTTCATGTTGGAGGAAAACCTTAAGTTATGCAGGTCTCAGCCGTTTACCAATTTGGTAAAACTCACGAGCACGGGTATGGTACCGATAAACCTAGAAACAAAATCGGTGTGAACCGGGATTCGAACCCGTAATTAAAGGTTTCTGGCATGCCAAAGGGACGCAACCATGCACAGCGAATTGCGGCGCCTGATACACAAAGAACACAAAAATATCTAAAATATCCCCAAACAAGTCTCGATTGTTTCCTCAGAATCATCCTGAAGAAAAAGATATTCCCTTGGTTTCATTGTATTTTATATGTCATTAGGCAATTTAGCAATACAATAAACTTCTTTGAACATTTTTTCAGGCACTAAATGTCAGTCTATCATTTTGTTAAACTAATGTTAATATTGCCGTTTCAGGGCAGCTAGCAGATATGTATCCATGTCAACAGGGCGCACGTTGCTTTCTTCTTGGAACTGTCCTCATGTCCATTGCTGCCACGAGTCAAGGCAACGTCCACAACAACTCAAGTGGCGGTGACGACCTCAGTAACTTGGTTGGCAACATCACACACATACACAATGCTAACCCCAAATACACAGCTCACAGCTACACCGACTCCATACTGGCATTGCTCACTGGGGGACATAGTAATGGACAGAGCCAGTTACTACAGCAGGTCCAGAAGAACCCTCTTCTTGGAGCTGAACTCCTGCAGGCTTTTTCAAATTTGGAGAACATTTTTGGGAAGATGATTCCGGATATGTTGACAGGATCAGTTGAGAGGAATCCTGGAGATCCTGGAATACAGTGTATGGCAGACCTGGCTGAATATTGTACCGCTCTGAAGAACAAGACCTGGTGGGCATTACAAAGTGGGTAAATGTTCAAGCGTGTCAACACCAGGGCCCACTTGCACAAAGCGATCTTAGCGCTAAGATGGTCGTAACCCCCATACTTTAACATAGGCTTACAATAGTTGTAGTGCTAAGATCGCTTTGTGCAAGAGGGCCCAGGTGTCAGTACCATACGGATTAATTTGCTTATGATAAAGTCGGAATCGTACAATGGACACTGCTTTAAGTGGAGATTTGTTATCCTTATTGAAATAGTTATTGTCGCTTTTTATAATAATATATGTATCATTAGTAACGTTATAAAATAATATATGTATCATTAGTTACTCTCTCTCATGGCATGCTGGATGATCTGAAAACCAGTATGCTGTGGGTCACCAAAAAATGTCTGTCTCCTATAGCTATGTATGTCTTGAAACCCTGAAAATAATCTCTCAGGTTTTTATGGACATTTTAAACCACTGATCGTTTAGCAGTTTCAAGTACTGACATGCTGGTATTGTTCCTCGCAGTGGCTGATGCGACGGGGAAGCCTGGTCCGGGGCTCTTGAAAGGTAACCTCCAGATGTACGGCAACTTTGACGAATGTCTTGAAGTCAGGGGTGTGGTTGACGGGAATGACAGCAACACCATCGAGGGCAACCATTGCCTTGCCATCATCACATTGCCAAGCAGCATCACAGACATCGTCAATAATCCCATCACTGGCGTAAATATCTCAATACAGACCGTAAAGTGTGGTGTCGATTTATTCATGCAGAGCTACAAGGGGGTATTACGGAGTAATTATACATTAGGGATTAAGACCTTGGGTTTCTTTCGTGTGACGACCACCTCCATGGTCTAGTGGTAGAGCGTCCGCCCGGGGAGCGGAAGGTCCGGGGTTCGATCCCAGGCCGCGTCATACCAAAAGACGTTCAATGATGGTACTTGTTACCCTGTCTGGCGCTCGGCATTAAGGGGCTAAAACAAGGACCTGTCGGCTCAGTGTCAGTATACTGTGTCTGAGTGGGGTATTCATGTTAAACTGCGGCATGGTATCTCATTGTGCTAGCACTATAAATCAGCATAAGTCCGGACTAGTACAAGCAGCCACACACACACATACGTGCATGCACGTCGCTATATAAGTGCAATAATCTTGGACGCGACGTTAAACCACATTTCACCTCACCTCACCTTTCGCGTGAGGATACCGGGTCAGTATAGGCTTCACATACCCCACGCATGCCACAGAAGCCTTGTAAAAGGGAATTCGCTGGTTACAGTGCAGGGCGTGGGCGACTGCAGTGTGTCATCGTACCTTGATAGTTCTTCATGCAGTCGCCCTTTGTTTGCCTTGCCCAAATTCGATTATTTACAGGCCACGGTGATGGAACATTACTGACAGTGGGTAAAACAACGTTCAGCAACCCATGCTTGCCGTAAGAGGCGACTATGCAAGGGAGTTAACTGACTATAAAAGTCCAGACTCCACCCTTGCCGAACTAGGTTGGAATTTCGATCATAGCGCCACCTGTGGCTTTTACGAGTTATGTCCCTTCTATCTTCCTCCTATTGACCAATCAGATTCCATCTCTTATATCACTTGCATTTGGACCCGTGAAGAAAAGGTCTTCAGCAACCCATGCTTGCCATGAAAGGCGATTATGCTTGTCGTAAGAGGCGACTAACTGGGTCGGGTGGTCAGGCTCGCTGACTTGGTTGATGCATGTCATCGTATCCCAATCACGAAGATAGATGCTCATGTTGTCAATCACTGGATTGTCTGGTCCAGACTCGATTATTTACAGACCGCCGTCATATGGCAGTAATATTGCTGAGTGTGGCGCTATACAACAAACAAACAAACAAAACAAATTACAAGCCAGCTCGGCTCGTAAAATGCGGTACAACCCGCCAGAGAACGTAACCATGACACCTCTCTCTCCTCGTGTCTCTGCAGCGTCTGTTGGAAGGCTCAGTGCCTAGTTTCCAGTGGCACATGTGTGTCCCCAAGTCATGCAGTGAACAGGACATGAAGCAAGTCCTCAACATGCGTGAGTATTTGTTTGTTTGTTGTTTAATGCTGCACGCAGCAATATATAGCAATACGACGGCTGTCTGTACACAACTGAGTCAAGACCAGGCAAGCCAGTGATTGATATCATGAGCATCTATCTACGCATTTGGGATACGATGACATGCATCAACTAAGACAGCGAGCCTGACCACCCGACTCAGTTAGTCGCCTCTTACGACAAGCACAGTCGCCTCTTACGGCAAGCATGGGTTGCTGAAGACCTTTTCTAACCCAGATCTTCACGGGACGAACTGGCTTGTACACCACAAGACCGAACTATTGAGATACAATGGCATGCAATAAACCAAGTGACCATCTGTCCCTTTAGTCGTCTCTTGCGACCAGCCAGGGACCTGTCTTCTTACGCATCGGATCTCTCATGAGAGTAATATTTGTTCCCCTCTCCAAGATTAAGTACAAACATACGTTTGATAAAGATTTGTAAAAAAGACAATATCCAAATCTGAATATCGTGACTGAACTGAAATTTTTTTTAAATGGTGTAGTGTATGATAAAGCGGTTCGAACCCCAGCCGCGTCATACCAAAAGACGTTAAAAGATGCAAATTGTTGTTTACCCTTTCTGGCGCTCAGCATTAAGGGGCTAAAACAAGGACTGGTCGGCTCGGAGTCAGTATACTGTGTCTGAGTGGGGTATTCATGTTAAACTGCGGCATGGTATCTCAGTGTGCTAGCACTATAAATCGGCATCAGTCCGGACTAGTACAAGCAGCCACACACATACACGTGCATGCACGTCGCTAAGTGCAATAATCTTGGACGCGACGTTAAACCCCATTTCACCTCACCTCACCTCACCTCAGATAAAGCAAACACGTACAGCAGTTTAGTTGTAAATCGTTAACCTTGAACTTGGTAGGTTATAGAAAACGAAACATATTTATGTGAAACGTTTCATTTAATATAACTTTTGCTAAACATATGACAGGTTATGATTCAACTATGTGTTTCTACATTATAAAGTGCCGGTAAAATAGAGAGCATACACTTGAAAATTGGATTTATCCAAAAAATCATAAACGTTATCAAAACACGATCAGGCTGAAAACAGTGCCCGAAACATTGGACACTTAAGGTCCAGAACTATCATACCATCACCATCGAATAACCATCAAACATGGTTGTATACTTTCTTTTGTCCGGCAGTAATAAAAAGAATGTATTGACCGAATTTACGAAATTATTGTGAATAGGAAGTGTAGAACATGTTTTCATTTTGCTCTCTGAGTACTGTTCTATTTAAGGGATATTACCTAATGATTTAAAAAAAAGCTATAAAACAATCAAATTGCAAATTTCCGTGTATTAAAGTGCCACTCCAGGATCTCAACATGACTGTGCTTACCCTGAACTGTCGACACGACAAAGACCTCGGCAACGATATCAGTGGCATCGTTGGGGTGTGAGTATGACTTGTTGATGGCTTAGTATGTATAGCATAGACAGCCTGTGAGTGAGTGTTGTTTAACGCCGCATTGAGCTGTATTTCAGTTATATTGCGGCGTGTCAGCTTGATGTATGTCTCTGACGCTGATCACTTTGGTTAAAACCATGAGCACGGGTCTGACAAACCTGAGCGTGCCATCCCCTACCCTAGGCATCGGGCATACTACTCAAATTGTCTTGGCCTCCAAATTAAGAACTCTTGCTTTCAAGTAAATTTGACTGGGATTTTCACATAGAATGCATAACCAGCCGTGTATAATTTCTGGGGTAGGGGTGGGGGTGGGGATCCGACCCCAAAATCACAAACACGATATGTAAAGGATAATTAAATTTACTTTCACAACATGGTAGGTAACATGTTTTTTTGTTTTGTTTCTTTATATTTAAAGTGGTGTGTTGCCACCCCCACACCTCCCCCTCCTTTACCCCGCCCCCTTTGACCCGCAACTGATTAAACCTTTATTGATTTGTTAATGTTTGCAAATAAAGAAGACTAAAAATATATTTCAGCATTGAAATATTGGCATCCTCGTATGAAATGATCAATTCATGGCATCAAACGTACTACCCTGCCCTATCTGTGATATCATTAAAAGGTGCTCGGCATCAGGCGTATCAAAAGGGGGTTGCAACATAATATAATCAGGGCGAAGCGGTATGCGAACCTAGCACCATAAGTTTCTTGCACGCGACTAGGGGCGGTCGGGTAGCCCAGTGGTTAAAGCGTTCGCTTGTCACGCCGAAGATCCGGATTCGAATCCCGACATGGGTACAATGTGTGAAACCCATTTCTTGTGTCCCCCGACGTGATATTGCTGGAATATTGCTAAAAGCGGCGTAAAACCATACTCACTCACTCTTGCACGCGACTATGGGATAGAATTCTTCACAGCGACTTGCAGCGTTTTTGATGAACGGGCCACCAGTGTCTCCACTTGCACATAGCCTATGTAATATTCAAATATACTAAAGAGAACATTTGTTGCAAAACCAAATATGTGTTCATGTCACGGACATAGGCATCTGTGGTCTAGTGGATAGAGCATCTGCCAGGAGGGTTGCTGGTCGTCGGCTCGATCCCCGGCCGCGTCATACCAAAAGACGTTTAATTATTGTACTTGTTGTTACCCTGCCTGGGAATAAATAAGGACTGGAGGGCTCGAAATTGGGTATCCGTGTTACACTGCGGCATGGTGTCTCGGTGGGCTAGCACTATGAAACCTGCAAAAGTCTGAACTCGTACAAGCACACACACACGTTGACGTCGCTATAGATTAAGTGCAATAATCTTAAAGGCGACATTAAACGCCGTTTCACTTAACCTGAGACATGTGACATTTTATCATGCCATCATGGAGTCGGTTCCTTGTTTGAATCATCTTCCCGAGGCAAGAGAGTTAACTGACTATAAAAGTCCAGTTTCCACCCTTGCCATACTAGGCTGGAATAACTGGGCTCGATCGTAGCGCCACCGGTGGCTATTACCAGTTACGTCCCTTCTAAGTCTCTCCTATGGACCAATCAGATTCCACCTCTCGTATCACTTGCGTTTGCTTCACACAAAATGGTGGGGCCGAGTCAGGAAGATCTGATCGATAATCAAGATCTATTTTGTGATAAAACGGGTCTTACATCGCGAAATGCATCAAATCAGGTGAGCACCTTGATTAAAAACATGAAAAGATTTGGAAAATATCTGTGGACAACGAGTTGGCGATGCACATGCTTTGCAAATCCTGCAATCGACCGAAATCTGCACGACAGTTTACGAACCAGATTTCGATTTCGGTGCGCGATTTTGATTGGACTATGCATAGACTCGTTAGTCCAGCCAAAATGTAACTCCATAATACCAGCCTAGTTCGGCAAGGGTGGAAACTGAACTTTTATAGTCAGTTAACTCTCTTGCCTTGGGAAGATGTGTTTGAACAATTGAATAGTTTCTTTGTCATTTCCCGACCCTTGAACTGATCACCTGTTATCGTTTGGGTCATCATCTGTATTTCGGCACGTCAATCCTCAACGTCGCCCTGGCAAGACATGCGTGTTGTTGTTTATTCAGTATATTCAGTCAACATAATCAAGTCAATACACAATGCCGTTTAGAAAGTGGTAAAATGTAACATTTGTTATATTTGGGATAACACTTTCTTAGTAAAGTGCAGATTCTAGTACTTTTGGGGGTTTGGCCCCATCCGGGATTCGAACCCACACTCACAGAGTGACGCACCTAGTCGTCAGCACACAAAGTCAGCGATCTAACCCACTCAGCCACCGAGGCTTCCACAACTACCAGTTGTCGGACTTTCATTTTTGTGGAAGCCTCGGTGGCTGATGGTTAGATCGCTGACCGGATGGGACTCAACCCCCAAAAGAACTAGAAACATTGCTTTACTAAGAAAGTGTTATCCCAAATATAACATTTGTAACATAATCAAGTATATGTTTTTTCAGTATCATATCATCTGTGTTCGTCCTGGTGGCCATTGTTGGTACACTATATGACATCATCACGTCAGCAAACAGAGATAAACAACATAATGACGTTATCAGCGGCAAATACGTGAAACAACCCGTCTCTGTTGATGGCTCTGTTTCGACCCACGACAACGAACTCTCTATGGATCGGAAGCGCAACAGTATGGTAGACGAACAGAGCCTTTATGACACGAGAGAGTCAAGAGAACTGTTTGCCAAGCCGAAAGAGAGTAAGTACTTCGATTGTCTTTTAAATTTCCGATTCTACACACTATTAGTCTGTGAGCTGACCGCTTGCCAATGGGTACAAGTGATTTAAGACAGCAGAGATCTGATTTGAATTTCACAGGCATTTTGACCTTGGATCCTATTTATGTTGGTCTCAAGTCGAGTCAAAATGTGTTTACAGTAAAATGAGTTTCAACATATGTATACTCACATTGTTTTCTGTTCTGTTTTTAAGTTTGTTTTTCCTCCAACATGAATTGGTTTGACGTCATAAATTCGAAATTGTGTCGTCTGCTACATTTCAGACATTGGGAGGCAGCTACTCCTGGCCTTCTCCATCACCAGGAATACTGAGAAGCTGTTGAGTGTCAATTCAAGTGCCTCTGACCTGTCGTGCCTCCACGGAGTGAGGGTGCTCAGCATGGCCTGGGTAATCCTTGGCCACACTATCTTGTTCTGTTTAACATCTGGTGAGTTGGTAATCCTTGGTCACAACGTTGTGATCTGTTAAGCTCTGGTAGGTTGCTAATCCTTGGCCACACAGCTTGATCTGTTTAAACTCTGGTAAGTTGGTAATCCTTGACCACAACGTCTTGATCTGTTAAAGCTCTGGTAAGTTGGTAATCCTTGGCCACAACGTCTTGATATGTTTAAGCTCTGGTAAGTTGGTAATCCTTGGCCACAACGTCTTGATATGTTTAAGCTCTGGTAAGTTGGTAATCCTTGGCCACACAGTCTTGATATGTTTAAGCTCTGGTAAGTTGGTAATCCTTGGTCAGACAGTCTTGATCTGTTTAAGCTCTGGTAAGTTGGTAATCCTTGGTCAGACTGTCTTGATATGTTTAAGCTCTGGTAAGTTGGTAATCATTGGTCAGACAGTCTTGATATGTTTAAGCTCTGGTAAGTTGGTAATCCTTGGTCAGACAGTCTTGATATGTTTAAGCTCTGGTAAGTTGGTGATCCTTTGTCACACAGTCTTAATATGTTTAAGCTCGGGTAAATTGAACATCCTTGGTCACAGTCTTGATCTGAGTAGCGTCCCCTGGGCGTGCTAAAAACATGTGGTCGTTGTTCGAATCTTAGACGCCCCTGATTATGTTTGTCAGCACTATGCTTGTACTCACGGGTATCCCCAAAGTGGTAAACCTGCAACACAGACGTAGCTTAAATACCAATACGCGTCCATGCAACGGATAGAATATATACATGACATATTATTCTACAGCCATTAATCCTGTCGACGGCTTCAAGGATCTGAGCAGCTTCACCATGCAGGCTGTGACGAATGGCACCGTCGCAGTCGACACGTTCTTTGTGATGAGGTGAGGAATACCGTGTATTTACACGTGCTTGTTTTTAAAAGGGGGAAAGTAGAACCCTAAGTAAAAAATAAGCAACATAACCAGGTCCATAATAAAAAAAACAACCCTTGAACGATACCGACTATACCTTAAGCACGTGTTAGAATTTATAACAGTATTAGGAAGGTTGCAATACATTGAACCTCTCCTATTAGAGTTCTTCATTCTGGAAATATTCGGATGTAATTTCTTGACCGTTTGTTCAAGACAAGACAAAGACCAATATCACTTGTTTGATCTTTTTTTGTGAACATGTTTGTGTTCAAATATTATTATGATACACATTCTTCGAAAATTATTTTACACCTCATATTAAGGGTAACCATAATGCACACATGGAACAAATGTTATATTTAGGTTCAAGCTATGAAAACACCCTGAGCATGTGGGTTCGAGTTCCGGATAGGACTCAACCAAAACATTACTAGAATCTGTACTGTAGAATTAAGGAGCGTGTAATCCTAAATATAACATTTGTTACATTTGACAACTTTCTAATATGGCGTGGTGTATTCACACAATTCACACACTTCTCACAATGTATGTCAGTAGCTGCAGCCCTATGTTCTAACATTGTTGTTGGTTCGAGTCCCGGATGGGACTCAACCAAAAAAATACTAGAATCTGTACTGTAGAGTTGAGGAGAGTGTAATCCTTGATATAACATTAGTTACATTTGACCACTTTCTAAATGGCATCGTGAATTCACACAATTCACAAACTTCTCACAATGTGTAACAGTAGCCGCAGCCCTATGTTCTAACATTGTTGACCGCCTCCGTGGTCTAGTGGTAGAGCGTCCGCCCGGAGAGCGGAAGGTCCAGGGTTCGATCCCCGACCGCGTCATACCAAAAGACGTTAAAAGATGGTACTTGTTGTTACCCTGTCTGGCGCTCGGCATTAAGGGGCTAAAACAAGGACGGGTCGGCTCGGAGTCAGTATACTGTGTCTGAGTGGGGTATTCATGTTAAACTGCGGCATGTTATCTCAGTGAGCTAGCACTATAAATCGGCACTATCAGTACAAGCAGCCACACAAACGCACACACGTACATGCACGTCGCTATATAAGTGCAATAATCTTGGACGCGACGTTAAACCCCATTTCACCTCACCTCACCTCTAACATTGTTGTGTTTGTGATAGTTTCTGTTTACATTCTAGCGGTTGTTTGGTGGCGGTTTTGTTTCTGAGAGAGAAAGAGAAGAACGGCAAATTGACAGCTCGTCAGATGGTACTGTACTACGTTCACAGGTTCCTACGGTAAGCGGTACCCGGCAGACGTGTGTACAAGTGTGGCTTCTTTGTCGATATATTACTCTCTCTCTCTGTTTCACAACGGGTTCGAATCCCGGTTCGCCCCAGATATGGTTCTAGGTTTGTCAGCACCATACCTGTGCTCATGGGTTTCACCAAGTAGTAAACGTTTGAGACCTGCATCACTTCGGGCTTTCCTCCCACATATATCTGACACGCCGTGATATTACTGGAATACTGATGAAAGCGGCGTAAACCCCACTTACTCTTTCACGATAGCATGTAGCTCAGTGGGTAACGTGTTCTCCCGTCACAGAGAGGACATGGTTCGACTCTTGAGGGATATACCTCCGAATTACTAGTAATGATGACTATTTCAAGTGATTCACGAAGTGTCTGAGGGAGCGGTTAAAAACGCGTTTGTGTAAGAGCGGGGTGGATGGGGGTTGGGTTACAGATCCAGTTAATAAATTACAAGTTTAATCGTCATATCTCTGATCTGATATTATTTTAATTATTTTCACAGTTAGGTTGTAATGTGGGTGTTTGGGTGTGTCTCAATGTAAGGTGTGTTGGCCTGTTCCCTGACCCACTCATCCCCTCCCCAGGCTGACGCCCCTGTACATGATGGTGATCATGTTCTACGTGTGTATAAGCGGCTACTTCACAGACGGGCCCTTAATCACACCACTCATGGACCGGGAGAACTGCAGGCGGAACTGGTGGGTCAATCTCCTCTACATCAACAATGTCTACAAATCCTCACCAACAGAAATTGTAAGTGCTGACTTTCTCAACTGAATCATTTTGTTCATGTTGCTCTTTTCTTCCAATATGATCGAAATCAGGGGCACGAATGGCCAAGTCGTCAAATACACGAAATTCGCTGACAGAGTTGCGTCCCTTAGGCATACCAGAATCCGATGATCGTCGGTTCGTAATCCAAATTCGCTAAACTTATGATTGTTGGTTTGTCTGCACAATATCCGAGCGTAGGATTTATCAAAATGTCTGCAACCTGAATGGATTTTCCTCGATGGGAAGCTGGCACACGGCGCTATCACTGAAATACTGTCCAAAGAGGTGTTAAACCCAACTCACTCACTCTTTCCAATATCCTGCCGTCTATTTGGTACTACAGTTGTTCAAGTTGATCCTATTGTCTTATAACTATCGATCTTACAGACGCTGTCACCATTCATGTGTTGATTGAAATGCATGAAACTGAATGAGAAATTAGAAATTGGACATGAGGAATTATTGTGTTATCAGTTTTGGCCATTATCAGTTATGACAGGGAATACTTCAGTTGTTAACACTGACATCGTGTCCCGTGAAGATTGGGTTAGAACTGGTCTTCAGAAACCCATGCTTGTCGTAAGAGGCGACTAACGGGATCGGGTGGTCAGATTCGTTGACTTAGTTGATGCATGTCATGGTATATACCAATTGTGTAGATCGATGCTCCTGGTGTCAATAACTGGATATGCCTGGTCCAAACTCGATTATTAACAAACCCCCGTCATATAGCTGGAATATTGCGGAATGCGGCGTTAAACAACAAACAAACAATCACACTGACATCGTTTCCATTTCAGTGTTTGGGTCAGTCCTGGTTTCTGGCAAATGACATGCAGTTCTACTGGATTGCACCCCTGGCTCTCGTCCCTCTGGCTTGTGGGTAGGTCCGTGGGTGGGTAGGTCAGTGGGGTCTAAAACGGTCCCATGCAAACTGACCACATTTTGTTCCATCATGCCAAACGTACCACATTTGTTCCATCGTGCCACACTGTCCATATTTGTGGCTAGTTCTGCATTTGGGTCGTCATGTCGTGGTGTTATATATCAGGGTACCTCAGTGAATGTCTCCCAATCGTGAACACGTGTGGAATGGTTACCATCTGTTTTTTAGGAAACTGTTTCCGAGACGATATCAAGTCCTACCGTTGTAATTTATGATCAACGATGCTCCAGAACGTTTTGATTAGAAGGTGTAATTGAATGAGTGAGTGATTATTTTTTAACGCCGCATCCACAATCTTGCAGCGAAAGTGTTGAAACAAATTGGGTACATCGTTAGGTTAATGGTACTGAACGGTTCGATAATAAGGTAACGGAAACAAACTCATTTTATCATAAGTCCGATGTTTTAGAAAGGCTTGACGAAATTAAGAAGGCTTTTTTGGACACATGCTGGTAGCAGCGTCCTAACTCCTCCATGAGACACGTCTGAGTTCCTGTATTGTGTTCCAGCTGGCCGTTCATCGGCATCCTCGTCATCCTTGTCCTCATCGCAACACACATCATCTCTTATGCGTATTTGGAATACTTCGTCAAAGGCTCGGCAGTCGTGTAAGTTGTCACAGATGAGGTGCTGCTGTTTCAAATGTTTAGAATTTACGAGCGCAGTTAGTGTGCTAGTTCATTGTTTAAACTTCGTGCTATTCGGAGCTACAACATAATACCTAGGATTAAGGTCGTTACGTAGGTCAGTGTAGAATGCACATTCCATACAGAAGTGATAGAAATGACTAAAAAATTGGAACAATACAAAATGGACATGATCTTTCATTACGGACTAAAAGCATCTATCTCCCTTCTTCAATTAATAGTTCATGATTAGAATAACGGAATTTACACAATGCAATACGATAGGCTGGCACTGTAACCATCATCAAATAATTCTCAAATTGATTTTCGAACTCTGTACATTTCAGGTTTAACGAAACGAGCAATATTTTCAAACCTAACTTTGTTGAATGACCAATGCTTTTGCAAATACCCAATAACTGGACAGGAATGGCCGATGACTGTTGATGAATATTTGGTGACAATTCGTGCCTGTGCTGAAGATTTGCTGTAAGGCAAATAATACAAAGCTCTCCTTTATAAAGAAAGCCTCTTTTCGTGAATTCTCCAGCAATTCTGCCCAGTTCTCAACGGAGATCTACTTCATGCCGTATTGCAGAGTGGGGGTGTTCGCTATCGGAATAGCCCTTGGCTATATCTTACACAAAACGCAGTGTAAAGCAAACATTCCAAAGGTATGGTTAATTGAAACAAGAGAGTAAGTATCTTAGAAAGACAAAATGTGGTATTTCGTAGACGTTTACCCCTGCAAGTGAAACCAATGAGCAGGGCTATTGTGCTTAAAAATTAAAACTCATAACCAGGGACCACTTGCACAAAGCGATCTTAGTGCTAAGACTATCGTAAGCCTATGTTATAGTATGGGAGTTAAGATAATCTTAGCGCTAGGATCGTTTTGTGCAAGTGGGCCTAGGTGAAAACTATGGTATTTGAAAGTCGCGGATCCTGGCACAACTAAGAAAAGTAACTGCACAGCGAATTTCGGTGCTAAAGACGACTGTGCCACCCGTACCCAGTATGCTTTATATAAAGCTACGAAAACAATGTCTGTTTACTACGCGGAGAGCGGAAGGTCCGGGGTTCGATCCCCGGCCGCGTCATACCAAAAGACGTTAAAAGATGGTACTTGTTGTCACCCTGTCTGGCGCTCGGCATTAAAGGGGCTAAAACAAGGACTGGTGTGCTCGGAGTCAGTATGCTGTGTCTGAGTAGGGTATTCATGTTAAACTGCGGCATGGTATCTCAGTGTGCTAGCACTATAAATCGGCATCAGTTCGGACTAGTACAAGCAGCCACACAAACACACACACGTACATGCACGTCGCTATATAAGTGCAATAATCTTGGACGCGACGTTAAACCCAATTTTACCTCACCTCACCAGTATTCTACGGCAATATATAGGTGAATACAGATTATATCTGTCAGGATTGTGATTAATTGACAATGTGTGGATTTACATGTTAACGCTCTCTTAATAGTACATGTATTCCGATCCTTTGTCTTTCAGGGGTGGCTGACACTGGGGTGGATCCTGTCTGTGGGCGTGGGCCTGGTATGTACCTACATCACTTACGACGAATGGACTGATGGACAGATCACCTGGGGTCGCTCATCACTCCTCGCACATGAGGTGTTGTTCAGACCTGCCTGGGCTCTGTGTGTCTCCTGGATGATACTTGTCTGCTGCAGTGGATGTGGAGGTATGAGTTCACATGGATGAGACCGTGAAGATCCGGGATAGAATTGGTCTTCAGCAACCCATGCTTGTCGTAAGAGGAGACTATGCTTGTTGATAGAGGATCGGGTGGTCAGGCATGCTGACTTGGTTGATACATGTCATCGTATCCCATTTGCGTAGATGCTCATGTTGTCAATCACTGGATTATCTGGTCCAGACTCCATTATTTATAGAACGCCGTCATATAGCTGGAATATTGCTGAGTGCGCGTTAAACAAACAAACAAATAAACAAACAAATAAATAAAACAAGACTCAGGAAAACAAGTGACTGAAAGCATGAACATCAATCCACAACACCAGGTCACAATGACACACACTCAGTCAGGCTCACACAAACTGTAGCCCCGTGAAGACGCCGGGGTAGAATAGGTCTTCAGCAACCCATACTTGCCGTAAAAGGTGACTATGCTTGTCCTAAAAGGCGACTAATGGGATCGGGTGGTCAGGCTCGCTGACTTGGTTGATGCATGTCATCGATCCCAATTGCGTGGATTGATGCTCATGATATTAAACACTGGATTGTCGGGTCCAGACTCGATTATTTACAGACCGCCGTCATATAGCTGGAATATTGCTGATTGCGGCGTTAAACAACAAACCAACCAACCAACCACACAAACTGTAATCATTGCTTAGAACACTGCTGCAGTGGATGTTGGGGTAAGGGTGTCTCCTGATGATAAACCTCTGCTGCAGTGGATGTGGGGGTAAGGGTGTCTCCTGATGATAAACCTCTGCTGCAGTGGCACATGGATGGGGAGTGGAACTAATGTCTTCAATTGGCTATTTACCAGCTCAAGGGGATAGATGGTAGTCTGCTTCAGCAAGTGTCTATTGCAGCTTGAGTTGTTCCCCTGTCGACAACTGCTGCTGCGTATAGTCAGTAGGAGACTGGTAATTATGTTCTTATATAGAATATTCTTGCAGGTATTGTCAACTCCATACTGTCGTGGAAGGCCTGGATCCCTGTGGGGAGACTGACGTACGGGGCGTACCTCCTCCACGTGATGGTTCTGACTAACCACCAGGCCAACAGGCGGACACCCGCCTACTACAGCATAGAACATCTGGTACGTTTCACACGTAACAGTTACTTCATTTCTAACAGAATGATAGGAAGTATGTCGTGTGTTGTTTTCAAGGGACATTCTTCACAATAGCCGTTCTCATTCGTTTCTTTAACTGGTACACCCGCGAGGATCCGGGGTAGAATAGGTCTTCAGCAACCCATACTTGCCGTAAAAGACGACTGTGCTTGTCATAAGAGGTGACTAACGGAATCTGTTGGTCAGGCTCGCTGACTAGGTTGATGCATGTCATCGATCCCAATTACGTAGATCGATGCTCATGATGTCGATCACTGGATTGTCTGGTCCAGACTTGACCATTTACAGACCGGCATATAGCTGGAATAGTGCTGAGTGCGTCGTTAAACAACAAACAAACTTTAACTGGTAAATCTTCAAGGTTACATGGCGCAGACCTAACCATGTACGACATCCACCATGACATTATTTTAAATGTTTAAATTACAGTGAGTGAGTGTGTTTGGTTTAATGCCGCTTTGAACAATATCGCAGTTATATAACGGCGTGTTGATGTTGGAGGAAGTGAGTGAGTATGGTTTTACGCCGCTTTTCGCAATACTCCAGCAATATCAGTAATGGGCTTCACACATTGTACCAATGTGGGTTGATGTTGGAGGAAATCCCGAACTGGCGTGGTTCTTAGACGTTTAACACCACCAGCACGGACGTTATACTGAGTGAGTTAGTTTTAACGCCGCTTTTAACATTATTCCAGTTATATCTCGGCGTGTCAAGTTAATGTGGGAGGAAATGGTGCAGGTCTCAGACGTTTACCACTTCGATGAAACCACGAGCACGGGTATGGTGCTGACAAACCTAGAAACATAATCGGGGCGAACCGGGATTCGAACCCACAATCATAGGTTTCTGGCGTGCCAAAGGGACGCAACTCTGCACAGCGAATCGCGGCGCCTTAGACGACTGGGCCACCCGTGCCCCCGAAGTTATACTGACAAACCTAGAATCTTAACCAGGATTCGACTCCATGATCGTCGGTTTCTGGACCGTCCTCAGGTTGCATATCTCCATAGCAACCTACGGCGCCCTAGACGACTGGGCCACCCCTGCCCCCCGCTCTGATTATGTTTCTGTGGATAACTTGTTATCATATGACACACCCAGTCTGTGTGGAAGTAACATGATGTCACGTATCTTTGTTCTAGAGCTACCAGTTCCTGGGCACGTGGAGCATCACCTATGGACTGTCTTTCATATTTGCCGTGCTTGTTGAGGCGCCATGTCTTGGGATTGAAAAAGCTTTTTTCAGAAGATAATTTTAGTGACTAATGATTTCAAGTGCTCTGTGATAAGATTAACCACGCTGACCTACGTGTCTCCCGTCTAAACATACAACTTTCCCAAGAGATATTCAAACGTTCTTCAGTTCTGTGACATAAATCATCAGAATCAAACATCAGCATCTCAAAGGGAAGTAACTCTTAATTCTTATTTGTTGTTTCATTGCCGAGAATGACAGAAGATACTTTCAGATCGGTCAGTAGGGGGATTGAATAATGTAGAACAATATCAAACTGTTTTTTGTGTGTAATTTGTAGTCATATGGAACCAAAAATGTGAGATGTTGTCTGGTGTTTGAAAAGTGAACACAATGGCCTGCAGACAAGTGCTAACAATAGTGAGCTTACCTTCGCATGACTTTGTGGTGGATGCCACAAGTGGGGCAGGATATGTTCACCTTTTCGCGAACACTTGCTACCATTACTATTTGATAGTGATTCTTAAAGATCTGTTCAGGTATACTCGGAATCGTATATGGACGCGGTTTTCAACGAATATGGTGAAGGTTTTGTAGCTTATAAATACTATAAGCTATCAATCTGTACTGAGGTTATGAAAACTATAAGTTATAGTTTTCATTACCTCAGTACAGATTGATAACTGTCATTTTGGGACACAAAATATCAATGGCGGATGAGTGAGTGAGTGAGTGATTTGGGTCGTAGGTATGGTGAATTACAGTTGATAGTCAGACTATTTCCTCCAGGGCAAACTGAATTGAGATCATCTTCTTATTTATTTAAGTTGACACTTTGTAGACGACCTAGCTCAAAACACATCTGTTTTAAGTGTACTGGGGATTAGCTGGACTGAACATGTACCATATGTACATATGCTTTCTAAACATGTTGTAGCCATCCTGAACAGGAGGTACAAGCCATTTTGTCAGATATCATTATGAAAGTGGGTATAGTTTTACCCCGCTTTTAGCAATTTTCCAGCAATATGAAAGTTGATTATCTGGATTACGTTTCTACAAGATGCTTAAGAACCACCTTTAATAACATGTCTTACTCGATGTGTGTGTGTGTGTGTGTGTGTGTGTGCGTCCGTGTGTGTGCGTGCGTGCGTTTGTGTGGGTGTGTGTGCGCGCGTTTGTGATAATTTTTGGAATACACGTACATGTATTTTGCATATATCTGATCTATATATACTGCGATTTGATTTTTTCACTCTTCAGGTCCACTGATATTTGGAAGATGGTGTTTGGTGCTATTATACATTGAAATGTGCCTCGTTTAAAATAAACCCGATTTTAACTTGTGTGTATTAAACAATATATATCTTTGGAAGGTCTTTGTGATATTTTGACTTTCAATAAGCTGTTCTGGGCACTCTTCCCAGGTCGCTGAGAGATATTATTTGATAGTATTTCCTGTGTTGAAGCTGTGTGGGCGAGTAAATAATCTTTTTGCTATGTGATGTTTCACGTGCATAATATTTACGATTTTACTGCTTTTGCGGGGTTTTTTTCAGAGTATATTTGAACTACTGATACAATTTCGGTATATCTATATATTATGCAATATTATGTTATATGGAATAAAAATAAAGACAATGGCTGCTATATTACCCAGTGTAGTTTCGAAGTTGAGCCAGTGGTTCACGAAGAGTATTTTATTTCCGTATATATCCTAATAAACCCCCTAAATAAAACATTATGTCCAGATAAATAAATATGTCCTTTCTAAATAATAAATATGATAAATCCTTGATAAATATGACGTATATATTCATATTAATTAATTGATAATTGATACGTACAATCATTTCAGTTACCATTTTTAACATTTGTTGTTTGTTATTTATTTTCAAGGGAGGTAACTCTGAAGTGAATGTCTCAAATATAATACGGGAATCTATGAAATAGTAATGAAAAGTAATATATTGCATTGTGTCGTCCTTAAACATCCTTATTTGCCTATTATGTTTTATTGTGTACAAAATTACTTTTTTTATTGTGTACAAGATTGGTTCGTGTACCAGATTACCTGTGTACAAGATCGTTTTTTGTCTGAAAATACATACACCCTCCATAATATCCCACCTACTATGTCTCAAAAATCAAAAATCACAAGCATTTAGTTCATGTCAAATAAAGGTAAGAAGATACTTGTATTCCTAAAAGCATATTTATTATACTCTATGCTAATATGTTGTACATGCATAGCCAGTAGCATCTGTACATGAGGTGAGTATTTAGTTCATTCTCGATGTATCAACAGTAAGAACACCAACAGCAGAAATACCTTACTGCAGAGAAACTCTGCATAACTCAAACATCAAATTCTCTGTTGTTTGGACAATATGCAACTCACAATATGCTAAGAATATGTGCCAACCTTACTGCATGCTGTAGAGTCAACGTGATTCTGGCTACAGGAGGGACCATGGACCAATCAGGTTATATTCAAGCCAGGATACTGATTTTAGTGAGTGAGTGAGTATGGTTTTACGCCGCTTTTAGCAATATTCCAGCAATATCACGGCGGGGGACAACAACAGGAATGGGCTTTTGTAGCTTTGTTTGGAATTGAACCCGGGTCTTCGGCATGATGAGCGAACGCTTTAACCATTAGGCTACCCGACCGCCCCAACAGCTTTTGGGGAAAGGAGGGCTGATTTATGATTTGACAATTCAAATTTAGCATTGCATAATATTTTTTTAAATATATCCCACACAAGCTAGTCATAGTCTTATTATACATTTACGTTTAGTATAAACAATCACTTATATAATGTCTAAATGTATGCCTAATAAAAAGGGATGTACACCCATCCTCTGCATCAAAGGATGTCACGAGGGAAGTGACCAAGAGCACCTTTTCTTTCATCACCCAAATAAAAATATTTTAAGGACACCTGAAACAATGTTTAAAATTTTGCATTTTTTGTTTCAACCACCGACCCCGTGTATTTTAAACTGTTTCAGTAAACAATTATAGGTATTAAAAATGGCCAATTATCCAAACAAGATGATGCTCTTTGTGTTCTATATGGTTGTGCTGTATGGTTGCTTCATGAATCGAGGACTCCTCTTCCTTTCTGATATCAAGCACTGGTAATATTCTTAGCAAATAATGAGCAGCACATTGCCGACAAATGAGCAACTCAAATATCCACGTGAAAGTTGAAACACTCTGAAAGAAAGGATAAGGATTTGCTTGGCAAAACAGGCCAGATTATCCACCCTAACAGTTAAGAATGAAATTTCAGTTGACCTTCTTGTTTCATGTCAACACTAATCCCTCTCATGACAAACTAACTGCAACAACAAACAGAAACTCAATAGATAACAGGTAGAAAGATCGGCACAGTCTATAACACGTCTCATGTACATTCCTACAAATAAATAACATGTCTATGAAGCAAGAGGAATGTGAGAGACGGAGGGAGAGAACACCACGTACATGCATGAGATATAGCACCAATCTGAGATCAAAGGTAACAAAGTGTCTGTAAAACCATTTTTCTGTCCTTACAAACATGGCTAAAACTAACATACTTTTCACCAAAAAACTACACATTATGCTTCACACAATACTAACTACAATTTAATTAAAATCAGACACTGTACTCTGAATTGATACCTCTCTTCAGACAGAGGTATCAAATCAGAATACAACATTGGATTTTAATGATTTGAACAACTAATGTCAGTTCCACTATAGATTGCAGGTTACCAAGAATTGGGATCTGCCCCCCTCCCCCACCAATTGTGTGTTTTTACTATTTTTACCCATCAAGAAATAGAATAGGTGGTTCTAGATGGTTCATGAAATGACTTGTTTATCTGGAGTGAACCACAAGTTTACACTATTGGTATAATATACAGACAATACCAGAAGTCTTTGATAGGCATTTAGAAGTTGGGAGAACATGAAAACAGGACACTTTTATATGGATAGCAGCTTCTAGTATTCTTTGTTCGATGTTTTAGAGCTACTTCTTGCTCCATCAGGTGAATGCTGAAGCAGCATGAAGTAGCTCTGAAATGTCGTATAAAGGACAATACAAGGATGGAGATAATAGCCAATGTACCTTGAGAAAAAACTGAGGCTCAGGTCTCCAGATTTGAGTTGGCTGGTACGGAAAATGGAATCTCACACATTTTCTATTTGTCTTGTTTGTTTATGTTACGTTCCACAATTAAATAAGGGGAATAACTTGAAACAAGTAATCATTTCTTTTTGCCTGACTATTTAAGTCTTACTCTTATTGTAATTATCATCCTCAGGTAAATGGCTATCACATAAGTAAGTCATGCTTGCTTGAAATCTATCTCAAATGTAACCAGTATTTATTGTCTCAAATCATGTCTCAAATCTCAATCACGAAATAGACAAATGATCGTAAAAAATTGTATTTAAAAATATTCTCACATAAGCTGAAGTATGTGCCATTGATGCAGGATACAAAACCAAGTACAACACAGAAGTCTATCAATCAGACAAAATCTATGCTTCAAACGTAATAATAATAATTAGTAGAAATCCCATGCAATACAACCAACAAACTTATTGAAAGACTGTTATCTGAAGCAGTAATATGAGGTAAAGGATGACAAAGCTGAAAAAATAATACCCTGCATTCTCTACACAACTTATTGCAAAGGTTTAATCTATTCTAAACACTTGAACAACAAGTCTTGGCAGGTGGGGGGGTGGGGGTGGAGATAAATGGGGGCGGGGCGGGATGGGTTGGGTTGGGTTGGGTGATTTCCCCCCATGCCTTTATGAAAACATTGTGTTTCACATTTTGCGGGTGTATTTTATGCCGAGGAATTAAACCTCTGGCTAACACTGTTGCATCCAAATGAAATTCCAGAAAACACACGATGTTAATCTTCTTATTCATCACTGGCTTCTGCAGACAGTTGTTAGCTAGGATTATTTACAAGCATGATACTTTTGTGCCGTAGACATGATGTTCCTCACGACACAGTGGTAGGTTATGATGAACATAGGCTCTGACAGCAGATAAGTATAATCATATAAGACAATCGGTGTCATATTGTGTCGGCATGACCAGGTCCAGCTAGGGGCTTGGTACCATACAGTGGTAGTGCCATTTCACCTAACCATGAAGGTACCATCTGATACTGGGACTAATGCAGATACTTATTGAAGGACAGCAGTTATTTGAAGAAGGGAAAGTACAGTGTTTAAACTGGAGTTGAGAGCAGCATCACAAAGCTTACCAAAGATTTGCACACACTGTCAGTCTTGTTCATTTATCATTATCACCACCAGCAACTAGAAGAGTGAGTGAGTATTGTTTTATGTTGCCCTTAGTATTATTCCATCGATGTCATGGCAGGGGGCACCAGAAACGAGCTTCACATATTGTACCCATGTGGGAATCAAACCCAGTTCTTTTGGTGTGACGGGCAAACGGTTTAACCACCAGGCTTTCGCACAACCTTGCAGTATGAAAAACTAGTACCACATCACAGCCTAATTTGTTAACTTTTTTAATGAATTTGCAATTTTTCCTTTCCGAGGATATGATTACATTATCAGATGAGAATGAAATTATGGACAAACTAACATTTTAATTTGTGAATAGATAATAATGTATGAACACGTTTGAGTCTTCGCCATTGTAATGTTGATTCAACATTTCAGAACATTTTCATTGGTACTTTAAACAACATCCACCCACTACATCCTTTTGTAGTAGTGCTTCATTTATCTTTTCACCTAGAGTGAGTGAGTGAGCATTGGGCTGAGCCGCTTTTAACAGTATTCCAGTTATAACATGGCGTGTCAGTTTAATGTGGGAGGAAAGCCCGAAGTGATGCAGGTCCCATATGTATACCACTTCGGTGAAACCCACAAGCACGGGCATGGTGCTGGCAAACCTAGAAACATAACTGTGGATGAACCAGGATTCGAACCCAGTCATGGGTTTCTGGCGTGCCCAAGGGATGCAACTCTGCACAGCGTTCGCAGCACCTTAGACGACTGGGCCGCCCGTGCCCCTTTCACCTATATTGAAGAAACAAACAGTATTGGTTTTTGTTAAGGCTCCGTGGGGGTACCAGGTTAGAACCGGTCCCGAGAATCAGACCTATGCTGGTCCTAAGCGCGACCTAAAGGTTCGGTGGACAGACTTTGATGAATGCGTGTCATCATACCCTGATGGATTGTCTGGTTCTGACTTACTGTATTCAACCTAATAAGCGCCCAGGGCGCTCTCAAAATTAGAAATAGGGGGCTCTTATTAGAATAAAGTTATGGTGAGAAAAAAAACAGTGTTGAAAGATCGTAAATTCCGTGATTTATGCTGACAGCCTGAATGATACAAGAGAAAAGTCTGTGCGTATTACACACGACAGATATATTTTTTCAGAATTTAATTGCCCAAAATTAAGGATGCATATAACACACGAGTGCGTATTATACACGAATAAATAAGTCTTGTGTACATTAATCAATCGGAAGGGGCGCTAATTGGGATTGTTCACTAGCCATGCAAGATATTAGCAATAATCGCCATGGGCGCTTATTAGAGCAGGGCGCTTATTACGTCGAATACGGTAATTATTTACAGGTTGGCCTTCATTAATTTGCTGAGTGGGGTGACAAAAACTAAATCGCTGTGTAGACAAGACTGTCAGTGTGGCGAGCTAGGGACGGAGGAGGGTGAAGGCGATGAGGTGAATATAGATCATGAGAAAATAATATGTTCCTCTATTTACATTACATTTACATTAAGACGGATATGTCAAATAACGTTATCGATAGAATAAAGTACAAGATTTTCATAGGACAGCACAAACAGAAATACATTAAGTTCAATCCACATCTTGAGATAATTCGAATTCAGATCTCTTCGCTGCAGACGGGCTGATTGAGGACACAGCGTTTAATTTGCTGTAACAGCAATCTATAGGGGCAACTGATATGTCTGGAATCACATCACTGTATAAATCATCACATACAATATCAGATTATGTGATGATCTTCTTCCTGAAATAATGCAGGTATTTCCTTGAATCTAAACACACTTCTTGCAATATTCATGATTTTCCATTGGTCATAATGGTCTGATTTATTAAACTATCAAAAGAGTTGGACATAAGTGAATAACATACCAGATCCGTCATCTTAGTTACTTCGGTTTGAAATGAGTGAGTGAGTGAGTGAGTATGGTTTTACGCCGCTTTTAGCAATATTCCAGCAATATCACGGCGGGGGACACCAGAAATGGGCTCCACACATTGTACCCATGTCGGGAATTGAACCCGGGTCTTCGGCGTGACGAGCCAACGCTTTAACCACTAGGCTACCCGACCGCCCCCCGGTTTGAAATGACTTGCTGACAACAGTCAAAACTTTCACACTGCTTGTATACATCAGGTGCAGATTTAACAACAAATTTGTATGTAGCCAGCAGGGCTTGCTCCTTTTACAAGTTACTGGCCCTTCTCCAAACAGGCCTACAGCTAAAAGGTGGAGGCCGAGAAGTGGCCGGACCTGAGGTCATGTAGCCACCTAGTGGGGATCTGAAAATTTGAGAACTCCTCAATAATGTTTTTTCCTGCAATCTGAAATTAAATCTTGGCTTTTATTTGCCTCACTTCATGACAATTTATGAGCAAATGAAGATGTTGTTGCACACAACATTACAAAATGGCTGCCAGTTGTCATTCTACCAAGATGATCCAATTTAAAAAATTAAACATACAAGGAGAAGGGGTGAAATTTTGACAAGCCAGACGGGCCATCTACTTACGTTTCAGCAAGCCCTTTGTAATCTTAACTAGCCACGGGCCAACGGGCCAGCAGTTAAATTGACCCCTGTACATACAGGTAATTGTCATTGCAAATGTGCCCACAGCTATTGGTGGTAATGCCATCACCTACAAGGTACAGAGAAGTTTGAAGTTTTAAGCTTCCAGGTGCTAACTGACAGAATATTTGCACTAGTTTCCTTATGACTAGTTATAAGTATATGATATTATGACCAAAAAAAACTTAACCAGGTTTCAAAGAAATGAAATGCTGAAATAAAAAACCCACAGCATACAAATAAAAACCAAAAAATAATGAGATATGGCAGATCTCCAAATTGACTGTGCACCATACAGCTCAGACCTTGTAATACAATTAACAAATATTGTTTACTGAACACGGCCCCTGAACCAGTATTATGCACGTCATTCCTTTCCAATGCTATTTTCCTAACAACATGTTCAAACAGACTTGAACATTTCTAAAATCACTATTATTGCACATGAGACTAGATAAAAAAGTATGACAAACCAGCATAAGAAAGTATGAGAATACAAGAATTAATAATAATAAATGTTTGCATATTCTAAAATAAACAACCAATATTGATACTTCATAGCATGTCTTCAAGTTCTGGATGGATATTTACCAGTAAAACTATCAAACTATGAAACCATACAGACTGTAAACTATTATGTCAGATTTGGCTAAATTGCATGTACCCAGAAATTCTGCTTTTGTAATGCAATCATTCACAAACATATGTAGTTCTTAAGGAAATAGTACCAAGGAGGAACTAATCAAAAGACAACATAATGTCACTTACCACTGTATCGTCCCATGTGTTGGTTGACTCATTATCATGAAAGCATACAGTGTTGAATATACTACTCAACATTCACTAAGGACCACACCTCTGACTAAAGATGATTACTTGGTCCTCAGCAAATGTTGGGTAGTCTAGTATATAATATAATAAATCATTTTATTTCGAGGTATACAAGCACATTGATGCCAGTGTTACGAGAAAACAATCATATTGGACATTAATGCCCGTTTCCGGTTTCCATGGAAGCCTGATATAGTTCCCTGATCGTGGGCCTCACACATAAAATCATACAGGGCAATAGTATTACATATGCACAGAAGTTTAGCAAAGCTGTGCCAGTACACAACCTGGAAACTCACACATGATCCGATTGAGATCATGATGTAATAATAGAACTTATATATATAGACTTCACAAAACCGTCAGGAAATATAACCATACATATTATCAAGGTTTAGCTGAAAGATGTTTTCAAAATAGCACAGGAAATTATATCTTTCACAAAGACAAACCTCATCAGCAAATTATTACCGTCACATTAGACAGTGATGGTCGTGTTAGTGTAACTCCTACGCAACTGGTGCACTGCAGAGATCTATAATAACACTGAATTCCCATCTTCCTGAGGAGAGGGAGTTAACTGACTATAAAAGTCCAGTTTCCACCCTTGCCGAACTAGGCTGGAATTCCGGAGTTACATTTTGGCTGGATTAATGAGTCTATGCCTAGTCCAATCAAAATCACAAAACAAAATAGACATCCAGTCTGTAAACAACATGGATTTTGATGTGCAGACTTCAGTCGACTGCAGGATTTGCAAAGAATGTGTACTGCCAACTGGGCGTCAACAGATATTTTTCAAATCTCTTCATGATTTTAATGAAGGTGCTCAAGTGATGCATTTCGTGGGGTAAAACCCATTTTATTACAATATTGATCTTGATTATTGATCAGAATGTCTTGACTGAGTGCCGCCATTTTGTTTGAAGCAAATGCAAGTGATATGAGAGACAGAATCTGATTGGTCAATAGAAGGGACATAGAAGGGACATAACTCGTAACAGCCACTGGTGGCGCTACAATTGAGCCTGGAAAGTTCGGCAAGGGTGGAAATTGGACTTTTATAGTCAGGAACTCCATTGTCTCGGGAAGATTCTGAATTTCAGGTGCTCCAGTACAGAAACACAGATACTCATAAAAACTCATAAAATATTATTTAACTAATTGAACCTTTCTCAACATCAAATTCCAAATCTCAATACTAAAATGTCTTTAAACACTCATATTAAAAAAACACAAATAAATATACAATCATGTGAAGACTTGAACAATATTAACACTTGTACATAACCTAAATCTCCTATGCAAATCTGAAACAATACACAACCCATTTATAACATTTATCACCATTCAGACCAGTGTAAAAAGTATCAATTATGCCCAAATAGTAAACAGACATAAATGTCACCTGACAAGCATTCCTTCAAGTGCTTGAGGTAATAAAAGTCATAACCAAAGTCATTCAAACAGTCTGCAGTGCACCACAGGATTTCTAAGGGTGTAATATTGATATCACAACACTGTCACAACATACATCTAGTCAGTTGCTTGTCATGAAGATTCTTCCCTCCATGATGGTTAATTTCCTACATGACCTTGACCCCTGACCTCAGGAGAGCTTCACTGTGTCCGAACTGACCGACCTGCAATGGAATCAATAAATAATTGTTAGCTGCATAAGTGATTATATTGTCTAAATTCAGACCTGGGGCCATTCACAGAGTTGTCTTAAGTGTCATGGCTGCCATTACTCTAATACTTAAACATAGAACAGTTGAAGTGATGATAGCTTTGTGAAATGGTGTATAAATAACAGCCATGTTCATTTAATGGAGACCAGTACAATAACACATGTGTCTTTAAACAGAGAGGTATGTTCACATATATGTGTCTTTAGAGTTAAGAATAGATACAAGATTTCTTTAAACAGAGATATATGCTTATTTATATGTCTTCAGAATACTGAATCAAGAAATAAAAAATGAAACACACAAATATCTAAGAAATGTAAAATATATGTAATATATAAAATTATCGATTACTGTATTCGACGTAATAAGTGCCCCGCTCTAATAAGCGCCCATATCGAGATTTGCTAATATATTAGCTAGTGAACAATCCCAATTAGCACCCCCTCCGACCCCTATTTGCAAACAATATGCACCACTTCCTTTCCCTATTCGCATATAATACGCACTCGTGTGTTATATGCACCCTTTATTATTGGCAATTAAATTCTGGAAAAAAATATATCTGTCATACATAAACATTTCAGGCTGTCAGCATAAACCACGAAATTTATCTTCCAACTTTGTTTTTTTCACCAAAATAATATTCTAATAAGAGCCCCCTATTTCTAATTTTGTGAGCGTCCTGGGCGCTTATCACATCAAATACGGTAATATAATATTTCTTGAATCTGGATCATAAAATTAACTTAAATAATGTACATATAGTATACAATGATGAATGAAGGATGATGAGCTGAGGGAAGTATACTACACAACGTTTGATTGGGATAATCAGATGTCATTCTATTTAAATATACACTGGAGTGACTGGACATATGAAAATCAGACTGTGTATCATGGAAAACATCCCTGTCAAAAGTGGAGTAGTATATTTAATGAGGGGCTTCAGGGGGACAGTTAGTTTGTGATACAGGACAGTCATAATATTTTTGGATCATTCATGGTTCAAAATAAGTGAGTTAAAAATATATGTAAGAGTCACAAGTGTATAAAAGATTTCATAAGTAAACAACATTCTTACATCATCCAGATACCATTGCTGACATTGTTGGTGAAATATGTTATGGCATCACGGTGTTTATGATATTAATCTTCCATCACCGTTAACATCATTTGTTACTGTTGGGTTCTTGACATGGTGTCCAATACAGAAGTAATACATTTAAGAATTTACTTCAATATTGTTTCCATAAAAACAGGTGATAACATTTGGAAAATCTGTGTAGCAAATTTACGCAAAGTCCTTAACTCCATAAACGCAAAAACATATTGAAGTCCATTCTTATTAATAAACATCTGATAATAATTACTTTCCACAGTTTATATAAACATTAACGCTAAAAAACTGTAAACAACAATACAGAATCAGTGACATCAGTCTGTACAATAACAAGCCCTGCCCATTCCGTCATCAGCCAATCAGGAAACAGTAGTCCATTAGTGGGTGTGGCCTACATGGTTTGGGTTTATGGAAACATAAATGCAAAATGAAATTGCTTCGTTAGCCAATCAAATATCATGGAGTCACTTACAATTTATTTATTACTATTACATTTTTACTACAGTTTGTCATGAAATGTTGATCATGAAAAGTTGATTTTGTTTGTGTGTATCTAAATACTACTTGACACCTCGTGCCTACAGTGGGAGTACCGTATTTCCTCTAATAGACGTACACCAGGACTCCATTACATGCTGGTCATGCACTCTGTCCAAAAGAAACAGTCTCAATCAGACACAGAGTCTCTGAGGCTGGTCCATCATTTCATGAAATTAATGATCCCTTTCACATCAACTTACATCATGAAATGATTACTCCCTTTCACTTAGTGAGTTGCCAATGTTTCAGCTTTAAACAGGATATACAGCTTCCTCTAATAGACAAAAAATGGGGCGGTCGGGTAACCTAGTGGTTAAAGCGTTCGCTTGCCACGCCGAAGACCCGGGTTCAAATCCCGACATGGGTACAATGTGTGAAGCCCATTTCTGGTGTCCCCCGCCGTGATATTGCTGGAATATTGCTAAAAGCGGCGTAAAACCAAACTTACTCACTCTAATAGACAACAGATCAATGGCTTGTTCAAAAGTAATAGACGCCTAATGGAGGAAATACGGTATATGAGGGATACATGACCGAGAACTAGCTACGTGATGTAAGTGTCATGATTGCAGATATAAGCTGCTACTACCTATAGTGTCATACAAGTACTAATCTACTATCTGTTCTGAATGGATGTGAGGAGCATGGGCGGCCAAGTCGTCTAAGGCATTGCAATTCAGTGTGCAGTCGGATCCCTTAAAGCAGCCAGAGACCTTTGATTCTGGGTTCGAATGTTTCTTGGTCTGTCTGCACCATGCTTATGGGTTTCACCGATCAAATCCATTACTAACACCAACATCACTTCAGGCTTTCCTCCCAGCCAAGCTTACACTGATATAACTGAAATACTGAAGCAACACTGAACCCAACACCCTCACTGAAAGAGGTATACCGTAAATCATGAAATTTGATGCGAAAATTGCGAGTGATGCATTTTTATCTGGATATATTGGAGTATACTGTCCAATCAGGTTTATCGGATATGGGCGGAAACAATGACATACATCATACAGCTCATAATGAATGTACTTGTGTGCTGGATTTAGACAGTGCGTCTTACCAAGTTCCACGTTAAGTGTTTGTGTATTTGTTTGTTTATTGTTTAACGCCGCACTCAGCAATATTCCAGCTATAAGATGGCGGTCTGTAAATAATTGAGTCTGGACCAGACAATCCAGTGATTGACATCATGAGCATCAATCCTGCAATGCATCAACATAGTCAGCGAGTCTGACCACCCGATCCCGTCTACATTAAGTGTGGTCAGTTTATTTACACAAGTTGATCAAGCAGTTATGACAATTGCCAACCATGTCTTTGTTCTTGGTAGCCTTGTAAAATAATCTCATAATTACAATTAAAACTCTTCTTAACCACGTTTTGAAAATGTCCAGTAACAGCAATCTTCGTTGGTAACCCATTTGAATATGCGTTCTTTGGACTTTCCTGCTTTTGATTTTTATGAAGTTAGATCACATGTCAAGTAGTTGAAGTTAAGTTTGTGAGGACAGCAAATGATATCATTCAACTTCTATCACCCCATACTATATCATGGAGTTCTATGGAAGATTACGTTTTCATAGTTAAAATGCAAGGCTACTCACATTAATTTCATTACACATTTTAGGCCAGGTGTCAACACTCGCAAAAATTTGGTGACTCATTAATTTCATGATTTACAGTAACAAACAAGACCATTTCTTCATTGCTGGTGAAACCCACGAGTATCGTACTGACAAAGAGTTATTACTGTTGCAACACGCAACCAGAGTATTCTGGCACCTAGGGTTCACAACATTGCGTTGCACTTTTTGGTGCCTTAGGCTGCTTGACCATAACAGATCCTGGGTCTAGATTTTCGAAACAATCTTGGCTAAGACTTATCTTAACAACTTACGTTCAAAGATAATATATCTTAAGTTTAAGATAAGATACATTTTCAAAACTATCTTAAGTATGCCACCATCTTGGATGAAGATAAAATAAACTTATGACAGGTATGGAGCTATCTTAGATTTACGACATTCTTACTATATCTTAGGGCTACGATAGTTTCGAAAATAGGCTACAACAGTCTACGATTTCCCTACGATAGATTAAAGATAATTTTAGAGCTAAGATTATTTTCGAAAATCTAGGCCCTGATGTGAAAATGTTCCCTGTGATGAATCAATGACAGCTAATGATGCTGAACCTCATACCGTACCCTGAAAGGAATGTTAGTAACTACATCACACAGCAAGGCACAAACAGCTGTTAGTGAAGATGACAATAGATTGTCCAAGACACTTCCACACTGAACATGAGACACCCCTTATAATGCAAATCTGAATGATATTACTTAACCGCAATACTAAATGTGTTCAGTGCCCTGATTTTGTAAGACACTGTTGAAAGGTTGACAGCATTACAAACTTTACATGTTTAAAATTATGTCAAATTGCAAAATTGTGCTGGGGCTAAAATTGGTTAGATATTACAGAAGGGTAATTTTATCTATATCGTTGTCCAAAGAAATATGACCCTCTGTCGATATGTCATTAACGTGATCGTCACGATATGGTTGAAATACTGCCGATGTGACGTTAAATCTTAACTCTCACTCACTCATTAACGTGGTCACCTCTACCAGATGATTGATCATTTCAAAATGACCGCTGACACAAATTTTGTAACGCTGTTAAATTTATAGAATCATAACAAGGCCGGATGTATGACAAATGTGAGCGATAAGGTTGATTTTTGAATGTTAAGATATGTTTTTTCAAAGTCTTAACAAAAAGTTGTTGATTTTCTCAATGGTCTTAATGGCCCCTTGTCACTCCCCTTCTAAAAAGAATATCCCAATTATACAAAAAGTCCATATTTTTTTATAACCCTGTCATGACCATGCCAATAATAGACGACCAATCCCCAAACAGTAGTCTACAATTATACAGGTCACTAAATACATTCAATACAGCAGACAACGGAAACTTGACCCAGTCTAGGCTAGTATACATTTGATGAATATACAGACGATGACACTCCAATATACATCCAATGACCTCATGCAGACAGTGGTGACCCCTGGAGGTTATAGCAGACAGTGGTGAATACCGGTGGGACCTCCATCTCAGCCATGCATACTATGCACTGATACATACCGCATGTCACATAGTTTTTGTCAGATTAAATAAGCTGTTGTTCTGCTTTGTAGTCAATGACTTGTCACATATCACTATTAGTTATAAAGACTGAAAAGTTGCTTATGTGACAGAAATAGTTTTGCAAAGTGTACTTAAAGTAATTTAATGTTCGAAATACATTGGATGAAATAAACAATCATAAAATTGGATATCCTTACAGTCGACAGAAAGAAGTGTCACTTGATGACAGCAGTAATATTCTATGACATATTTAGAGCTAAAAAGTCACCTCAAATGTCGGATTATATTTCCAACTGAGAACCAGAGAAAAAGTAAAGTGAAAGTGATTTTAAATTCATCACCCATAACACGTCTAAACTGCATGTCTCCATTCATGAAACCAGAATTTCTCTGTAACATTATTGCTTAACACCAACGCCCTTGGAATAGGAGTATAGCAAAGCTTATGTCACTTAACATAGAACTGTGTGGCTTTTCAATTTTTTATTAATCTAGAGGCAAACATTAAATCAGATTGAAAAGGGAGACAATTCTTCCATGTGAACACATATATTGATAGAGTTATTTCCCTTTTCATACAAAAAAGTGATGAATTTGTGTTTAGCCATTAAGTAAAAGAAGTAAAACTAAAAGATATCCAGACCATGTTTGAAATTAAGACAGAGGGTTTCAATTAAGTAGTTTTTTCAAGCAGAATTAATGAAAACAAACAACTTTCATTATATCTTACACACCTGTAAATCAGTTCAGGTGCCTGTAACTTAGCAGAGAAGTAGAAAAGTAGACCTAAGTTTCAAGAAAGCATGATGACAAGCAGCGACGATAATGATAGTGATGATGATGATGATAATGAAGACGTACACATGGCTGCTATGGGTAAAGGAAACTACAGGACAGGGCCCGATTCCACAAAGCGATCATAAGCCAATATGAAAGCGTGGGAGTTAGGATCATCTTAGTGCTAAGACTGCTTTGTGGAACAGCACTAAGATCGCTTTGTGGAACAGGGCCCTGATGTGCAAGGGTTACGTCCAGTGTAATCTGTATAGTTCACCGTTTGACATTCCACTGGGAAGCATGCCTGCTTTGACTCATTGGGTGGCGAAATGCTACTCCTGGTATATAAACAAACACAGGTCAAATGATGACAACAGACCATCCGATTACCTCGTAAACAACATTAGACACATCAAATAAACACCTACAAATAAACTTGTAGACTAGACTCACATATACTTCATAGAAACATACCTATAAGAAATATAGCTACCCGTATTTATAATCCCTAGGTTCCCATTAAAACTTAATCATTACTTGTATTCATAACACATTTTGAGATTGGGCTGCAATAATTAATCACTTGCTTGTCACACTGTATTGGTCATTGATAAGGAATGGTTGTATAGTTGCTTATGTATTTTTTCATGATGACAAAATAATGTTGAAAAATTAAATAATATTCCCCCGGAAATGAATACATGTTATTCAATCAAGGACTGCAGGGACAAATAACAGGGGTTCTAAAAGTTGATGCTCTTGGTTCCTGTGAACCCTCAGCATGTTGACCTTGTAGCTATGAATATATTAACTTATCTATTTCTACCCTAGTGGTTACTTATCGGGTAGCCTAGTGGTTAAAGCGTTCGCTTGACATGCAGAAGACCCAGTTCGATTCCCGGCATGGGTACATTGTGTGAAACCCATTTCTGATGTCCCCCGCCATGATATCGCTGGAATATTGCTAAAAGTGGTGTAAAACCATACTCACTCACTCTATTTCTTTTACATAGAAAATAATGAGTTGGATTTCTGACAAACAATTAATGAATTGTTTTGTCCTCATGTGAAAGAAGTTGACAAAAAAGGACAAAATAGGACTTTCACAATTGTATTATTTAAGTCGTATATAAGAAAGAGATATTAGATATGTTCTGTTTATATCATGATCTTGTCTTTACATTTCCCAAACAAAAATACATTCAGACCTCAGCTAACAACATACGTTGTAGTCTGGAATGTGTATAAAACCTAACGCATAAAACCCCATGTAGCCCTCGTGATCCGGCTACAACTAATTTGATCTCACTGACATGTTTTAATGAGACATTGTAAAAGAATTCAAACAAATTCAAAATTGGCTGTTTGATTCAGCTGAGATTAACTTTCGCTATGCCACGTGACTTCCATTGACTTGGAAAAAGCGTGCAGCTTTTTGCTTTGAAGCGGGGTATAAGGGATTTATTCTGCCTCTCAGAAATCCATGTGCAGCCTGACTTGCTCAAGCCGGGGTATAAGAGATTTATTACCCTTCTGAGAACTTTATTAACCTCCAAGGCTGTATACATGGTATTTTATCAAGATCATGTGGACCAATCAGATCTCATTATTCTGAAATGGAGGTATGATAATGTTTTCATCCATACCAATTTGGCTTAAAAATACTGTCAAACCACATTTATAAGTTGTAGACTAGAAACACCTTTTTATTGTTCCTGAACATTAAAGCCTTCATTCACATTAATAACAAAAGGATTAAAAATACATTGAAAACATGGACACATGGAACCAACCATTGCACAGAATTACTTCAACACAACATAAACTGTTCATATGGGTCACATTGGTTTTACTTGAAGATCTTCTTCATCACACTATTCCTACACCATTATCCAGAGAGACACTATAGGGGTTCCCATGCCAGGTTACCATAGTAACACAATAACAGACCAATCAACAGACAACACACAGCATCCTAGATGTAGAAGTCAGACATAGGGATTGCTCGGATAGAGCGTCATTCAAAAGTACAGAGTTTCTTTCTGGTTTTAAACTCTTTAAATGAAAAAGTAACCCTTTTCAAGTTGGATAGACAAACTTACCCTTTATATTAAAATTTAAACTTCTTGTGTTTTGTGAACTTACAACACTGTTGATATATAGGCTTTACCGAAAGATTCATCATATTTCCAAGAATCAGGGTTAGAAATTAACATGTCTGCTTCTCTGAGACTAGCAAACTTCAGAAAGGACAAGTGACTTTACCATTTTCACCATAAGATAGTGACACTTTAGACTTTAGCAGATTCTTTTTTTGCAGACTAATAAAAATAAATTAATTTCTAACCCTGAAAGTGATGGTGAAGTTCATAGATTGACTTTTCAATATGTCTGCCATGGCAGCCATTTTGAACTTTTCACAACACTAAAAGAAAAGGCAATTATGTAATGACTTAAGCACATTAAGCAAAAGTGTTGATGAGAATTTGATGAAAAGCCAGAAAATATGTTGACCATAGCGTTCAAGTTAGATTTGTCAATGTTCTCTTTGGTCTCTTGATTCTGAAAGGTCTATGTCTGACTCTAACTTTAGAGTGCTTGATTAATTCTTACATTCTCACTCTATAATGGCTGTTAGTCCTAGCACTGAAAACGTGAACGTAGTGTAGGTATACAATTTAATGTAGATCACACAGTGTCACAGTGACTAATTGGACACATATTAGTAACTTTTATTCAAAATATCATGCAGTCAGTCTTGAATATTGACATTCTCAGTTACAAGTTACAAGACATGAATACAATAACTTTCCATTATTGTCAAAATAAATATCCCATGTTCTTGTATTCAGTGTTTTGTGTTTTTTTTGGTTAAAATATAAAGATAGACAAAAAATAACAGGGTTAATAAATCTGAGGAATGAGGGTTGTTCAAGCCGATCCATTAAGGCACCCATGCCGTAGAAACCACACCAAGTGCAAGAGGTGTCCCCCCCTGCCGTGACCCTACAACTTACGTGGTCCTCCCTGTGGGGTGGAGGGGTCGGGTTGCATCATGGTGCCGTAGATGTTCACGATGACGACCAGGAAGCACAGCACGATGGGGCCGATAATAGCCCCCTCCAGACCCAGACAGTACATTCCTCCGGCGATGGCCAAGCCGGTCATGAAGGGGTGGCCGCTGAAATACACGTAGAGATGAGTGAGTGAGTGAATGAGTTTTATTCCAGTCTTGTCAGGCAGGCATCAAGAATGGTCTTCATACACAGATAAAGTGGAGCAGTACAGAAGGGCAACCTCCATTTTTCATCTTCCAGAGGCAAGTGAGTTAACTGGCTGCAAAAGTCCAGTTTCCACCCTTGCCGAAACTAAGCTGGAATAATGGAGTTATATTTTGGCTGGACTAACAAGTCTATGCATAGTCCAATTAATTCTGGTTTGTAAAGTGCCGTGCAGATTTTGGTCGTCATTTATTGGGGTCAAGGCCCTGTTATTTTAGCAAGGCGGCAAAAATGGTAACAGCATTTGTAAGAAACTGTTGCTAAGGGAGGAACTTGTGCACATTCCTTTCCAAAATGGCGGAAGGTATCTGAAATTCTAGGTGGTAGTTCATGCTACAGGTCAAACCAAACATGAAATATTGTTGAATGGTACTTAAATATTGCTAAAAAACATTAGCAAATTTCATAAAAAATCACAAAAGTATAAACTAAAGTTTCATCAGGGCATAACATTTTCTAAGCTGACTGAAAACTAATCTCACCCCTTGATTTCACTATAGATGGCAGTGTCTACCACATAGGCAGGCAGCATGTGGACGATGAAGAGCAGGATCGCCATCAATCCCTGACCTTGACCCAGCCACAGCTCCAGCATTGCGGGGAAGGCAGCCCAGTACGTGCCGACAAATGGGATCGCTCCGAAGATGGCAGCGAGAGCTGAAGACAACAGCCAGAACTTCAAGAGGTTGTTCCTGACTTCATGCACATGTTGTGTGTATAGGACAAGTGATCAGAGCCAAGCAGTACCAGGTCTGGACCAGAGGTACCAGAGAGATGAGGTCACATGTGGTTTCATGAGTGAGTGAGTGTGTATGGTTTTACGCCGCTTTTAGCAATATTCCAGCAATATTCCAGCAATATCACAGCAGGAGACACCAGAAATGGGCTTTACACATTGTACCCATGTCGGGAATCGAACCCAGGGCTTCGGCGTGACGAGCGAACGCTTTAACCACTAGGCTACCTGACCGCCCCATGGGGTTTAATGCTGTGTTCAAAGATTATTACACTTATATAGCGACATGCATGCATGTGTGTGTGGCTGCTTGTACTAGTTCGGACTAATACCGATTTAAAAGTGCTAGCCGACTGAGATATCATGCTAAAGTTTCACAAGGACACCCCACTCAGACACATTTTACTGACTCTAAGCCGACCTTGTTTTAACACGTTAATGCTCAGTGCCAGGCAGGGTAACAACAAGTGCTATCTTTTAACGTCTTTAGGTATAGCGTGGCCAGGAATCAAACCACCGATCTTCCATTCTGCGGGCAGTTGTTCTATCAACTAGAGGGGCGGTCGGGTAGCCTAGTGGTTAAAGCATTGGCTCGTCACGCCGAAGACCCGGGTTCGATTCCCGACATGGGTACAATGTGTGAAGCCCATTTCTGGTGTCCCCCGCCGTGATATTGCTGGAATATTGCTAAAAGCGGCGAAAAACCATACTCACTCACTCTATCAACTAAACCATGGAGATGGTGTAAAACCAGTGGTGGGTATAGTGCTGAGTCTCGTCACCAGACAATGATGACACACAAAAGCAATTGTACTGTATCATTTGTTCAGCAATTTCCAGCAATATCACAGCAGCCTGGACCAGACAATCCAGTGATTGAAATGAAGAGTTATGTCCCATGGTATCAGGGCACGATGACACACCATCAACCAAGTCACTGAGTGTGACCACCTGATCAGTTTAGGTTTACAATAGAATTCCCAAAGAGTCAACGCAATTGTAAGTGGTCTGAGGCGTGAAAAGGTTAATGAGTCTGGCAAGCAGGTCCAAAGTAACTTCTATCATGTCCTAGAGATCTTTCAGGGGTTTATTTAGACTGGCCCAGAGGCCATGTTTGGGCCCAAGTCTACAGAAAATGCATTGTCTACGGCCATACCACGGTGACCTTGTCGTCTGAGGCACTGCAATTAACTTTGTAGAATTACACGCCATCAGCATCTGATCTGCATGACAGAAACTTACTATTGCTGGTCTGCATCCTGGTCTGCCCTGACTAATTTCCCAAATTGGAATAAGTATAAATTTCCTAATTCATGTAATATCTAATAACTAACTTTATGGCTTGTTTGTAGAGGTAGCCTGTATTTCATTGATAACAGGGACAATAAAGAGGAAGAGTGGATCTCAAAATACAATGTTAAAATAATACTAAAATTAATTAAAATTTCTCTGTAAATTGTTTTGCCAATTTTGAACAAAATCACAATTTTTTCCCATATTGCCTGCAAGGGGCACTATGTTTAGAATACTAGATATAGCTCTGTCTTTATGCAAGCATATGCAAGTCCAACTGCTGATGAAATACATGACTCCAGCGTTGTCTCACCTGACGGTATAAAGACGATGTTGACTCCGAACACCAAGTGGGTGAGCCAGGTGAACAGGCCATAGAAGGAAGCCATCTTCAGCGACGCCATGAACACTCCGCTGGAAGGGAAAGCTTGGCTATCATTGGGTTTAAGAATTTAAAGATCGGGACATGATGATGATGATGTTTGAAATTTAACAAGTGCTTCTGGGGGTGCTGATTTCGCACCCGGGACAGCACTGATCTGAATCATAATGCCTTTGTAAGGGCGTGTGAATAAAGGGTGAGTGAGCAAATTGCTGATTGTCGAAGGTCGGCAATATTCCAGCAGTACATGAAGTAAACAATCAAGACCGGACAAACCAGTACTAAAGATGTTGCCACATTGTTTATTTTTAATGACACAAACATATGCTACCTGCATTATTGTAAAGTGAATGCAACTGTGTTTTTTTAAGTTTAATAGATATGAAGTCCATAATTGCCTGATGGATATCTACCTAATGGCCTTCTCTACAGCCCCGCCCATCTTGCTACCCCCTGCCTGGGAGACAGATGGATATCTACCTATGGCCTCCTCTACAGCCCCGCCCATCTTGCTGCCCCCTGCCTGGGAGACAGATGGATATCTACCTAATGGCCTTCTCTACAGCCCCGCCCCTCTTGCTGCCCTCTGCCTGGGAGACAGATGGATATCTACCTATGGCCTCCTCTACAGCCCCGCCCATCTTGCTGCCCCTGCCTTGGAGACAGATGGATATCTACCTAATGGCCTTCTCTACAGCCCCGCCCATCTTGCTACCCCCTGCCTGGGAGACAGATGGATATCTACCTAATGGCCTCCTCTACAGCCCCGCCCATCTTGCTGCCCCAACCTGTGAGACAGATGGATATCTACCTAATGGCCTTCTCTACAGCCCCGCCCATCTTGCTGCCCCCTACCTGGGAGACAGATGGATATCTACCTAATGGCCTTTTCTACAGCCCCGCCCATCTTGCTACCCCCTGCCTGGGAGACAGATGGATATCTACCTAATGGCCTTCTCTACAGCCCCGCCCATCTTGCTGCCCCCGACATCTGAGACAGATGGATATCTACCTAATGGCCTCCTCTACAGCCCCGCCCATCTTGCTGCCCCCTACCTGGGAGACAGATGGATATCTACCTAATGGCCTTTTCTACAGCCCCGCCCATCTTGCTGCCCTCACCTGGGAGACAGATGGATATCTACCTAATGGCCTCCTCTGCAGCCCCGCCCATCTTGCAGCCCCCACCTGGGAGACAGATGGATACCTACCTAATGGCCTCCTCTACAGCCCCCTACCTGGGAGACAGATGGATACCTACCTTATGGCCTCCTCTACAGCCCCCCACATGGGAGACAGATGGATACCTACCTAATGGCCTCCTCTACAGCCCCGCCCATCTTGCTGCCCCCCGCCTGGGAGCCTGCGGGGCTCATGCTGGAGAACCACTCTAGGGGCTTGTATTGGTTACCACTTGACGCCAGCAGGTAAAACAGGGTCGTCAGAAACAAGATCTGAAAATCAATTACACAAATATCACACTTTTTGTAAAATGATAATTGTTTCAACACATTTCTTATGCTTTCAGTAATGCTCCACATAAGTGAACATATATACTCAATCAATCTTCAGTTCAAGCAGTTAGTGACTTATATTTAAATGCACCATTAGCATTGTTGAAAGTAGTCAAAATAAACCAGCAAATAAGTTTATCATGGATACCCTGATACCCACATACAGTAGCCGAGCTGACCAGACCATGTTTTATATCTTTAATGTTTGTTTTTTGTTGTTTAATGCCACACTCAGCAATATTCCAGCTACATGACGGTGGTCTGTAAATTATCGACTCTTGAGCAAATAATCCAGTGATTGACATCATGAGCACCTTAATGCCAGGCAGCATAACAACAAGTACAATATTTATATGTCTGTTGGTATGATGTGGTCAGGGGGTCAAACCACCGACCCTCCAGTCTCTCTATCCACTAGACCACGGAGGTGGTGAGAAAAGCTTTTAAACACAAATGGGCCTGATTACACACAGTGACCCACGACTGGCATGAGCTCCCTCTGGTCCCTGATTCAATAAGAGTTTTGACAATCAGAAGTCTATGTTGAAGTATGGGGGCCCAGGTCTCTGCCTCTGCCAAGAAATACTTGGAACTCACTGCTGAGATGATGAAATTCAAGATGGCTGTCCCTCCTCCAAGAACCATGGACAAGATGGCGGTGACGATGTTCATCATGAGATCCATGTTGCCTTTGATTACCAGCCAGATAGATTCGAACACCTGAAATACAACCACAACAGACAATGCAGAGGTCAGTTTAGAAGGGGTGGGGGTCCCAAGGTTTACTCAGTTGTAGTCAGGGACATGTAAAACAAGTTCCGAAAAAATTATAATAATATGTATTGGTAATATTGACAGATGAAAGAATCAATTGTAAGGTTCTTTGCTCACAGATGAATGGACAAAGAGCCAAGACATAACGTCAAGTCATGTTTAAAATGCCTCCTTGAGTATGTATTAACTTTTGATATTGTGATTGAAAGTCCAATGTTAACTCACAGACATAAAAGTGCCGACATTATCCTGTGCAAAAGACACGAGACTGCCGACGTTGAACAGTCCGTCGCCCTGGGAAACCATGTCCCACATGGCGGTCATGTTGGTGATGTCAGGGAACCCTGGGGAACTCGGACGTGCCACTTGGGTGGTGTTCTGGAAAAAAGAAGCAAGAACATGAACAACACACTGAACAAGAACTGTATTTTGGGCTAGGGCTGAGACGAGTCCAAATTTACTCACCCCCACCCCCACCCCCCTATTGCCTGACCCTACCCGGATACCCACCTCCCATTGCCTGACCCTACTTGGGTACCCCCCCCAGGTACAACACACACACACACACACACACACACACACACACACACACCCCAACCCCGGTACCCACCCCCCTATTGCCCGTCTCTACCCAGATACCCACCCCCCTATTGCCCAACCTTACCCGGGTACCCACCCCCATATAGCCCGACCCTACCCAGGTACCCACCTCCCTATTGCCCGACCCTACCCGGGTATACACCCCCATATTGCCCGACCCTACCCAGATACCCACCCCCCTATTGCCCGACCCTACCCAGGTATTTTTGTGCACATATTGTGATACAAGGATGCAATATTGTATCTATCATGAAAGAGTGAGTGAGTGAGTTGGGTTTAACGCCACTTTTAACAGTATTCTAGTTATAACCTGGCATGTCAGCTTAATGTGGGAGGATAGCCTATAGTGATGCAGGTCTCAGACATAACCACTTTGAAGAAACCAAAGAGCACGGATATGGTGCTGACAAACCTAGAAACATAATTTGAGCAGGCAAGGGACACAACTCTAAGGGAATTGCGGCGCCTTAGATGACTGCGCCAACCTGCCCCCTCTATTTTGAAAGAACATACATTATTTGAAGGTGAAAATAAAATAAGTATTTTACCATCACAGCTGTTGGTATAATTAGTATCATGGTACAGAGCCTCTACATCCTAACTTCATTCAACATATACCATGATGCTGTATCAGCATATTTACTGTACAATCCTGTCGCCATGTGGGGATTCTTGCATCAAGATGTCTGATACAATTTAAAATTTCAAGAAATGACGGCCGAGGATGTTCATCTTGAGTGACACATGCCGTTCAGTAAGGATTATATAATGACCAATAATTTGTAAATGCTGTTGCTCTGTGTTTGAATTTTATCTGATAATGATGAACACATGTAGCATAACTCTGTTCCACATAAAAATACTGTAGGATACCTTGATAATAACCCCATGGTCCAGCGATAGAAACTAACAGTTTTAGTCCACTACTCCTTATGATAACATATAGCAAAACCCTTAAAAAGGGCAAACTTCTACAAGTCCTTATGACACTTTAATGATTGGGTAGTTTGGCAAGGACTATAGGACTAGTGCCAATTTCTAACGCTGTTGGTAATTCCATCATAGAACCCCATCAACCTATCCTGGTCATACGAGGCGACTAAATGCATCGGCTGGTCAGGTTAGGTAATTGCATATTATCATAATTCTACAGCTTTGGTTCTGGTCCAAACCCTAATGTCTGCAGTCATAGATTCAACAGCAGATTGTTTGAGAAGTTGGTGTTTCAAGGGAGATAATTCCTTCATATTATCGCCTACAGAACTGTATGAGCATTTTCTGGATGTGGAAAATTAAGTGATGAACAATACTTCTTTCATTGTAGATCTGTTGATACCACCAGTACTGTAGAGATCCGCGATAGTAACTATGTCATCAATGTATTTCCTTTTAGGAGAAGGCCTAGTAAGTGTGTCACTCGTGCCTAATCCATTTGATTTTCCACTATAAAATATGTTTAAATTAATGTATTTCCTTTGGGCTACGTTTTTTTTTTGTTCGCACTCAGCTATATGACAGCGCAATTGGGATACGTTTACATGCATCAACCAAGTCAGTGAACCTGACCACTAATCCAGTTAGTCGCCTCTTATGACAAGCATAGTCTCCTTTTATGTCAAGCGTGGGTTGCTGAAGACCTGTTCTACCCTGGATCTTTACGGGTATCAAGCTATGGACAATTATGATGCATCGATAGTTCATTGTTACATCTCCAGGTGACACCCATGAGTTACCAAATTGGAATAAAACATTTCCCAATTCATGTTGTTAACTAATGTTGTGGCTTGTAGAGGTCAATTGTACCTCACTAATAACAGGACCAACATAGTGGAAGAGGCTTTAAAGCTTAGCTTAACATTATTGTATTAAAAGTAACACTGAACTTTAAAAAAGTATGAACTTCAAACAAAATCCCAATTTTGAACAAAATACTGATTTTCCCAATTTGCCTGCCTTGGGCACTGAGTTTGGAATCCCAGATACATCCCTGGAGGAGTATGGCGCTGTCAGACCAAGAATCAGAATTAGGACAAATCTGGGAATTACCCAATGATCATCAGATCCTAACATGCCTAGGGGATGCAACTCTGCACTTTAAACAGCTGGGCCACCTGTGCCCCTCATGCATGTAGAAGTTGTATACAGTGTCTCCATGTTAGTAATAACAGGAAAAGAGGTTAAATGATCAGAAGTCAAAGATATAAATAGAAAATTAGTATAAGAAGATAGACAGAAAGATACAATTCAATAACGTTACTCATGAGAGAACTATATCCTTAACATAATAATATGAATGTCAGTCGGGTGAGAGAATTTTCATGGCTTTATTCTGCTTTTAGCAATACTCCAGCAATATCACGGCAGGGAACCCCAGATGTGGGCTTCACACTTTGTACCCATGTGGGGAATTGAACCCGGGTCTTCAACTTGACAACTGAACACTTTAACCACTAGGCTACCCCAATACCCCACTCAGACACAGTATACTGACTCCGAGCTGACCAGTCCTTGTTTTAGCCCCTTAATGCCGAGCGCCAGACAGGGTAAGAACAAGTACCATCTTTTAACGTCTTTTGGTAAGACGCGGCCGGGGATCGAATCCCGGACTTTCCGCTCTCCGGGCGGACGCTCTACCACTAGACCACGGAGGCGGTCTGAGGGGGATTGAACCCAGATCTTTGGCATGACAACTAAACGCTTTAACCACTAAGCTACCCTACCACCCCAATGACAACAGATAATCTGTTACTAAACAGATAATCTGTTACTAAACAGAACATGTAAACACTTAGAAAGGATCATATTAATGTTTGTATGATAGGTCAAAAACGATCAATTTCAGCATTTGCAGCACAGAACAAAAGTCGTCAAACAAAACAGAAATATAGAATATATAACATGGAGATAGTGTGAAAACATTGTTCTAAGAGGAGCACCCTTGTATAACAGCTGTAGAGAGGTGGTTGTATTGCTCGGTGGTGTTCATACTCATGTCCAGGGTGATGTTAATATGTCCCTTCACTGGTAGCTGTTGCCATTTGCTGTAAGTACCGTATTCGACGTAATAAGCACCCCGCTCTAGTAAGCGCCCACGGCGATATTTGTTAATATATTGGCTCATGAACAATCTCAATTAGCACCCCTTCCGATTGATCAATGTACACAACTTATTTATTTCGTGTATAATATGCACTCGTGTGTTATATACACCCTTAATTAAGGGCAATTAAATTCTGGAAAATATATCTGTCGTATACAAATATTTTCAGGCTGTCAGCATAAACCACGAAATTTATCTTTCAACTCTGTTTTTTCCCCACCAAAATACCATTCTAATAAAGAGCCCCCATTTTCTAATTTTGAGAGCGCCCTGGGCGCGTATTACGTAGAATACAGTTATAGCTCTTTTTGATGCTTCATATTGCTTTCTTATCATGCTTATAGTGGCATTGTTCAATAGCATTCACTTTTTGTTGTTGTTCACATATATCAGGTGTTAATTGCTGATGGGTGCATGTGGTGTATATTACTGCTGGAAGCATTTTGCAGGTTTTATTATTTCTGGAAATATTTGGGAAGATGTCCTATTTGTCTATTATATTGCCGCTGGAGACAGTTATGTTTTCATAGTAATTTGGAAAGTGTGTATCGTATGTAGTTTATTCCGGAAGACAGACCTGTGGCCCAACATGTCTATAGCCCATGCATGAATGTGACATAAGGTCTACACATCTTTAAACTACTGCTATGGGCAATGCGTAAATGATCTGGTCGAACGTGCAGTGCTTTCCTGGTGCTGGTGTCTACTTCAGTGGTGAAAGTATTCCTATTAAATTCTTCAGGAAAGTAGTTTTTTGAGTGTCTCAAGCCTTGCTATCGATATCAGATGACTTTTAAATGAAGTCAGATACAATGTGATTCCACCACTTTTAAGATAACTCAACATTCCTTGACAGCTCCTGCTCTCTTACAGACAGTCACAGAAATGACTGAGAGTGATCTCCCCTGTCATTAGGCTTTCAAAGCTCCCTCCCAGCGCGTGACACCTTCGTTACACTCTCGGTAACATCGCTGCCACCAGTGTGGGTGCGGCCATTACAAGAATCTTGAAATTTGCCCTCCAACCCCTTATGTAGTAACGTTTATACTTTTGTTTATGTCTTTGGGAATGCAATCATATTTCAATTTGAAAAGTTTTACGACTGACAATGTTTTCCAGATGAATTTACTTTGTTGTTTTGAAAATCAGATTGGTTCGAGATTGCAGACTAACGGAAAATCAACCAACTTCTCCCTTACATTCTAACTATATCAATAACACGATAGTTTTAATGAAACAGAAATTCAAATTGACAAACGAAGAAAGTAATTTAGCAGCGATAAGTGTATTCGGCGTCACGACAGTCGTCACTTGTTTGTAAACATAACAGTCATTCGGTTGCGAGTTCAACTCCAAGCATGGTTGTGGCCCACCTATTCACAGTGGGGAGTTTTGACTGGTGGCAGCGATTGTATAGAGAGCTCCGCGAACGTACTATCGCTGTGAGGAGCTTGTAGGCTTTCATTACCTAGCTATCATGGGCGATACCATGGGTCTATCACATATCATGGGTAAACATTGTTGGTTCTATGATGGGTTATCTTCTGGTTATCGCAAGGGTTATCCTACCTGTGGTGACCTGACTGAAGTTAGGTGTTAGGTAACAGAACCATCATGTTGAAATAAAGTAAAGCACATATACCACACAGTCAGCACACCAAACTTACCACATACACAAATACAGGAATGCATCAACAGCCCCACCCATAACAGTCTAACAGACAATTTCCTCAAACGTATGTTAAATATTTTATTCACAACATATTTAATGAGCAAACCTAATTAAGGCGATGCAAATTTGAGAAAGTAGTTCAAGCACCATTGTGTCAATCTGTGTGGATTTTCCTGCAGTGTCTTGAAAACCAACTGTTTATTTTATTATTTAAACAACTGTCACATTTTATCTACATCTGATGTTGACGTCCCACATGATCCCTACGCCTTAAACAGAACCATGGCCTAGCTCACCAAATAGATAAATTCACAATGGCATTTATGTAATATATTTTTAAATGGTCCTCCCGAAAATTACAATTACAGATAATTCTAAATACCGGTAACATTTATTAAAAAGGGTGAGGCATGTTTGTTAGAGACAGAATATGTTTTCTTAATATTTTTAAAGAGACACAAAAGCATTTTTCAAACAATCTTGTTTTGCTTGTAAACATAGAAAACCCATTTAATAAATCAATAATCCCAGACGAAACCTTGTTAACATGATAGTCACCCTGACATGTTGCAGTTTTGACAAACCTTGCATTTATTTATTTTCTTCCTTGGTCCAAAAACGTTTGACACAGTGGTGCACTAGAATCTCTTACAACAACCCAAACCAAAAATTACAGCTGCCATTACTGAGTTAAGAAAACATAGTTTATGTTTTAATTACATGTACCGGTACACCAAATTTGATCAAATATTTGAGGAAATCTGCCCATAACTCCACTCCCAAACTATCCCCTCATCCTATGTAGAACAACCTCCACATCAGCGATGCATCGTACACAGCACACCATCACCAAGAGAAATACTGATCTGGACGAGAGGGCAATACTGCTACCTTCGTGGGGGAGTTATAGTAGATGGGCAAATCCTTTATCCCGGAGAGGAATACACTCCAGGAGGCTTGTGATTGGCTAGAATTCTGCATATGATAACATCATGTAACCATAGAAATAGGGAATGCCAATTTTTGGGTAAATGGTTAGTTACTATGGCGATGATTAGCAATTATAATTACATACATAATTTGATTAACAGGGTCTTACTAAATTTACAGGAGCATTACAAGATTCCGCATAACAACGAAAATAAAACAAAAGACAAATAAATATACAAATATGTTTTCCAGATCCAAGAAATAAAAAAAAAGCACAAAAAATTGTATATGTCAATATCACTGACTTCTTCACTGTTATTGTCACAATGGTAACACTAATCATAGCAAAAGAAAGAATTATTGTGTCTATGTGTGACATTTTCGTTTAAACAGTTTGATGTATGAAAAACTTTAATGCAAGAGAAAATCTTTATATGCCAATGGATAGTAACAAATACAGTTATCTTAACAATCAAATATTTCATCGTTTATATTATTCAGTATTTTATTGCCATTCCTTGACACTTGACACAATATTCTCTACACATCTCAGTGAACAGAATTGGCAAACAAATGGCTGCCATTTATTGCTGATACCAAGGACACAACTATTATGAACAAGTATTTTCATTATGACTATTATGATAAGAGAGAAAGATATATAAATGATTCATGATGAAAAATATTTTCTAACATACCGATGGAAAATAAAACATATGTGCTTAAAAACTGAATCTGACAAACTGGCTGTGCTATGAAGCTTGCAGATATCCCCATGCAGAGACAGTCATATAAACATGAATAAATGATCCCTGACCTTGGCAAACCAACTCTGGTACAGCTGATCCCACACCTCAAGGACGCGGACTTCCAACTCAGTGTTGTTCTGACCCTCTGTATCAACCAGGCTGTGAACCTACATAGAGAAGATCAGGCAGAATGTAACCATGGAGGTGGGTACCATGGGGCATGGGGCATACACAAGATGGAGGTGGGTACCATGGGGCATACACAAGGTGGAGTTGGTTACCATGGGGCATGGGGCATACACAAGATGGAGTGGTTACCATGGGGCATACACAAGATGGAGGTGGGTACCATGGGGCATACAAGATGGAGGTGGGTACCATGGGGCATACACAAGATGGAGTGGTTACCATGGGGCATACACAAGATGTAGGTGGGTACCATGGGGCATACAAGATGGAGGTGGTTACCATGGGGCATGGGGCATACACAAGATGGAGGTGGTTACCATGGGGCATACACAAGATGGAGGTGGTTACCATGGGGCATGGGGCATACACAAGATGGAGGTGGTTACCATGGGGCATGGGGCATACACAAGATGGAGTTGGTTACCATGGGGCATGGGGCATACACAAGATGGAGTGGTTACCATGGGGCATACACAAGATGGAGGTGGGTACCATGGGGCATACAAGATGGAGGTGGGTACCATGGGGCATACACAAGATGGAGTGGTTACCATGGGGCATACACAAGATGGAGGTGGGTACCATGGGGCATACAAGATGGAGGTGGGTACCATGGGGCATACACAAGATGGAGTGGTTACCATGGGGCATACACAAGATGTAGGTGGGTACCATGGGGCATACAAGATGGAGGTGGTTACCATGGGGCATACACAAGATGGAGGTGGTTACCATGGGGCATGGGGTATACACAAGATGGAGGTGGTTACCATGGGGCATGGGGCATACACAAGATGGAGGTGGGTACCATGGGGCATACAAGATGGTGGTGGTTACCATGGGGCATACACAAGATGGAGGTGGGTACCATGGGGCATACACAAGATGGAGGTGGGTACCATGGGGCATACACAAGATGGAGGTGGGTACCATGGGGCATACAAGATGGAGGTGGTTACCATGGGGCATACAAGATGGTGGTGGTTACCATGGGGCATACACAAGATGGTGGTGGTTACCATGGGGCATACACAAGATGGAGGTGGTAACCATCGGGCAAACACAAGATGGAGGTGGGTACCATGGGGCATACACAAGATGGAGGTGGTTACCATGGGGCATACACAAGATGGAGGTGGTTACCATCGGGCAAACACAAGATGGAGGTGGTTACCATGGGGCAAACACAAGATGGAGGTGGGTACGATGGGGCATACACAAGATGGAGTGGTTACCATGGGGCATGGGGCATACACAAGATGGTGGTGGTTACCATGGGCCATACACAAGATGGAGGTGGGTACCATGGGGCATACACAAGATGGAGTGGTTACCATGGGGCATACAAGATGGAGGTGGGTACCATGGGGCATACACAAGATGGAGGTGGGTACCATGGGGCATACACAAGATGGTGGTGGTTACCATGGGACATACACAAGATGGAGGTGGGTACCATGGGGCATACACAAAATGGAGGTGGTTACCATGGGGCATGGGGCATACACAAGATGGAGGGGGTTACCATGGGGCATACACAAGATGGAGGTGGGTACCATGGGGCATACACAAGATGGAGGTGGTCACCATGGGGCATACACAAGATGGAGGTGGGTACCATGGGGCATACACAAGATGGAGGTGGTTACCATGGGGCATGGGGCATACACAAGATGGTGGTGGTTACCATGGGGAATACACAAGATGGAGGTGGGTACCATGGGGCATACACAAGATGAGGATGGGTACCATGGGGCATACACAAGATGGAGATGGGTACCGTAGGACATACACAAGATGGAGGTGGTTACCATGGGGCATGGGGCATACACAAGATGGAGGGGGTTACCATGGGGCATGCGGCATACACAAGATGGAGTTGGGTACCATGGGGCATACACAAGATGGAGGTGGGTACCATGGGGCATACACAAGATGGTGGTGGTTACCATGGGGCATACACAAGATGGAGGTGGGTACCATGGGGCATACACAAGATGGTGGTGGTTACCATGGGGCATACACAAGATGAAGGTGGTTACCATGGGGCATACACAAGATGGAGGTGGGTACCATGGGGCATACACAAGATGGAGGTGGGTACCATGGGGCATACACAAGATGGAGGGGGTTACCATGGGGCATACACAAGATGGAGGTGGGTACCATGGGGCATACACAAGATGAAGGTGTTTACCATGGGGCATACACAAGATGGAGGTGGTTACCATGGGGCATGCGGCATACACAAGATGGTGGTGGTTACCATGGGGCATACACAAGATGGAGGTGGTTACCATGGGGCATACACAAGATGGAGGTGGTTACCATGGGGCATACACAAGATGGAGGTGGTTACCATGGGGCATACACAAGATGGAGGTGGTTACCATGGGGCATGGGGCATACACAAGATGGAGGTTGGTACCATGGGGCATACACAAGATGGAGGTGGTTACCATGGGGCATGGGGCATACACAAGATGGTGGTGGTTACCATGGGGCATGGGGCATACACAAGATGGAGGTGGGTACCATGGGGCATACACAAGATGGAGGTGGTTACCATGGGGCATACACAAGATGAAGGTGGTTACCATGGGGCATGGGGCATACACAAGATGGTGGTGGTTACCATGGGGCATACACAAGATGGAGGTGGGTACCATGGGGCATACAAGATGGAGGTTGTTATCATGATGTATGGAGCAATTTAAAGATGAGGAGGAGGTTATTCTTGAGCATTTGAAAGAATTGGAGACACACAAATAAGGTTGAAGACATGGTTGTTGCACCTACCATCGAGGCGATGTAGTCCCGGCCATAGATGTAGGCATTCTCAGCCATGGAGTCCATCGCCTTCTCCATGTCGGTGCTGTTGGGCAGCCACCTGCAGACAGGACACTTTGATTACATGGGTTTGTTAGCCAGGTATTGTTGGTGTGGGATAGTATAAATGATTATTAAATAATGCAAAGCTTTCTGCCATATTCTTTGGCCTAGAAACAGTCACATCTCAGCCAACAGAAACACTTATTGACTAAGCCAAAGAGATGTAGCTAAATTACAAACTGCTATAAGTTTCCGCAGAATTATTCTACACTTTTCTTATCAATGCAAATTAAACATATACTAGCACAGCTATTATGGGTCTGATAGAGAAAAAAGTTAACAGTGAGATACGCCTATACATGTTATGTATACTTTAAATTTAATATGTAGATCTAAAATTTGTCTCTTTATTATATAACAAAACAATTATAGGCGTTATATGAGGTCAATACCTGTTTTTATGGACACGAATAAAGAAATATCAACTTTAGAAGCTAAACTGTATAATTGGCTTCTGGCCCATATAGCCTGTTAGAACACATGACCAGTTTCTTTCTCTGCTTCCACCCTGCAACTGGTGTACAGAGAACACGGGTGGCCCAGGGCCCCGTTCCATGAAGCGATCTTAGCGCTAAGGTGATCGTAACTCCCATACTTTAACATAGGCTTACGATCATCATAGCGCTAAGATCGCTTTGAGGAACAGGGTCCTGATGTCTAAGGCGCTGCAATTTGCTGTGCAGAGTTGCTTCCTTGGGCATGACAGAAACCTATGATTCTGGGTTAGAATCCTGGTTCACCCCGATTATGTTTCTAGGTTTGTCAGCACCATACCCGTGCTCGTGGGTTTCACCGAAGTGGTAAACGTCTAAGACCTGCATCGCCTCGGGCTTTCCTCTCACTTTAAGCTGACACGCTGTGATACAACTTGAAAACTGATCAAAGCGGCGTTAAACCAAACTCACTCACTCACTTACTAACTATTTCAAGGCAGCATGTAGCTCAGTAGGTAATGTGTTCACATATTACAGAGAGGACGTGGTTCGACCCTGAGTGATATGTGAAACTGCAGCCTATTTGCCTCACGTCATAAATTTTCAGGCTTTCCTCCCACATTAAGCAGACATGCCGTGATATAACTGGAATACTGTTCAAAGCAGCATTAAACCCACTCACTCACAACAGGTTCACATGTCCATCTATGACATTGCACAGATCATATAGCATGTTCAGGGCTTGACTCAAGTCAACCACATTCAAATTCAATGCCTCAACATTCAGTATTGTGCTGCCACTGACAATGATATTCCATCATGGGCAGAACTGAAGACAGTTTCAAACTTCTTCTAATAACTCACTGGCTGATCTCTGGGTTGACCTTCTCGTTGAACAAGTTGCTAGTTACTGTAACCATGTGGATACTCTCCTGGTGGATCTGTAACAACACAAGTTCAGTCAACTCCCGTTAATCTGACATGGTTGGTTGAATATGTTTATGTCGGATAAACGAGTATGTCGGATAAACGAGTATGTCAGATATACAAAATTAAGTAAGATCAACGTTCGTGATAGAAAATTGGACAGCTACGTGATAAGTAATGATACATATACGTTGTAATGAAGTAATGACAAAGATGTATTCATTTTGTTATGTTATATTGTTAGCGGAAGATGTTTTCTAATCATGCAACTGCTAGAGCTTAACACAGGGCATTCTGAACCATTGTTATGTGCTGTATGACTTATTGAAAATACTTTTGAAAGCGTAGTCTGGAATGGAAGTTGCCAGTTTGAAACTAATGCTGCAAAACTCAAGAAAGACGCTTTTTTAGTGGTTAATGTCGACTTCCCACTAGTCATTTCATTGGTAGGTCAAAGTTCGCGAAAGGTCGTTCTGATGTCCTCAGCAGTATCGAGAACTTATATCTGATTCTAATGAGATTCTGATGTCAGGCCCTGACTTAATGAGGCTGATGTTAGGCCCTGACTTAATGAGGCCGATGTTCAGCCCTGACTTAATGAGGCCGATGTTATTCCCTGACCTAATGAGGCCGATGTTAGGCCCTGACTTAATAAGGCCGAAGTAATTCCCTGACTTAATGAGGCTGATATTATTCCCTGACTTAATGAGGCTGATGTTAGGCCCTGACTTAAAGAGGCTGAATATAGGCCCTAACTTAATGAGGCTGATGTTATTCCCTGACTTAATGAGGCCGAAGTAATTCCCTGACTTAATGAGGCTGATATTATTCCCTGACTTAATGAGGCTGATGTTAGGCCCTGACTTAAAGAGGCTGATAATAGGCCCTATGTTAAGCCCTGACTTGATGAGGCCAATATTAGGCCGAAATAATGAGGCTGTTGTTAGGCCCTGACTTAAAGAAGCTGATAATAGGCCTGACTTAAAGATACAGGCAAGTTTGATCCTCTACAATATTTCTCTCTCATCACGATGGCACTGGTCGTACCTGAATGGCCCCGATGATGATGAAGAGCATCGATCCAATCAGGAGAATAAGAATCAGCAGAATACTGGTGGCCTTGTCGGTCGACACCTCAAGAGCATCAATCACCTGGCAACAAGTAAACACAATAACGTATTAGTGATGGGTATCTGATACTTTCTGCCAATGAATTGATGAAAAAGGAAAAGTTTCAGCTGATAAGCACGGTGATGAGCTCTTGAAGTAATAATATTCAACTCTTTTTTTCTTATAACAATAAAAACCAACATCATTAATAAACATAATTATAAAGCAAAGTAGGAAAATGTAATTAGGTATTCTATTTGTAATATTACAAAACTGAGTATGAAAGACATTTTCCTCTTTAATGTCTCTCTTTCCAGTAAAATGTATGTAATAGTTGCTAAAGTAAAACATTAGTTATTGGCATGAGAATCTGAATCTAAATTTACATATTTCAAATTTCAGAATTTTGCCTTATACTTGTGCCTTATACCATCGCAAACTCGGTGTCAAATATTTGGCCCTAATCTGCTCATACAAATCTCAGTTCTAGTTACCAATAACACTGAAGATGGTTGCATCATACCTTCTTGTCTCCCTTCAGTGCAATCTTAGCAAGTCCACTAATGGAGCGTGGTGCGATGGCGTCCTCTCGTTTGGCGTACCAGTCAATCAGACTTTTCTTGACATTCTCCATTCTCTCATGGAGGAATCCCCCACTGCTGAACTGGCCAGCTGAAAATCAATAATACCCTATCAGTGTTTCTGGAGGGTTTCACATAAATATACCAGACATTAATTTTATCAGTCAGTTTCATATCAATATTTTCCATCTTTAACACAGTAAGCACTCCTTTCATCCCAAAACATGTGGATAGTGTTGTTTGCATTTTTCCAGTCGCCTTGCTCTTGATTTATGCTATCACATGGAACCCAAATATTATGTCAGTATAATATGACTACATTATTACACCGCAGCCCTTGAAATTTGTGCTCGTCTGCTGGCCCGAGACTACTAAATTATGCCGAGAACATTAAAAAATCTAATGATGGTAGTCCTCATTGACTTGTAACATTTGAGGGTTATAAATCTGAGCCAGTTGACAATGCTCCAATTTTGCTACAAACTGAAACTGAATAAAACAGTAAGAAAATGTAAACATAGTAAACATTCTTGCCTCATTCAAGCAGAACTAGCAACAAACTCAGAGGACTAGAGAAATAAAGTTTACTCCAGTCCTCTGGACTTGTCTTCAAAAATTATTTCTAAGTCTGGTATTGTGGTGACAAATATTTAAAAATTACTAAGGCTGTTATCATGGTTATGAAAAGTGCTGTGGGGACGAAGTTTTATAAAACCTAAATGAAATCAAACCAACCAATGATGATGATGATTCATCTGTATGACTGATGTTTATTTTTAGAACAGAAATCCCTGGAGGTCATTACCCAATCTCATTAAAATCAGTTCTAAGTTCTCGCTGTCGCTAAACAAAGATCTGAGGACATCCCATTACCGGTCACGTCAGAACAACCTTTCGCAAACCTTGACCTCCTACTGAAACGACTAACAAGAAGTCGACATCAGCCAATTAGAAAGCAGCTTTCTCGAGCTTTACGGCACTCGTTTCAACCTGGCGACTTCCATTTCAGACTACGCTTGAAAAATATGTTGACACAGTTCTCGATTAAAATTTAAAAAACTGAACCAACGAACATTCTGGAATGTCTTATATATGGTTGCGATTGGATGGCAGTGCTTCCCACGTACTGTGCAACGCCTCCTCCGTTCAAATGTTTCTCCCACGGAAGCGAGAGATAGACAATAATTTTGACGGAATCAGTCCTACGGCCCATACCTGTCGTTCGGAATACCCTGTGTTAAGGTTTTTGAGGTTGCATGATTAGAAAACACATTCCGAATGTCACTTTCATGATCTGGTAAGTGACGCTCTGATTGGCTGGATGAAAGGTCGTTCTGACGTGACCCCTAATGGGATGTCCTCAGATCTTTGTTTAGCGGTAGCGAGAACTAAGATCTGATTTTAATGAGATTGGGTCATTATACAATATATATGTCTGAATAATTGAAAGTAGACATGTATGCTGAAATGCTTTGAAATAATGTTTTTATTACATTACAAATTAAAGAGATCAAAATATGATATTTTTATACTCCGAACACATGGTGATTTTTATGGAAGTAAGTTGACGTCAAATGTCTTTCTTTATGATGTCAAAGCTCAGTTCTTTCCTAGCACACATAAAGTCTCCTTGTAGGTGAGACCTGTGAAGATTCCGGGTTAGAATAGGTCGTCAGCAACCCATGCTTGCCGTAAAAGGTGACTATGCTTGTCGTAAAAGGCGACTAACGGGATCGGGTGGTCAGGCTCGCTGACTTGGTTGATGCATGTCATCAATCCCAATTGGGTGGATTGCTGCTCGAGATATCAATCACTGGATTGTCTGGTCCAGGCTCGATTATTTACAGGCCGCCGTCATATAGCTGGAATATTGCTGAGTGCGGCGTTAAACAACAAACCAACCAACCAACCTGGTAGGTGACATATAATAGCTCTTTGGATGGGGATGAGGAAGGGAATGACGTGACAGAGGTAAGCACAGTGCATGACCGATTTGTTTGGGTGGTGACTATGGTGATGCTAGGATGTGTTTTGGTGAATTGTTTTTAAGGAAGCTGGAAACTTTGTTCAAGCAGGATTGAAGAAGAAAGAAGAGAAGCAAAGTGTGAGATGGATAAGTTTAAAAAATGATCACTGACCTAATCCTCTAATGATCAACAGCAGCAGAGGCAGGAAGAGAATCAGAATCATGCCCCACACATGGATCCACAGTCGGACGAGCACGTGCGCCCAGAACAGAGCCACGAAGCACTGGTTGCTCAGCGACTTGGGTCCTTCTTCTGTTGGGGTGTCCTCTTGTTTCACAACTTTGGCCGGGGTGGATGTTGTCGGCTTGCTTGCTAGGGACAGGGATTGTGGTTTCTGAGTAGACGCTGGAGGCTGCGAAACTTTCACGTCTTGGCCGGCAGAATCTTTATCAAATATGGACTTCCATGGCTCATTGGTCAGAGTGCCACCTTGCTTTTCCTCTGGTTTCTCTGTTGCTGGAATAAAACGTGAGTTAGTGAGTTCAGTTTTATGCTGCATAAAACAGCATTTCAATTTCATAGGGCTCGGTTTAGCTATATGAAACATGCACAAGTGCAACCTAATATTGAAAAAGTTATATGATGGCAGTCTGTAAAGAATCAAAATCAAGTCCAGACCAGACAATACAGTGAATGACATCCTGAGCCTTGATCTGGGATACGATGACATGCATCAACCAAGTCAGCGAGTCTGACCACACGATTCTGTTAGTCGCCTCTAACAACATGCATGAGTTTCTAAAGACCAGTTCAAGGTGAGGTGAATCGAGTCCAAGATTATTGCACTTATATAGAGACGTGCATGCACGTGTATGTGGCCGCTTGAACTAATCTGGACTGATGCTGATTTATAGTGCTAGCTCACCGAGATACCATGCCGCAGTTTTAACATGAATACCCCACTCAGACACAGTATACTGACTCCAAGCCGACCAGTCCTTGTTTTAGCCCTTATGCCGAACGCCAGGCAGAGTAAAAACAAGTACCATCTTTTAACGTATTTGGAATGACGCGGTCGGGGATTGAACCCCGGACCTTCCGTTCTCCAGGCGGACGCTCTACCACTAGACCAAGGGGGCGGTTGAAGACCAATTCTTACCTGGATGACAGGTTCACATCCTTGTTACACTGAAGATTCGATATCAGCTTAAAAATGTATGATTTGCAACATAATGTCATAGAAAGATGAAATAATGGGACAGCTCAGAATTTCTAATTTCCAAGCTCAAGTGACTTTAGAGGTAGAAGGCAGACAGAAGAAATAAAAAACAAAGGATGAAACAGACTTTCATTTGGTTGAGAATACAAGTGATAGGGCGTCTGTTAGATTTGAGCAAAGATATTTCAGAACTTGAAGCCTTAAACAGGTTACTAATTTGAAAAACTTCGAAAGCACACGAAGTCACCACATTATGATAATGCTGCATTCAATTGGTTGTTTTGTTTTTTTACGCTGCACTCGGCAAAATTTCAGCTATTTGACGGTGGTCTGTAAATAATTGAGTCTGGACCAGACAATCCAGTAATTGACATCATGAGCATCGATCCACGCAATTGGGATAAGATGACATGCATCAACCAAGTCAGCGAGTCTGACCACCGGATCCCGTTAGTCGCCTTTTACGACAAGCATAGTCGCCTTTCACGGCAAGCATGGATTGCTGAAGACTTATTCAACCCCGGATCTTCACGGGTCGCTGCATTCAAACTGAATCTGGTGCTGTATCCGTGTAAAGAGCTTTTAGGTAAAATACCATCCCCGTGGTGAAGTAGATAGAGCTTCAGCCCTGGTAGTGGAAGGTCTGTGGTTAGATCCCTGCCTGGCACTCGGTATTAAGGAGATAAAACAAGGATTGGTCGGCTTGGTATCAGTATACTTTGTCTGACTGGGGTATTCGTAATAAACTGTAGCATGGTATCTCAGTGTGTTAGTAACACACACACACACCCAAAAATGCATGCACATTGCTATATAAGTGCAAAAAGCTTGAAAGGGAAGCTAAAACCCATTTCACCTCACCTCACCCTTAATGGAAAAAGCGGAAATGTTTCAATACAAAAACCAAACAAAGCAGCGGGTCATTTTGGACGAGTATATTACACAACACACCATGCACTGCCTTAACCATGTAGAGACAGAATGTAGGGTCAGAATGGGTTCTCTGTATTCCAGAGTCAACTACATAGGAGATTTGGTGATCAGACTCTTAGTGATCATGTGTCATCATATCATTACTACATAGGATGATGCTCCTGCTATCAACCACTGGATTGTCTGTCCAAGACCTAATTATTTTCAGACTCCCTCAATATAGCTAAAATATTGCTGAGTGAGGCATAAAACAAACAGGAACATCCACTGCCTTAGAAATGGTAACTTTAATAATGACTTCTTTTAATAATAATCATGATAATAGGTCTTCAGCATCCCATGCTTGCCGTAAAAGGCGATTATGCTTGTCGTAAGAGGCGACTAACGGGATCTGTAGGTCAGGCGCTCTGACTGGGTTGATGCTTGTCATCATATCCCAATTGCGTGGATCGATGCTCATGTCAATCACTGGATTGTGTGGACCAGACTCGTTTATTTACAGACCGCCGTCATATAGCTTGAATATTGCTGAGTGCAGTGTGTAACAACAAACAAACAAACAAACACAAATAACAGTCACATTACCATCTCATACTTCTGGGTACCCATTCACAGCTGGGTGAAAACTTTAAATTTCACCGAATCATATGACCTACCTTCAGATTCTGCAGATTCCTTGCTGGCTTCAGAAACAAATCCAATCACCATGACAACGACAAGGGCAGCCAATAGGAGGAGACGAAGGGGGCCTGCTACTGTGGCGATGTGGAGGATGAGTGTGACCCACACCGTGATGGAGATGTAGTGAAACGTCTTCCTTGATTCCTCGGTCCAGAAGAAGATCACTGCGACAATGTAGCCAATAAAGATGGTCCACAGCTGACAAAATAGGAAGATGCATGTCAGAAAATTGATCATATCAGACTATGGTACATCTGGACCATTTACAATGCAGATAATTAATCTACAACTACAAGCTGAGAAACAATTGTGTATTCTATTGTGAGTAATCTTGTATAATAATGTGCTGATGTAGTGAAATCCCTTGCCTTACAAAACTGGAGTTCTGGGGAACCCCAATAATTAATTTCAAGGGTCCTTAGGGGAAATATGTGGGTCAAGGGTGCCACTGTGCAAAGTGATCTTAGCACTAAGGTGATCGTAGCTCCCATACCTTAACAATAACATAGACTTACGACAGTCGTAATCATCGTAATGCTAAGGCTGTTTTGTACAATGGCACCCTGTAAGGTAATGACATGGTGTCGTGAGACGAACTAAAGATTTGATAATTATTTCAATTACAGGACCTGTATACTTCTTGCCAAGAATTTTGGTACAATGAATATTATTGGGCATCCCTCGGGACAAAGTTTTCGATTCTATACATTTGTGTGCACTAGATGCACATTTCTGCGTTGTGTAACACCCTGGCCTCATTATCAAATTAAGTGTCCATTGTTCCCGTGGGTATTTATGAAGTAGAGCCATATTGTGTACCACGGCTAGCGATGACATTCGGGATAGTTGAGCATATCTGCCAATACAAAACCTTCTATGTATTAATAAGGAAACTAATTGTTGCCAACTCATCACATTGTCTCATACATGGCTTCATAAGATGTATGAGCGTTTCTATGGCAACTACATGTCGCTGACTCTCCCATGGTACTGTACATGTATTTGAGAATAATAAGCTGTGAGGAATTATGGATTATCTGTCCTGTGTGAATGAATGGTGTTAATCCAGAGCCCTTGGCGAGGCACTTACAGCATTCATTCACGAGGGAAAGATAACCTGTAATCATGGTAATGCCGACTTTTGAGTCAGTTACTCTATATATTTCTGTTTGATAGGCATTACTAAGAAGTTGACGGATGACAAGATAGACACAATTTTTATGGATAACAACTTCTTTAATACTGTAAAAGGCGATGTTTCGGTATAGATCCTTATACCGTTGTCAAGCAAGACTGAATGAGGGACATAGTGCAGAGGGACATTGGCTTCTAGCTATGTGTTTTCTGTCCATCGTGTTGTGATAGCATAATCCCTTTGTTGTCACACCTACCCATGTTATCCCACTCATGTATGCCCTTGTTGTTGCTATTAATCCTCTACTGTTAATCCTCCACTTGCTATATATATTCTGCACTATGTCCCTCATTCAGTCTTGCTTGACAACGGTATAAGGATCTATACCGAAACGTCGCCTTTTACAGCAGTAAAGAAGTTGTTATCCATAAAAATTGTGTCTATCTTTTATATTTCTGATTGACATTTTAACAGAGAAAATGAAGAAAAAATGTATGAAATGTCAACCATATAGAGATACTTCAATGAACATGATGAAGGCATGCTAATGTTCATATGACGCAATGTCCAAATGTGTGACGTCAAGCAGAACACATGACGCCATATTGTATTTTCTCAACAATGAAGCACTGTGACATCATATGACTTCAACTGAAAAATTAGCATGAGAATCACCAAATGAACATGTGCAAATATTGGAAAGTTATTACATGCGATCATTCCAGTTTTATCGGTAATATTCCATGTTTTTGACTCACCCACATGGAGCTGAACCATGCCGTGATGTCATGGCAGAAGTTGAGGAGTCCCAGACAGAAGTAGAATATCATCTGGGCCACTCCATAGTAATACATAAATTGAAGGACTGGCATGCCCAGGAGAAAGCCCCCGACAACGTAGTAATTGTTCCGTATCATATTCAGCAGTGTGTTGGTGCTGTTGTTGACGACCTGCAACAGAAATGAGAGAGAGTTATCATGATTATTATCCCCCGCCACAAAGTTGAGGGGGGATATGGGAATGGGGCTGTCTGTCCATCCGTCAGTCAGTTACGTTTTGTATTTGGAGCACAACTCAAAAACCGTGAGAGATATCTTAACCAAGTTTGGCATATAGATAGGTCTAGTGGTGAACTGGTGCCTTTTGACAGTTTGGGCTTTTAAATTATTTTTTTTATTGATTTTCCATGGCAACGATGTTAACTTTGACTGAAAATGGTGGTAGTGCTACTTTCTGGAGCAGATCTTGAAAGCCGTACAATATTTCTTCACCAAACTTGGCCCATAGATAGATCTAGTGGTAAACTGGTGCCTTTTGATTGTTTGGGATTTAATTTTTTTTTTTTTTTAGAGTTTCTAAAGCAACGACTTTAACTTAGACTGAAAATGGAGGTAGTGCTTGTTTCAGGAGGGCTAATGTCTTGAACACAATGGACATGTCATGATATTGTTGGGGATATGAGTATTTCATGTTTGTTATATATGATATAGAGTATATCATGGTGTGTCAGCTTTACGTTGGAGGAAAGCCTGGAGAGATGGAAGTCTTAAACGTTTTCTCTTTGGTGAAACCCACAAGCACTGGTATAAGGGCATGGTGCTGATGGACCAATCAGGGCAGATTACTGGCAAGCCTGAGGGATGCTAGTCTGCTAAGCGAATTCTAGCACCTTAGATCTTTCTTCTAAAATCCGGATGTGCTGAGATGATCCCTAATGGGATAGGCTAACAAAATCAATCTCAATTTGGTCATGTAAGGGTGGAATTTGAATTAAAACTGTTTAAGTGAGTATCTATCGTTCATATTTGACTATTGCATGTGTTTGGGCCGTAGTAATTATTCCACTTGTTAATAAAAATTTTACGGTAAAGACCTTGGAGGTAAGGCTTGGTGACTTAGTTCATTGCCTCATCATATCAATCACTGGATTTTCTGGTCCAGATTTGATTATTTACAGGCCGCTGAATATAGCTGAGTCTTGCATTAAAGCCTAGGGGAAACCTTTGTGACTTTTCTTATTATTGATTTCCCGAACCCAGCACATTGTTTAGTTTTCCCAGAAAACACTTGAATTGTATAATTTATTGCGAAATGCATCAAACTGTCATTTCAAAGGAGCAAACTGTACATCATTGAATGAACTTATATTGCCCATTCCAGGTGTGAGTGGTGCAATTCACAGACATTTTTTTTTCAACAAGAGAAAAACTGATATGTGATGCACTGATCTTGCATGATACAAAGTTGCAGGGAAATAACTTTAGGTGAGGGATATTTTGTTCTCTACAATCATCCCCAACCCCACCCATAAGAGGTATGATCAACATGACCTAGCGACGACTAAATACCAGTCCCCCTCAACTTCCCACAATCTAACTGCACTTCGCCAAAATGAAAGACTTTAAGTGATTACTTGTAACAGGCTATTGCATCATTAATATGCACCTCTCAGTTACCTGCCTCCGGAGCCAAGATGCATGATGGCTCAGAAACATAATGACTGACAGCTGTCGACAGTTTGTGATTGATGATTGACATAACGGAATTAGCGCCAGAAATAGACTACAGCCTCGAACAGTTGTTGCACGTATATACCTGTTGCGGAACATTCAAGACACAATATAACTTGACAACACTCACCTGCACTGGTAAAATTACTAGTCCTACTGCGAACGGAGTATCGGAAGTCCTCAGGCCATTTAACCATTTCTTTAGAACATTTGTTAACGACCTCTTGAAAGGATACAAAAACGTCCCGCACAAAACTGCCCAGCATAATGGTCGAAGAAACGGATTTAGGATGAAATAGACAGCGATTAGGGCTGCACATGCGAAAAGGATGAATATATTGGCCGCTGTGTTATAAAAGGCTTGCTTCAAAGCCTTTTCGTGTCCCTGTGGTACATATTGGAACACACTGTTGAAGTATTCCAGACTAGGGGACGCCATCTTGGATGTGATGTCAGAATGACCTGGGAAATCCCCTTCCTGGTTCAAGGTGAAGGTCACATAACCTCGTTCACAGGTGCCCGTGTCGTTTTTCGTAAATCGGATATAAGTAACGTTATTCCCAAAACTACTTCGCACTACGGTCGTTGATTAATGTCTGTGTTAGTAATCTAAAGACGTAGTTATTTTATAGGTATCAACTTTTGAAAAAAATCTGCTACCTCCTCATGTTTATGAGGCGGGTAGGAAATACCTATTCTTATTAATTTGCCAAGAAATTATCCTTTTTCTGTGAAATGTCATATATTTCTCGTGAGTCGTTATTATTCGTGATCATTTTTTATATCTAAACTGAGAATAATTTGTAGTAAATTTGGGGTACAGCCTAAAAGTATCAAGAAACGCCTGAGATGGTCCATCTGACAAGTTGTTACCAAGTTTACATGTTACAAGAATATTATGTGCAGTCCTAGTTTATACATGCAAAAACATAAACTTGACAATGATATAGTTTAAGTCACTATCAGATTGATAAGTAAGAATGATTATTCCTCTATGAAATAACGATAATTATCCGTGATTTTGAGACAGGTTGAAAAATTACCTGTGATCTGTGAAAAGGTGGCCTGAATTACCTGTGTACAGTTATTGGACATAGGCATTCCCTACCCTCTACCAGGCTACGAACACTGACTGTTAGAACAAGGCCCATTTGCACGAAGTGACGATTGTCGCTAGTCTGTGAAAGTTGCGATAGTCTTAGAGCTAAAATGGCTTTGTGGGACGGGCCCAAGACGATTTAGTCATTGCCATGCACATCAGTGGAGTGAGTGAGGCCTAACGCCGTTTCGAACAGCATTCCGGCTCCATCTAAGTGATAGACTAGCAAATCAATCCCACTTTGGTCATGTAGGGTGGAATTTGTTTCAGAACTGTTTTAAGCGAGTTTGCATCATTTACGGGTGACTATTGCATGTGTTTGGGGCATAGTAATTATTCCGCTAGTTAACAAAATATTGACTGTATATCTGAAAAATTATAACTTGCTCGGCTCCTTTCACACAAAAATGCGTGGTTTGATGTAGGGACCGCCAAGCTGTCTACCAACGGCTCTGCAAATACACTGTCAATAAGACGCCACCTCTCTACCTCAGAGAGTCGGCGCCGTGTCATACCTCACACAGAAATAAAGAAGAAGAAAAAATAAATATATTCTATTATTGTGTCACACACTACACTTGACACTTTACTTACAAACTAGTATATAAAAGCAAGCGTCCATCCATATACATTATGATACAACATATAGCACTATTTAACAGTGATGTATTGAAGTTGCCATAAAATGCTCAGTTTTACAATGAGCTCTCTCCGCACAAAACGTTCAAAACAGCTTGCGTTTGAGGTGAGGTGATGTGAAATTGGGTTTAACGTCGCGTCCAAGATTGTTGCACTTATATAGCGGCGTGCATGTACGTGTGGCTGCTTGTACTAGTCCGGACTGATGCCGATTTATAGTGCTAGCCCATTGAGATACCATGCCGCAGTTTAACATGAAAACCACACTCAGACACAGTATACTGACTCCGAGCCGACTAGTCCTTGTTTTAACCCCTTAATGCCGAGCGCCAGACAGGGTAACAACAAGTACCAACTTTAAATGTCTTTTGGTATGACGCGGCCGGGGATCGAACCCCGGACCTTCCGCTCTCCGGGCGGACGCTCTACCACTAGACCACGGAGGCGGTTGCTTGCGTTTGAGAGGTAACACATATTGAAGGGAGCATCGCGTGAGGTTTCTTCTTTTGAACTGTACTCTTATAGTTTTAGCAACAAGTGGCTGTAGAATATCCCGTTGTATAATAAATCTCCTACTTTCGGAGCACTGCTAAAAGTTATAAACTGAGAATTCATTGAGGAGGTAGCAGTAAAATGTTCATATCTGAGACCTGAGTCAACACTCAATCAAGAAGTGTTTTTCATCTTCCCTACCCGGTGACGAATACACACACACGCGCACGCGAAAACTGTAAAACTTTGCTTGTCTGGCCACATACTGTGACATATAAATATCATAAATAAATATACTGATAGAAACGAATAAGGGAACAATGAAAAATATAGGGAAATAAGTTTTACTGTCAGAACGTTTGGAAAAGCGCGCATACAAATTCAGCACATGTCAGAATCAAACGCTGAGATGTGTTTCTGTGCATTGTTTCCAACGCGTATTCGGTAGACAAGGCTGGGCCCATGATAATATATTACTTTAATGTATCTAAAGCTAAGTTTTTTCTTATTCTTTTCCATCAGTATATATGACGTAGCGCGCCTTTTGGGTGACGTAGCTTGTCTTTTGGGTGTACTACTTAATTGGGGGAATTAACGGTAGCAGCGGTTACAACTGGCTATCACCTTGAAGGACAGAGAAGGCTGCTGAGTTGATGGCGTTTATTGGTGGAAGCAGAGTGAAGTTTGCTACCACCGACCGCCGTATATATACAACTCAGGCCTTCATTACATTACATAACTAAAGATCACAACATCCAAGGTGTCAGCGGTTAATCAGCTGTAGGTTGTTGTATTGCCTAACTGACCCTTACATCACTGTCGGACTGACCATGTATGCCGTATCAGAGTATAACGGACAGCCTGAGCTGGAGGCGCGCGTGGATATGTTGACAGTTTTTACGTAGTTAGTGGTAAAACCGAATGTTTGCGAGGATTAATAAGATTTCTGAATTCTGTTACAACAGTAACCGTACATGTATTTGTTACATTAAGTCATTTCATTCAAATTTGTTTGGTATGATTATGTCTTATAATTATTTTAGGATGGAAGGTACAGTTACCAAATAAAATATGCTGAAATATCAATTCATTATGACCATATTTCATAATCTATTTTTTAAAGTAACCCTCCTTACATTAAAGATAACTATTTAAAGAATATAGTACTGAAAGACATTGCAACAAACCGAATAATCAGGGGGGAGACTTTATACTGAGGGGGGCGCGAAACATATCCGCCCGGGGGAGATTTTATTTCAGAACAGATTCTCCGGGGGAGAATCTGTACCGGTATAAACTCTCCGGGGGGAGAATTTGTACGGGGGAGAGTTTATACCGGGACACCGGCCCTGTGACGTGAAGTTAACTCACTAATCACTGGTTCTCAGAGAGAGTGACCCTTTGTGTCAGCCTGGCTGGGCAGACTTGCATAATGGGCCACTGTCTCACAGCTGGAGTGACCGTGAGTTTAGCCCCGTATGTGACACATAAAATATCTTATTGGAATTTACTTGAAGAATAGTCGGATTAGTTTACCGATATAGGTACATTGATATATATTTTCTAATAGGAATTTGGTGTTAGAAGAAAGCTATGACATATACATACTAATATAAGTAACATAGAAGCAAGACAGGTTTTTTACAATTTACAACAATTAAAAGTCATTTCACGTCAATTCTTTATTCATATGAAGGCCACGGGTCTATATACAGGGTAATTGCATATATACATATTACACTGGTACATGAATTCATACACTTACTTCATATTATTCTAGTATTTTCAAGGGGCGGTCGGGTAGCCTAGTGGTTAAAGCGTTCGCTCGTCACGCCGAAGAGCCGGGTTCGATTCCCGACATGTGTACAATATGTGAAGCCCATTTCTGGAGTCCCCCGCCGTGATATTGCTGGAATATTCTTAAAAGCGGCATAAAAACCATACTCACTCACTCTAGTATTTTCAAACCTTTGTCTCATTTCATAATTTTGACATAGATATTTACATAAGTTTCTAAGAAACATACCATCGTTTGTCAAAGTTATAAAATACAATAAAAAGGAGCCAAGAGACTTTCTTCATGTTCAGATACTGGAGTATCATCATTTGGCACCCGGTTTTTCACAATCATTTTCCATAAAACAAACAATAATGCGACGAAAGTGGGTTATTATCCAATAATAATCCTTGACCTAACTAGAAGAACCAGTTTTGTAATATATCATGTCCGAATAAAACTATTTTCTTCACCGTCATCATGTAATTGTGTGTCGGTTCATCTGACCCTGTAGTGGTGTGTGTGTGTGTGTGTGTGTGTGTGTGTGTGAAGAAATAATGTTTGTTGTTTAACGCCGCACTCAGCAATATTTCGGCTATATGACGGCGGTCTGTAAATAATCAAGTCTGGACCAGACAATCCAGTGATTGACATCATGAGCATCAGTCCACGCAATTGGGATCAATGACATGCATCACGTTAATGAACTCAACACTCTAATGAGTGAATAACATCGGCTGGGTTAAATAGTACGAAAACCCTAGCTAAAAACTTTAGCTCAATACAACCAGACCATATAATAGACGAGAAAGTCTGAATATCAAACTAGTCAGTCTGATAGACTAAAGCCACTTTGACTGAGCAAGAGAGACACAAATATTCCCCAAAAGCTAGAAAATCACGGGAAGGTTGGTTATCCACGGATTACTAAATAAAACGGAGTACAAAAACCCTTGCTAATAGGTTTAGCTCAATACAATCAGAACAAGAGTTTGCCACAAACGTGGCTATATCCCCCGCCCCTGTTGCAGAATTTATGACATAATTAAATCTAAAGAAACCCTAACCTTTTTTAACCGAGGTGGAACTTGTCATGGAAATTGTAAAAAACAGAAGAGTTTGGAACCTAAGTCAATCTTGTTGCCATGGAAACGTAAAAAAATAAAACATTCTAATATTTCTAAATAACAAAAAGCACCAGTTCAGCCTGTACCTGACATGAGTTATGCTCCGGAAACGAACCCTACCCTCACAGACCTAAGTCCATCTTGTTGCCATGGAAACGTAAAAAATAAAAAATTCTAATATTTCTAAATAACAAAAGGCACCAGTTCAGCCTGTCCCTGACATGAGTTATGCTCCGGGAACGAACCCTACCCTCACAGACCTAAGTCCATCTTGTTGCCATGGAAACGTAAAAAATAAAAAATTCTAATAT